GCTTTACCTAATTGGGCAAAAAACTCTCCAAATGCAATGGAAAATCCAAGTGGAAGTATCAGTGGTACCTCGGCTTGGATGGCAGGAAATTATGCCGATGGAGTGAACCATGAAAGTCGAATAGGAGAGCAGAATGGTTATCCAACACCGTGGGAGAGGGATCAATCATTTAGCTCCTACAATGGATTGAACGCTGGCTATAAAGATTTCCCCACGAATGGCATACCCTCTGCTATAGCTTACAATAATACAAATCTTTCTGGTGCATACCCCCTCGGTTACTCCAATTCCACAATGCCTCTGACTGTTCCAGGATCAATAACTGGAAGCATGCATTCTTCACATCCAAAAAACAGTATCCATGGGCCAGGCCCGGTTTTCAACATCGATTCTATGCCAGAACACGGTATGGGTTCAACTAATTTTAATTCCTTACGAGGCATGGTTTGTAATAGAGGCAATTTTTCAGACGTTGAATCGAACTTTGGCTTCTTATCTCCCTCCTTCGCATATACCCCTCAAATGACAGAACGAATGGAACATGTCATCAATGATCCTAGAAAAACTGAAAAAGAGATCAAAGATCTGTTGGAAAATATCAAAGCCGAAATTGAGATTCCGTTAGAAGACCGAGAGGGAACACCTGAAGGATTGAGATATCCGTTGGTTAGTTGAGGCCCGGTTCGATTAGATCTTTTGGGGATTTCTTACTAACTTGTAACTAGTATGAGCACCAAAAAATTGCTTTAACATGGTTAAAACAAATGGAGGAGGGCAGCAACAAAGGGGGTATCTTAGCAGACGATATGGGTCTAGGCAAGACAATCAGTACTTTGTCACTCATTCTATCACGACCGTCAACCGACCGTACGTGCAAGGTATGTTTTCTTTGACGATATAACATTACTGTCTTCTGATATTGTCTAGACAACACTCATAGTTGCGCCTGTTGCCCTTCTTCGCCAGTGGAATAGCGAAATAGTTTCGAAGACATTGCCGACGCATAAACCCAGTGTCTACATGGCTCATGGAAACAGCAAGAGAGCTACTTGGGATGATCTCCAACAATATGATGTAGTCCTCACAACTTACGGGACTTTGGCTGCGGAGTATAATCGACTTCTCAAGTTCGAAGAAGAATGCAAACAAAACGGTATCACTGATCCTGACCCAAAACAGATGGCCAAGGATTTCCCCCTTTTGGGTCCTAAGAGCAGATTCTATCGTGTGATTCTCGATGAAGCACAAAGCATCAAGAACAAACTCACCAAAGCAGCCGCTTCGGCTTGTAAACTAAGAGCGCTGACTAGATTTTGCCTTACCGGCACACCGATGATGAACAACATTACCGAGCTTTATTCGTTGATTAAATTTCTGCGTATTCGACCTTACAGCAATTGGTCTGCCTTTACAAAGGTATGTATATCCAGTATACCTTATTTATAAAGGAGACTAATTTGTTAACAATGATAGGATTTCGGCTGTCTCTCTAAAGGAGGTTCACATACAGAGGAATATCTCAGAAAGACCATGCAACGTCTACAAGGTGTCCTGAAGGCCATTCTACTCCGTCGGACGAAGAAATCTCAAATTGATGGAAAACCGATTATCAACTTACCACCAAAATTTGAACATGTTGATCATGTTGTTTTTAGCAAAGATGAGCAAGAATTTTATCAAGCTCTTAAGGATAAGACTCAACTTCAATTCAACAAGTATAGAAAGGCTGGAACGGTTGGAAAAAATTACTCAAATATCCTTGTCTTGCTACTTCGTCTTAGACAATGTTGTTGCCATCCGCATCTGATTATTGATCTTGAAGAAGCCGCAGCGGGCTCGGCAGAGCTCACAGAGGAACAGATGATTGAGCGTGCATTGGCCCTTGAGCCAGATGTTGTCTCCAGACTACTTGCTGCAGATGGAGGATTCGAAGTAAGTTAATTAGTATACATTCTGAGATATCTTTACTAACATCCCAAGTGTAATATCTGCTACGATGCAACTCCGAATCCCAGTATAATCATCCCTTGTGGACACGATAATTGTCACGATTGTTTGATGGCGTTATCCGAGCAGGCCAAGCTGGCAGCGCGAGGCGATGAGGATGGCGCCACGGCCCTCAAATGTCCAAGTTGTCGTGGAAAGCTCGACATGGCGAATCTTATCGACTACAGAATTTTCAAGAAGGCATACATGCCATCGCCGGAAGTCAAGGAGGAAGAGATTGTCGACGATGCCGCTGAAAGTAGTGATGACAGTAACAGCGACACCGAATCCGAATCCGACTCTAATACCATATCTGATGATGTTGACGAGAATGGAAATTTAGACGGTTTCGTAGTCCCTGATGAGATCGAGGACGATGAGGCTGAGCAAGGTGACAATGAAATTGATTTAGCATCGAGGGTTCCTAAATCTAAGTCAAAATCAACATCGAAGTCAAAATCTAAGACAAAGGCGAAGAAAAACAAGGGCAAAGGGAAGGAGGTTAAAAAGCAGAAGCAACATCTCTCAATTGCCATGATGAAGAAAGAGGCTTCTAGATCTATTGCGGGCCACAAGAAGTACATGAGATATCTTCGAAAGAATTGGCAATCGTCTGGAAAGGCTGATAAATGCGTCGAACTTCTTGAGAGATTTCAAAACGAAGGTGAAAAGACAATTATCTTCAGTCAGTTTGTGACATTTCTCGATCTCCTTCAGGTACCCATCGGAGAGAAGGGTTGGAAATGCGAGCGCTACGATGGAAGCATCAATTCCAAACGTCGAGACGAGGCAATCAAGCGATTCCAGGACAAATCGGATTGTAATATCATGCTCATTTCTCTCAAGGCCGGTAACGCAGGACTCAACCTGACCGCAGCATCTCGAGTTATTATTCTCGACCCATTCTGGAATCCATTCATTGAGATGCAAGCAGTCGATCGTGCTTATCGCATTGGTCAGATGAAAACAGTTCAGGTTCATCGCATTTTGGTACAAGAAACAGTTGAAGATCGTATCATGGAATTACAACGACAGAAAAAGAGCTTGGTAGAGTCCGCACTTGACGAAGGTGCTATGAAGAGCGTAGGGAGACTTGATGAGAAGCAACTGGCTTTTCTTTTCGGTGTCTGAGACATTTGAATATGTTTTTCTTGACTCTCATACGTACTCGATTGCTTTTTTAAAATGGGCTGTATAATAATTATGAGGCGTTTTGGGAAACTCACGATTACGATTTGGCTGGTCCTATTCCTTTCTTTGCACACATTGGCATGGCAAGCAGAACAAAACATGGCGAAATTTGGGACTGGGTTTGAACAAAATGGTATGGGATGGGATAGATAGTCTTGTGCATTGCAAGAGGAAAAATATGGTCTGGGATTCTCTTTTTGTTTGCTCGCTTTCGTCGGATCTTGATACCCTATCACGATGGCGTTTTTTCACAGGGTCTGATGGATGAATTTGCGATGAATTACGAGCGGTGGGAAATGAATTCAGCATGTTCTATTTTTCACATCATCTGTGATCTTGTTAATTTCTTTAGTTTGTTAGAGGGAGCTGTTAACCAAGTGCGTAAAATTATTGGGACTGGGATTGGGATTGGGATTGGAGATGTGTGTTGGTGTGGTTGAGAGCTGGAGGGGAGAACTCTAAGAATCTGGAAATGAGATACTAGATGAAGGATGAAGAGGCGAGGAAATGCATAGATGGCTGTTTTAGATTCTGGCGAGGAGCGGACGGAGAAAAGAAGAGAGATACAGTACAACTCAATGCATACAAATAGTCACGCGTGTACTACCGTGATAAGTTACAGCGATAAATATAATTAGATGACGTAGGATTTCGTTCTCTCGTTGGCCCTCGTCTCGATTTGACGTGCCAAACCTTCAGGTAGCAATCAAGATCAGATCATACATCATACATCATACTTTGTTGTGTTTGTTTGAAATATATATTAAAACTTTTATCTATCTATGGGCATACTACTTTCATTTCATTCCATTGTAGATAGATAGGCAGGTTAGGTATTCAGCTCAACCACTACTCATCTATCCATCCATCAGATCACATTATCCCCATCATTAATCAAGAATTTCTTCCCTTTCTCTCTCTTCCTCTCACTCTCTCTTTCCCCTGCCTCCCTTTCTTTCCTCGCTTCACTGCACCATTAACCCTTCTCAATACTCATCAAAAATCCATCCGCACACCTTTGTTTCCCAGAGCGAACCCAATTCCCCAAGACGAACCCAGACAATAAAAGAGAAGAGAAGAGAAGAGAAGAAGGAAAAACGCCGAGAAATCCTCCTTTCCCCTTTCTCCCAAAAGAAAATATGATACGCATACATAGGGTATAATGCATTTGACCATCCCAAACCATTCCGTCCCATCCAACCATCCATTCATCCAGATTGCTTTAGCTAGCTAATTATTCAGTTACCTAGTTAGCCATTGTGAACAATCCATGCAGATGATATAAATATAAAATGTAAAACATCATATTTCCCGAGCAGCAACCAGAGCAAGAAGTCCCCCACATCAAGCGGATGAAAGAATAGGAACCGATTCGGTTTTTCTTTCCTCACTTCTTTCTTTTCGTATCCGTTTCCCTTATGGTGACGAAATAGGAACAATAGGATAAACGTAGAAGTGACCAGTTGAACACACATGCATGTAACTGAATAATGACCTTAGTCCAAGAAGTAGAAATTTATACCATCTGTAGATGAAGATGTAAAAGTGCTGTAACGCCATGATAACGCCATTCCGAGGATTCAGCCAAGTTGATCATTTCCGTCGATCTGATTCGATTGGGGTTTTTGCGCCTTCAATTTTTGCGCCTATTTCGAATGCCCATTTTTCATGCTGATTTCCATGCCGCTAATGTCAAAGTATAATTGTTGTGTATTCCAGAATTTTTCTGGCCATGAATGTCTTCCGGAAGTATGGTATAGTGTATTCGTCTCAAAAAGACGACAGAAATATTAAACATCTATTCACATGCATGTATGTAATGCTCAGATGAAGAAAGAAGAGAATCCTATTGCGCCAAATAGCGACAAGATCCTGAAATCCAATCTTGCTACCGGAATCGCAAAAGATTTGCTAGGACTAGGTGTAGCAGTCGCAGTGAAAAGGCCTGTAAGGATTTCTGTAGTGGTGGTAACTGAGGCAGACTTGGCAGTTCCAGAACCTGCTGATGTTATAGTGCTAGTAGGAGCACTGTAATCTGAGGAATCACTATAAAGTACTCCATCGATAATTGCCCCCTTCCCAGCGATGATCAACTGCCGTTCGTCTTCTGTACATGTTCCGGGAATATTCCGAAGGTAGCATGTATTTGTTGGGGATGGTGGGAGACTTGTGGTATGTGTGGCATTCAGGGGACCAGTGGTATTGTAGACTGATGAATTGATGGTTTCTCCTGTTGAGAGAGAGGTGCCCATTATGATTCGGGCAAAAACTTGGAAAGCGGTCTCGGGTTGGTAGGCCGGGACACTGTGACCTGCGTCGTATATGCGGCTAAAGGAGAGATTGCCAAACTGCCTCACAACACCACCAATATAAGAAGTATTAGTTATGATAGGAGCGTAGCCAGCGGCTGGAAACTTGGAGGCATATTCAGAAGAAACTTGTTCTGCAACAGCTAAAGAGATAGCTTCACCACCAAGCCAATTACAGATATAATCCCTGTCACCATACATCAACCCAACATGAATTCCAGAATTTACGAGCGCAGCTATTTCTGGTACGTAAGATTTACGCTCGTAGTCGCCAGTGGATGTGAAAGCAGCAACAACTTGCAGATTTGTCTCAGTGTAATTGACTGGTGAACCAATAGCAGATTGAAAATCAGCAGTATTGAGGTACTCGAGGTATGTACTGGGTGGAAATGAATCAGGTAGATTATGGGAAATATCGTATACACTTCTTCCAGCATCATAATATGGTTCCAGCACGTTCGTCAGACAACTGTTATATGCATTGGAACAAGCACTGTTGACACTTGAGACATTGCCCTCATTTGTAGGGTCCTGACTTTGCACAGCGGCTCGACATTGAGTAATTAGGTCCTTGCAGCCACCAGAAGCGTAAAAGTTGGCAGTCGCCAATTTTGCCCTTGTGGGATTGATAGCACTGAGGCCGAAGGTATTATTAACTGCAAAATCAGGATAATAAGGGGCTTGAATTAAGTCATCCACACAACCATTGACTATTCCGAGTGATTTGAGTTTAATGTCAATGGTTGTGCTTTGAGGTAACGTGCCGTTTGCACGCTTCTCGTTCTGCTCTTCCCAAAGGGTTGCGAAAGCTGGACCATATTTTCCACCATAACTCTCTGCGAACAAGTGAATATTCATAGCGGAACTATTGTTTGGAGCATATTGTGGAAAGGCACCAAGAAATCCTTGGAGCATGTGCCATATAGCCATTCCTGCTATCTCAGTAGTATTGGCGGTATTATTGACGTTCAGAGAGCTAAACGTTCCATTTAAAAATGTATCCGCAGGCTGCGAATTTGGGAGAGTCTGCTGTGGAGTATAAAGATCGGACGTAAGAAGGTCGAGAGAGCAATTAGTAGGCGTGTCATATGAAAATCCAACTTGGTTGGGCTAAAGATGTAAACGTCAGCTTGTGGAAGTGAGTGTGGCGCGTTCATGAGCAGAACAGTGGTGTTTGACCAACACTCTCGTGAACAACTGGAGAGTGTAAAGCCTAGCAAACTGTAACGGATGTCCATGTATTCCAATTGAGATCGAGTATCTCGATTGGTACAAGATAATCTCGAGGAGTGCGCATTGAAAGAACCACCAGACAGAGAAACAAACTCAAGATGCTGCATACCTGATCAATATATAGCATATTGGAAGCTCTATCCCAGCCCCAGTCCCTAGCTTCCGTCGCAAACTTCCCCTGTGCTACTTCAATAACCTCACAAGGACCATTTTCATTGAAAAGTCCAATCATCGAGCTGGAGCCTGGCCCTCCATTTAGCCATATCGTAAGTTGATCTGTAGGATCTCTCGCAGAGATGAACCAAAAGAATGTGTTCGTCGCATAACTGCCCGGTATATTAACCCAACCTGTATATTGTTCTTGAGAATCGAAAACCGTTTGGCAGGTGCCTGTTGGTGGTGTTTTGTAAGAGATGGTGATATTCCCATCGACTGGGGACGTTATTCTAGTGAGGTTTGAAATAGGTGGATATTGAGCGAATGTGAGGGGCAGAAGCACCAAAAGAAAGAGAGAGTAACGCATGATGGTTCACTCATATTTCGACCAAGATCGGAGGAAAAAGAGTCGGATAAATGAAAGTCTCCAAGTGAAGTTGTTGATCCTACGGTAATCCTACGAGAAAATGTATTGGCTTAGCCCCCAAGCGACGTCTTCATGCAAGGGTCAAAAAGCTGCTGTGCCTCGTATCTTTTGTGGTTTGTGATGAAATTTTATGGTAATTCATCGACGATCACTTTTTATGACTTTGTTTTTTCATCAATTATATTGGTAAGAACAATATAATTTGAGGCAACGTTGAGAGGTGTATGAACGAAGAGACTCGAGAAGCGTTATATGCATTGTCACTTCATTCTCAAACGCGCGCGCATTCTTCTTTAAAATTCCTTCTTCAACAATTTGCGCGCCAGTTACGAGTCAATTCTTTATTTAGCTTTTCCCCTCCTTAACGGTTAATGTACGAAATACTTAGTAAGAGCCTGTGTGCGATGGTGGATGGACAAAAACTAGTCTCCTAGCATTGCTATTACGGACTCCGGAGTGAGGAGAGATCAAGAGAGCCACCCATTTTTCTCCGCTTGTGGGTGGTCCTGCATTGTACTTTGGTGGTGCCACAACTCTTTCTGTTATCTTAATTGGATACGTGAATTGATCAGCTCCAAGGCCGTTGATTGTTGGATCTGGATCGATGGCCTTCTTCAAGACTGTGCAACGCTTGATAAGTGCACCCTTGGGTCTTTTCGTGAAGAATTCATGTACACTTCATTTGGGCCACTATGAAGTTTAAAATACAAAGTGGTTGGTAATACAACAGAAGAATGCTATATTGCCAAGTTCATTGCAATCACTTGGATCAATCACGACCAAATTCTGGGTTTACAAGCCTACACCGATCTTTTAGTGTAGAGTCATGTGTGAGCACAGCTCCTTGCAACACTCTGCTAATATCTCAAGGAGGGTGCAGCACTTTCAATAATCTGCAAACTAGTGTCTAACTCTATCAACGATGGCACAATTGCACGATTCCCATCCACTCAGAGATTCGAGTCTTGTTCTGATAGATAAGGCACAGATAATGGGTTAATAAGTCCCGTCCCGCCCGCTGTCCTCTATTGAAAGTCGTGACTCGGATCATGCCCGTACTTGTGATTTGTGGTCTGAGGTGATCACATTTCGATTTTGATATGCCTTTCTTTTTTATATATATATATATATGCTAGTCTCAGCTATCAATGGCGGTGTCTGCCGTTCCCATGCAGGCGATAGGATTTTTCATTGTACATCTCAGTCCCAAGTGGTAACAAAATTCTTGTGAAGAATAGAGCATGACACTGCTGGGTACTTCCAAGGGAATGGGGTTTCTGGAACTTAAAGTGATGGTTTTGATCTAGTCAAATGTTGTCTAGTATGTCTTCAAATTAGTAGCCTCAACATATTCTCACCGGCCACCACCTTTTGCTTGCACACAATTAATGATATATCAGACATAGTGATGCGAACACAATCAATTCAAGACGAATTGCATGTTCAGCCAGCGCCACAACTTATTCACGTCTTCCTGCCGAAGCTTTAAAAGTCAATGGCTGGGTGCTAGACTTGATTGGCGGTATGATAATTCGCATTTCAAGTTCTTCGTTGTGTTGTTCTTCTTGCTTTAGAGTATCTCGTTAGAGTATCTCGTTTTGAGAAGGAAATTAGAAGAACTCGCCATGGACGGGTGTCTCCAAAGCGTAATGGTCCTGTCGATATAAGCCTCTCATGGTCGGTCATCTATCCAGATTGCTTTCTGGCCCATCGACGAGATTATTTCTTTCGTATCATCATCAACCGTTCGAATTATTTTCCAAAAGATGAATCACGACTCTTTAAAGCAATGATATCGAAACCGCTGTTGCTGGATCAAAAGAGATCCTAACATTTGAATTATATCTATACAAGGTCCTGGCAATATATATGAAGGGCTCATAATGCTCAGTCGACATCTTCTCACAATCCAAGGTCTAATGAATAGCTGGAATGATTAACTTTGAAAGAGAAAATAGAATTTCTGTTTGGTTATCAACACTACCTGGGCGGGACATAAATTCTTATGTCCAAATTAACTACCGAAGGGAACGAATAAACCCTCCAGCTTTGGATTGTCGATTCAATCATGAACAATCCGAGATATAGATTCCGAACCATTGGAGTCATCTCAATGAAATAGACTTTGACTGTAAGGCCAGTCAAAATGAGTCGCAACACTCACATGACTGTCTTGCTCATCGTGAACTCACATCATGGTGTAAGTCTTGTCATTTTGTCTATTTATGTCAGTCCATGTTCCATTTCCTTCATCGTTTCATTCTTTACCAACTTCTATTCAACAAGCCACTTTTTGGTAAGTAGGCTTCTTTGCCCCGTGCTTTCGATGGAGTAGAGAACTGAACTCGTTAGAAGAATCAGAGTAGAGCGTTCCACGCAACACAAACACAAACACTGCCCCCAGAAAATCCTATCTCAGCCCAGTGCCGGTTTGGATCAATACAATATCTTGAATCGAAACTCCTCGATAAAAATCATACATCAACGCCATGTTTGCACTAGTTAGCCCGCTCTTCTACGATTTCTCGAACGTCTAGTGCCACCACACCGTCTTCAGCGCTGCCTCACTCTCTACATCCAGATCCCCACACCACAGAATCTCGATCATCATCCCTCACCTCCCCCTATCCTCTAACCCCTATTACCCAAGGGAATGAAGGAACATGGGTTTCCTCTGGAGCTCAAAAAACATAAAAATCCGCCTCCACCTGTTCCAACGGGGAAGAAACGCAAGGGCTCGAACAAATCAGTGTAGCAAGCAGCCAAATCAAAGGAGAACACCAAGCACGCAATGGCGGCTACCAGTGGTCGCGAACAAAGAGACGATCGTAGTACTAATGGCACAGATGCCAGTCGTCACAGCTTTTATGAAAACAACAGCGCTGATGACAAACGCGAGAGCTATAATGCCAGATACGATACTAGTGATCACCCCGGAAACGGGGAGCGGAACCTTTACGAATCTAGAGACCGTGAGCAAGGGAAGTAGGAGAGAGATAAAAAGGAGAGAAGGAAGCAGATGGGGCACGGTAGCGAGAGTTCTAGAGGTTGACAAGAGTAAGAATCATAAGTACGACAGCGGACGTTGAGTATTGGAATCAAAGGTATGGGAAGGAGCAAGGATTATTGGGCATTGTCGAGTAATGGTTACATGATGTATCATTTGTCGAGACGGGCTGGGCGGGTCCGAACGATTGGAGGAATATATGCATGGCTTTTTTTTATATAAAACCGACTTGCAGAACTGCGATGCAACGCAGCGTGAACAGGGAACTCCTTCGATCATATACCGTGAGCACACAAAAGCCACACACTTTTTTCTCGCGTTCCAGACTCAGTCAACAACCAATACATATCATGACTTATCCCTAAACCATGATGAACATGAATCGCGATTCAGCACAACAATCATCTATACAACATGATTCATCCCTCCACAAACTAACACATATGCAATGTCAACCCTATATCCTCGGCATGAACGCGAGTAAGACATGTGATTACGACAATATGTGAGATATATTCCATACAATAAGATGACATGACACGAGTGAGTACAAACACTCAGCCATGTCCTGCAGACCGAGGTATGGTTTGCATTTGGGATCGTCTCATACATGCAATTATACGGTATAGTGTGGTGTGATATGGGAGCTTGTTCTCCGTGTGAAAGTATCTCACATTTTGATAGAGTAATGTTTGTACAGGGTAAATATGTTGATACCACATCACCTATTCGCGCAGAAAATCGAGGGGTGTGAAGGCTCATTAGCATTACCTGACTGCGAGTGAAATAGGAAAAATTACATTCAAAAGATCCCAGTCGAAATCTATCTCTGTATCGAGCTTGCAGTAAGTTTAGAGATTCAAGCTGGCCGCACATTCATTCTTCGAGCAATTATGTAGTCCATAGTACAGCAAATTTTCAACGCCATGCCATCCATACCTTACCATGCCATGCCATCGATCTCAAAGCATACTGAGAAATAAAACAAGTACAATACCACCACTAAGCCACTTCAAATTCATCGACAGGACACAGTCTTCTCGAACATCAAACTACTCATCACCAACGAAACTCAGATTTATCTTAAATATTCTCGATACATATACATACCTACGCATGCAAACCCCCCAAACTTCCTCACTTCCTAAGCCCAAAATGCACTTACCTCAATCTCAGACTCAGCCTCAGCCTCCGTCTCAGTTCACAACCACCAGTACCAACACCATTATCATCACCATCACCATGACCAACACCCAATCTTTCACCTTTCCATTGCCTCTCCTTAAATTCCAATTCTCAATTCCCATCCTCCCAATTCCTCAACTCCCGACATACAACCGCCTGCGCCCTCCAACGCACAGCTCAAAAAACGATCTTCCCATCTCCCCTCCATCCAAACCCAGCCCACCACGCACACACAATTCACCTACCGCGCCCCATCCATCCATCCTATCCCACCCCATCCCATCCCATCCCACCACGGCAACAAGCAAATTCCATGCACAGCACACCATCGCACAGCACATCACATCACATCACATCACCGCACCTGCCCATGAGCTATCCGAGCAGAGAGTTCGCGCTCCACGAACGACGACGGCATTGCAGATCTCTGGGGGTCCGCACTATACTATACTATACTACACTATGTATGCACAGCGCAGCCTGCGAATGCCGCGATGGATGGGGAATCTTGAGAATGCGGATGCAGAAGAAATGCGATGAATCATGATGGAAGACTCAAATCAAGTATACAAGCGCAGTACGCGGATATGATGAAAATTAAAGTGAATGAATAGATGAATAAATGGTCGATTGAAAATGGGGGTGGATAATTTAGATTGGTGTTTGATAGTCAGGCATGACCATGGATGACTACGAGTTTGGAAGTTGGATATCCATCCCCTTCTCATCGATGCATCGATTGCTCCATGACGCAAATTCTAGAGCACCGATGTTGAATTCGAGATAGCAGTGAAATCCGTCAAGTCTAAATCGTATCATTTTACCTCATGCCACAGCGATCATGTAACCATCCATTCATCCCTCCCACCGCTACTCCCTCAAAGCCAGCCTACGTCCGTACACAACACTCTATAAACCATCTCCAGTCATACCGCTGCATAAGCGACGCCACATCTCTTTACAAAATTACACATCAATATTGAGGCTGTTAGTTTGCGTACTAAGTGGGAACCCATCGCCAAACCCATGTTTAGTAGACAGAAAAGAAAGCATTTGCGAAAAATTTCCCCACACAGTTGGAATAGTCCAGAATTAGGCAAACAAATGCCTTTACTTGACACATAGTGGAAGTTTTAGTTGTGTCCCGGAAGTACTATTGTATTTCCGTGATGAGTTGTTAGAATTTTTTATGACAGCAAGCTCAGTTCTAACTTATCTCCCCGTGCTATGGTGAGACTCTGATTTTGGTGTCAGTGGTGGGATCCTCGATTTTTTCTGAAGATCTACCTCAGATCAACTGGTATTTGGAATTGCATGATTGAGTCGTTTCTTTTGTGGCTACTGATCAAGCCGACACCACTTTGGATTCAGCAACTGTGAGTGCAATACAAAGAAAGTGGACTGATCTTTTGGTTTCCAAGTATCTGTATTCAGCTGTCTTATGACAGTACCATGAGGCACAAGGGTATCCCCCTCATTGATGAAATGAAGAAGCAAATATATGAACTTTACTCAACCTAAAGCAACTAATGGAATCGGCGGTATGGATTCATTGTCGTCGTGAACCATAGTGGAGGACTTCGATTCTTGCTGATCAATCTCTGGGGGACGAAGACCTTTGATTTGTAGATCCTTAGGCTGTCAATTTAACCCTCAAGGCGGTGTACAGATCTGTACGGTGTATAATTGTAACAACATCATGAATTGTTGAATCGTTCACCTCAGCGAGGGTCATGATATATGGCTTGATATGAGCCGCCTCACGCGACGTAAAATACTCTAGAAGAAACGAGGCTCCTTCAATCTTCGAGATCCACGTGGAGATTTTGAGACCAAACGCGACTGATTGCTAGTCAGGACCGCATCTCAAACCAAAGCTCACAACAGAAGCCGCATTGCGGTAATGCTTCCTACACAAAAGAGTATAGGATGTTCCCTTCATTTGCAAATCCATTTTGCAAATCTTCAGGACACGAATAGCGAGGCATATTGTTGGTGAGACAAAAACTTTAAATCGAAATCTCCAGGGATTAACCCAGTCTTGATAATGAAGCGAGTATTTGAAGCATCATTAGGCGCATAAGTGGGATAGAAGTCCTTTAGTGGAGTGAAACAAGCCCATGATCTACCCCCAAAAGAATTTGATGTATGAACTGTTCAGCAGAAGGGGAAGACGTGGTATGCGCCACCGACTGGCAAAAGCTCTTCGGCTGCGGGAAAAACATAAGGATATGACATCTTCCCGTTTATTAGTTCTCATGCTAAATGCACTGATGTAACTATAGGTAAGGATGAGTAGTCAACTTTGTCTACTCTTTTGCCAGTGCTTCTTCAGCCTCTTCTCCATTGGACATATCTGCTGAGTATGTAATCTCGGCGATCTATCAGAATGTGCCCAAACCAGAAATGCCACGAGGTGTAGAGGCGCTAGAATAGGATTCCTACCTCGTAAACGCTGCAGACAATCAAATATAGCATACCTAAACCAAGGAGAGTGTTTTCGGGACGGTTGATATACGTTAATCACTGTTTGCGGCGCAGCAATTTCAGCCCAATGATTACTTTTGATTCGGTGCTCCAAGAGTATGAATCGGAAAGTATCTACCGTGTGAAACAAAGTTCTCGCAACGCATTGGCCACGTCGTATGCATTCTTGTGCCCTGCAGAATTGCATCGATCCGAATATGCTCTAGGTAGATGAGGGCAGGAGGGTAAGTTAGCCTATGCAACAAACGGAACAAGAGCGTAATTAGCATAGCTGGTATTGAAAAATCAAAGAAATTAAACTTTACTAGGGTAGCATTGCATAACGTGCGAGACAGGTTCTCTATGGCCCAACGTCGTAGCTGAATAATGAGACCAATCAATCTAACCATTATTCAAAGCCGAGAAGAAAATTTAGTGAAGCACAAGAGGACAATGCAACGTCATCTATTGAAACTTCCTGTAGAATGACAATGTAATATGGAAGCGACAAGGATCCCATCTGCCATGCCCAAGCACTTTGGTTACTTGGCTTGGTGACCTAATCGAAGCGGGATATCTCATCATGTTCCGGTCGGTCTGACCGGTCTCTGCATTGCTCTACTTTCTCTCGCCTTGCTTTAAAGTTGCATGATGATGATTCTTGAGTCCATAAAGACCCCACAGCATCCGAAGTCTCCGATATGAGGGTGAAACATTCATGTCCTTGTTCTAGAAGGTGTTAATGAAGCTTCTAGCGTCTTAGCATTGTAGTTAATACGGGTCCAATGATATATTTAAAGTACTCGTGCGGCCAGAAAGTATGCAAATCCGAAGCTAGATGCACATACCACGGGATGGTAAACTACGACAGGAGCAACCTGGCTTTTCTAGCGGTAGAGTTGCATACCTACTTTGTGGCAGCACGAGTAATGGCTGTCAAAAAAGATTGCTGTAAGCCGTGTGATGGCACATCCTTGAAGCTTGGCGAATCGTTGCGTTCCCAATCTTCTATTCCTGGTCAAGTTGGAAGTCTGAAGTGCCAGGAAAGCGTAATGCTCCGTTTCTGGAACGTTAGCGGTTAGCAATGAGAAAGCTAGATACTTTCCCACTCTTTCCCTTGACAGTGTGAGCGCTTGAACATGTAGTTCATCAATCAGGCTACCATCCAGCGAAAGTTGCATCCTAGGATAAGATACAGAGAGCTAAGAACATAGAAGAATAATGGACCAACATACTGCACGTACCGTGATCAATTACCTCGATGATTCAAACGTATATCCCCTTCGAAGCAAGATCCTTGGAAGACTTTTGATTTCTCCGAAAAATCAATCATCATTTTCGGATATCCCCTACTAGAAAGTTGGAAAAGGGCGATAGTCCAAATGGTACTTGTTGCAGTGTAGTGTCTCCGGTAGTAGAGGAAGATTATATGGCAAAGACAACGCATGGATAATAAAGCGACCCGGTCTTTCACCCAGCGAATCCAATGCCATGGCCTCTGGTAACATGGAAATTAGATCTGACGACTTGACAAGGTTCGCACGTTTTATTAACAGAAAACAACATGGTTCCATGGTCATCATGATGAAGCGCCTTTGGAATAGTGAGGTAGGTGGGGTCACCCTGCAGCGAAGGATTGAAAAGCTGTGATACTTATGAGTCCTAAGCACAAACTTAGCCAAATGCGAGATACTTCCCGGGGGTAAATGAACTTGGCTTTTGTCCGAGGCCCAGGTGCCAATTACCAATAGAATTGGATGTGACAAATCTACAAGGAAGAGGCCGACGGAACGCAGCAGACAGGGGAAAGGGGGCATTACCGACTTGAGCAAGTTAAGGTATCCATTTTGACTGGGGAGGGACGAGAGAGAGGATGCTATTCCCATATCTTTGGGCAGATTCCGGTACTTGCGCTGGTAGCCATACCGCGTATGTATTGCCAAAGTTTGGTAAAGATAGGGATTATAGCATAATATTTGATAAAAGGAACTTTGACGGTGACTTTGGACCAAGACATTTGTCGACTTTCTAGATGAAAAGAATATCTTGAAACCTTCTAGAAGTTTTTGATAAGCTAGCTGAATGCATGGATATGTAGCTTTCTACCAAACTCCCCCTCAAAGCCCGTTCAATTTTCAAGGAACAATCACTGTAACCGAAATGGCAGTGGCTACTTCCTTTTGATGACCCCTTGCAATTCAACAAGAGTGCCATCTTACAGGTTGCCAACCGTATGGAAGAAGGCATAGATTTTCTATATCACGCCACCAATTTATGAAGTGGTTCCCATGTGCCATATATGTTGATATTGCAATCTCTCAGTGCATTGCATCACATTGGTTATTGGTAATACCTAGATGTGTACACACCACCCTTCATTGCCCCTAAAAACAGCTGATCGCCTTCACCTTGTTGATTTTTCCCCGATAGTGTATACGTCAACTTCTCTAGGATTGTCCCCTTTTATCTACAGCACAATCTTTGATGCTATATTATGCAATCCAGAGTGTACATTGCGCGTCGCACGTTGCACATTGCACAGGATTTGATCTTCAGATCCTTCGACGACAAAAATGCAGTTTGGACCTTAGATACGAGTTAAGAAGCGTCCTCTAGTACCTATACGCTCGAATGCTGTCCGCCTATATGCACTTCGATAGGGCTTGCGAGTTTCTTAACCAGTCGGAATTTCAAAAGCCTCCATTTATGAAGACTGCCGTGCAAGGGACTGCATCATCTACGGATCGGCTCTACGGTGTGTCTAAGTAAAGAACAGTCACGAGACCGGTATTTGAGCATTATGTTCAAGGTCTTCCGGGTCCTCTCCCGCTCAGGGGCATGTAGACCAGAGTTGTCCCTCCCCCTGGTACTGTTCTATACCGCCTCCTAGTTTCCAAATCTCAAAACCCCCCCGGAATTTGCTACCATTTTCTTACTCGTCTGAGCCGCCCCACGTGTCTCGCATTGGACCGAGGATAGTGATCGCTTCTCAAACGCTATTGAAGAATCATCAACGCATTCCGTAAAGTTCTTTAATCCGGGATTGTGAGTGCATCTCTTTTGTGATATCTGTCAACGAGCTGTGAGTGATTGTACCGTACCGATGCCGTTCTTAGTTGAACACGACGGTGGCACTAAATGATATGCAAGGTCACTGTTCACAAGGCGGTAAAGTATACAAATAATCTAGGAATGACCTACCTAAGATTCTCGTGGAAAGTAATGCAGTCAGGCACAGGCACAGGCACATTGTGGCTTAGCTTTTTAGGAGTTTTAGCACAGTGAGCTCCACCCATCAATCATTACCCTGTTCGGACTTCGTAAAACCTTATGACGGTGTAGGGTACGTATCTACTATCTACTATCGAGTATCAAGAGGCTGCTCGAGCCTCAAGGTTTACCAGGATGGAACTTCCCAGCACTCCAGGAGATGGCTGATGTTTCCAATAGGCTCATTACGGGGTAATTGACATAGTGCGGCAGCGTACCTTACCACTTGTAACTTAACTCACCCCCCTTGACCTATACCTGGCACAGCGTAGCGCTTGTGAGGTCACAAATCGTGCAACTTGCAAGCACAAATGATAAACGCGGTGGTCGGATAGCTTAGAGGTAGGGAGTGGCATGTAGCATGTAGCGTGGGGCACCGTTAATTGAGGGAGCATAATGGCAATGGACCCCCGGGTGGTCCTTGGTCACTAGATCACCATTCATCATTCATCTTGAAGAATCAAGATGAATGGCAATTGGTTGGGTATGGGCATGGACATTGTAAATAAAGCTAATTTACCACGATTGAAAAAAATGGCATGAGAGCAATGGAAGCTCGGAATGGCTTTGATACTGAACCGGTGTTAGCATTATCCTGTCAAGCTTGCTTTGGGGTCCACCATTAATGTAATTGAATGAAAGTATAATGACATGAAAGTGGCATTAAGCTGTGGCAATCAACGCGTGCAATTAATAGGCGTGCGTATTTGGCCTGTATGGTATCGATAGAGCGTGAGGCAAAGTTCATATATGCTCCAGATGTTAACCCCTGAGAGCAAACGTATGGCAAGTGAGTGTGTGTTGTACAGTAGATTCCTTTAGCTGGTGCCTGTGTCAAGAGGAGAAAGCAGTCACCTAATCATCTTTGAGAGATCGCGGTGACAGGATTGATAGGATTGAGTCGGTTGTGACCAGGGTAAACTAGGGGATCTTGGAAACGAAACTTAGCAAGTCAGCAAGTGTCTACCTACCTATGTAGTCGCAAATCTTCATCCAGTCAAGTGTATGTCAATGTTTACATATATTAAAAGAAAGTGGATGAGAAGTGGACACTGGACGCTGGACACTGGTGACTGGAGCGACATTGGACATTGGACATTGGACTGCGAGAAGTGGAGGTTGATCGGCAGATTTCAAGTCATCTCTCGTTTGGTACATATTGTTTATGATTATTACAGAGTACAATTTTGTCCTTGATCAATATGTGCATATTCCCAAGCAATATCGACCGACGGACGTGTGTATTCATAGGTACTCGGATCGATTAGAAGTGCCGTTGTCTTGTTCTTGTTCTTTTTCCACTTCTTTTTCCACTTCTTCTTCTTCTTCTTCTTCTGGTTCTTCATCGTCGTCGTCTTCATCATCATCTTTTTCTTCTTTCCATCTTCTTTCTTCTTTCTTCTTTCTTCAACCATCTCAGTTCTCTATAAATCCATGACTAATCAAGCAATCTATTATTATTCCATCAAGTCTCAATTCCTGACTCTTGACATGAATCTTTTCCTCTTTTTCTCTTTTCCCTTGCCCTGCTTCTTCCAAGTCTCTCTTCCCAATTCCCCTATAGAGACTGACTATACCTAGTAAATCGAGGACTAAAGTTCTGACCACCCTGTTTTAAGCTTTTAGCGACTTTTCTTTTTATCGTACCAGCAAACCAGGATTTCCAAAAGGTCTCCATCAACAAAGCCTGCAAAACCTAATCAGCCCCTGTAAATTAAAAAAAACAAAAAGAGCATCGACATCCATCTAAATTTCTAAATACCCTCGTAATACACCCACTATTGCCGAATAGAAGGCCAAAAGAAGGATTCGAACCCTTTTCTTATGCTTCTAGTTCATTAATTCCCCCCCTCTCATTCTCAATCTTCCCAAGTTCCCCCCTCCCCCCTCCCCTCGATCCTCGAAACCCGAATATCTCTACAACCCACCCCTTCCCTCAACTATTGCTCCCAGTCTTTTCTCAATATTTCCGCATTCCTTGTCAATTCTCCTTGACACCCAGACACCCAGGTACCCAAATATCTCACCCTCTTTTTTCGAGAAGAAAAAAAGAAGTAGAAGTCCATTGACAATTCTACGCCTTATCCACACATCCAAACGCTAAACCACTAAAAATCATCTGTGAGTACCTAGAGAGAGAGCGAGAGCATCTCATTTTTTTCACGATACATGAACCTTCCCTATCTCATTCTCTGAACTCCTCATCCGTCTTCTCCAACAATAGCCTCTACGCTTTGATATCTTGGCTCATCATCTGTGGTTTCTAATTGAAGAACATCAACAGACCATTTCATCTTGATTGTACATGATTTCTTACATCGAATCTATAAAACCGGCATCGGCGCATTATTAACTATCAAGAAAGAGTACCTGCCGCATTGTATCCCGAGCTTCTAGTTCAGCCCAGAAGCAGCCTCCATCTCGAGATCTCTTCTCCGCCCTGCAGCAATCGCATGGTTCCTTCCGAGGCATCTTAATAACCTTCGTGTCACCTTGAAAACTACAACATCACTCCAACGTCAGTTCAATCCCGTAAGATCGAATTACAATCTCAATGTAAGTTTGCATATCCTGACCCATCAACTACCAACGGTAGGGAAACAAATCACTAACATCCGATGGAATACTAGAAGATCTATCTAAATCTTTCTTTCGATTTCTCGACTCCTTTAAAGGATCAATTACTTCTCGAACTGTAAGACGCGCTCTACAAACAGATTCTACAAACAGATATAACTTTGCGACGCGAACAGTTTGTGTCAAGACCCTGAATATTCGCAGAAGGTCTCGAGTCTCAAGAGCGCATACATAAGAAAAGAAAAGGATTGTTGGACTAATAAGCTCACTTCTTATTGAGAGAACAAGTTTGCGGATTCACAAAACTCTCTTCAACCCAAATTCGAAAACGCGCCACTGCAAAGACACTTTGCCTCATCACATCTCACATTCACCACTGATCCAATATATCATCTCATCAGACGAACCTTTGGCTCGTGCCTCAGACACTGCAGTATTTCGAACCAGCATCACTCAAAAGAGGTGCCAGCATATTCTCAAGTTCTGAGAACCATCGCTAGCTCATACGAACCAGTGTTTTTACTTTACGGTACGATACGGCACTTCCTTGGGGCCAAAGAACACGCATGCGCAGTCGCGTCTAGGAGATTATTTCAATCCAGCGGAACAAAGCCAAGAGACTCGAGCAACATCAGCGTTCCATCAATTGGAAAAGCATATTCTTCTGATTTGAGAACGATTAAAAGCAGAGGCAATCAATTTTAACCGGTCTGTACGGTTGCCCGTGCGTTGTGACATTCCCGCATCCCCGCCCACCCAGTGTCCAGACTGGCGGAATTTACATAGTAACTGATCGTGAAAATTGTCGCGGTCAATTTTTTTATTTTTTTTATTTTTACTTTTGAAGCCATACAGTGGACAGTGACCTAGTCATCAATAATAAGGTAAGCAAGCTCGGATATCTACATATCTACATACACACAGTACATACAGTGCATACATACTGGATCCACTCATCCACTCACCCACTCATCCACCCCTAACTCTACGTTATTATTTCTACACAATTAGGAGAATTGGCGGTGTGCACCGTGCTGTTGTTGTTGATGCCAACACTACACACAGCATTGCATCTCTTACCCCATAACACTTTGCTAATATTCACCCACTATAGACTTTTTGAAAAAAGTGAAAAGCGGCAAAATCCCCTCAAAAGAAGTCAATCTAAAAGGTCACTTTAACTCTTGATTGGAACGAAGAACTTTCAGTCACGTTATTCTACTTAATTCACTACGGTCTCTTTGGTCATTACGGCCCAAGCTATATCTTTGCAAAGTATTTTCTATTTAATATTCTTGCATACGACTTACAGCCTCTCGAACACTGGTTCCCGAGACACAAAGCAACCTTCGAGACACGGTACCAGATTTCAAAACTTGGTACGAACGCCTGATCCAAGCGTCGATCACCTCCTATAATCTTCTTTTATTCCTCTCTACTCCGATTTTCTAGCCAAGGGAATCTTGAAAAGAATCATCTCATTATGGATATCAAAGAAATAGTTAATTCGAAAGGAGTGAAAGGAGCAGCAGCGGCGGCGGCAGCATCAGCAAGTGGTCAAGCTCAAGCTCAGGCTCAAGATTTACACTTACTCCAAACTATATCGCAAGCCAACGGAATGCGCATGTCTGACACTGGATCCGAGAGAGGTACTTCTCCTCATGGCTCTGAACATTCTCAATATTCTACACCACGAATGGGAATGAATGTAATGAACGGAGCACCAAATGGCATGCGTTATCCTTCACCTCCCGGTATGCAAAACGCGATGCCAATGATGCAACAGCCTTACCGCCCCGATATTCCTTTCGATAACAGTATGATGCCCACACAACAACAAGATAACACGCGTCAGCGTCAACCTGGAGATGTCACAGTCACAAAAGCTTTCCCTTGTAGTACATGTGGCAAAGGATTTGCTCGCCGAAGTGACCTTGCAAGACATGGTAAGTTTCTTGATAAAATAATTATAATCCCAGTCGAGTTGCTGACCCCTTCATCTAGAGCGAATTCACAGTGGTGTCCGACCTCATGTCTGTGATTATCCGGGGTGTGGCAAACAATTCATTCAAAGATCAGCTTTGACAGTCCACCTCCGAGTTCACACTGGTGAAAAGCCTCACACTTGCGAACGATGTGCAAAGGTGAGCATTATTTTCATAAGTTATAGGTTGGAGAATTTTGCTAATTTAGAATAGCCCTTTAGTGATTCCAGTTCTCTTGCTAGACATAGGCGCATTCATTCAGGGAAGCGTCCATACAAGTGCCCATATGCCGATTGTCAAAAGACTTTCACTCGAAGAACCACTTTGACACGCCACCAAAATCATCATACCGGAACTGTCGAAGAGGCTGCTGCCGCAACTGCTGCTGCTCTCGCCACTCGACCTGGTAATAACAGACCTAGTAGACAACGTTCTGATGGCGAGTCATATTCAAACAATGGATCTCCAATGTCAACTCCTTCACCAGGCCGACATCTTTCTGCTTCTCCAAGTTCTGACATGGCACCAATGAATAGCATGCAGCGCCACCCTGGTGATTACGGCTACATGAATAACAGCTCTTTACCTGGCCATCTTCGCGGTGATTATGGTGTACCAAGCCAGCCACCACCAGTCTCCACTGCTTTTGCAAATGGTATGCAGCAACAACGACCTACCTCCCACCCAACCGGTTATGGCCCACCAAACATTCTAGAGCCTCCTGCCAACATGGAACAACGTCAACCTGGTAGCGCAAATGGTAGTCCACACATGACCAATATGGGTTGGCAATCACCATCTCATATGGGATCTCCATCGCACAACAACAATTATGTCTATCCAGACCCTGATCCGTATGGATCTGGCGCAGCGATAGGCCAGATGTATTACCCAAATTCAAATATGAGAAGACCACAAAGCACGGAGCCAGAACAATATGATATGAAGCCAAGAATGGGCGATCTATGGGCCACAGCTCAATGATGAACATATCGTATTGTCTGAAACTTTCTTTCTCTGCTTGCTTTAAATGATTCTCTGGTTTTCATAGTGCTATGAATCTTTTCATGAACTATGTTTGATACCCTGTACACGTCACGACTCATTCTTTCATTTCTTTCTGATCGTTCACTCTTGATGTTCGACAGCACTGCATACTATCAAAAGGGCTTTGTTATCTCGATATTGGCGTTCTTGAGATTCTATTGCGATCTTGTGATTTTCAGGCGGTTTTCTTTCGGTGGAATAAAGAATCTCTAGATATCATGAAGCAAATGACCTTGTTTTCTGATTAAGTAACTTCGGGGTTGTGGCTCATGGCAATAATGATGATATTGGTCTCTTACCTTTCACATTCATCACACTTGGTATCAAGCTTCACGACACTCACTTCTACGTTGGACTGGCCCCCTATTAGGGCTACACATTTTGGTGTGGGATGTTTGCATTAGCTTTTGTGATGAATTGAGCAGTAGGGCTCAAATTCTTTACTTCTTACTTTATTGTAAAGTAGTAATTCCGGGATTGGGTTGGTCTGGTCTTGTTTGGGGCGAGCGATGGGAAGTGAATAAATTGATGGGCGGGATGCTTGCTAGGAGGCTGCTTTTTTTACTGCATTTGCTGGCGCTAAAATTATGTGTAGAATTGCCATTAATGAAAAAAAATTAACATGACTTTTGTATTTACTTTGTGGTGATGTGTTGTCAGATGATTGAGTATTTGCAATGCTATTTGTGACTTCTCTTATTTTCGATGAAACTGAGTATAGTGCGTGCGCATACATGCAAAGCAACTACTTGAGATGTAGTAGATCCGATTTGCGAAATAGTAGAATGTAGAAAAGACTCAAGAAACATTTGAAAATCTAGTTAAATTCCATTGTTGAGATTTTGCCTTTTGCTCCTCGCGGCGGTTGAATCTAATATACCAAGCCCATATAGAACTACAAGTAAGGACCGATTAAACTCCTCATCATCTATCCAACAAATTTATCGTCTCCGTTTTATCTCCTACAGATGTCTACCTCTACTCTCCATTGCCTTCGAGCGGCCTTCTTTCCAGCCTCTCTTCTTTCCGAAAATCACACCTGATGTCTTTCATAACACACATAGATCGGCTTCTCATCTCAAACCCCATTTCCATTACGCTGCTCCTCATTCTTCACCCACTTCCCCTCTTTCTCCTCCAAATACTCCACTAGAGCCTCAATCGTACAAGTCTTCAACCCCCATTTCTTTCCAAAAGCTAAACATCCATCTCTCCTCAACATTCCCGGCTCCTTCCTAATCGCCTGTCCGGCAACTTCCTCTCCATCCTCCACAATCTCGCATATAACCCCCACAGGCGGCTTTCCCGCCAATTTACAGAAATCCACCGCAGCCTCCGTATGTCCCGGTCTCTCACGCACACCGCCCTCGCGCGCTCGCAAGGGGAATACGTGACCGGGTCTTCGGAAACTCTGCGGGCTGGATTTCGCATCCGCAAGCATGGTGCAGGTGAGAGAGCGATCGTGAGCGCTGATGCCGGTAGTGGTCGATGGGTGGTTGGCATCGATACTTATAGTGTAGGCGGTACGGTTGGGGTCTTCATTATCGCTGACCATCTGGGGGAGAGCGAATTGCGTGGTTAGGGAGGGGGGAATGGGTGTGCAGATTATGCCGGAGGTGTGGCGGACCATGAAGGCCATTTTTTCGGGCGTCATGTCGCTGGCGGATATTATTAGGTCGCCTTCGTTTTCGCGCGAGGCAGAGTCGAGGACGATGATGAATTCGCCATTTTCTGGGAGGAGGGAGGGGAGAGTTAGTTGGGAGGGGGGATGGGTGTGTACGGGAAGGGTCGGGAGAGAGCGGATGAAGGGAGTGCTTACTGAAGGCGGTGATTGTGTCTTCGATTGTATCGAATTCATGGATTATGTCTGAAGAAGGCATTTTGATTATCTATGAGAATATGTTGTGCGTGGAAGGAAATGAGGGAATCGGACTGAGAAGATGGGATGAATATATAAAAATGCCCCGCTTCCGAATGATAGTGGGGAGATGTCGTGAGATATCTAATGATGATTTGACAATTGGACTTTCTATCACGAAAGTAGAAGTAACAATGAATAAGCAATATTGTCAAGAATAATATCAGGAACGATATGTGTATGATTATATATTCAAGTCAGTGGATACAAATTTGCGGTATGAAGTAGCTGAACATCTCAAGTGCCCTGAGTACATTTTTTGTTCTCCGGGGCGGATGGAAAGATCTTCGGCATCGGACAACTAGGGGATTTTGGTATAGTACAGGGGTATGGAAGACAGAAATGCATAAGGGCTTACCAAGAGGCTGACAAAAACCAATTAATTTTCATGTCAGCAAACGCTTTTCAACAAATCATATACGAAAATTACACACACAACCTGGGATTTCTCGAACGTTTTGAGCCTCGACGAATCTATTCCTTGGAGCCGATTACATATCCCTAGGAAACTAGTTAATGTTATCCAATTCCAATTGGCAACGAAAGAGCTTGGCCTTCGACTTGGAGTACAGGATTATATAGGAATTTTGTGACATTATTTATATACATATATACATACACACAAATATACAAATCATGCCCCTCACTCTCTCCACGCCACTACATCCGACATCCCTCCGAAATATCAATCTACTTCTCCGAACCGCACCTCGATACATCCAGAATCAATTTCGAAGTCAATCTACTTCTCCCAACCATTCCCATTCCCATTCCTCATCATCTGTCAATCCCAACGAAGTATCGCATTTCAACGCTCTCGCATCAACATGGTGGGATCCCCATGGCTCTTCACGGTTACTACATTTAATGAATCCGCTCCGTCATGATTTCATTCGCACATGTCATTCTTCGCAGCCCATCCCCCCCGCATCTTCCGGGCTGAAATATCTCGATATTGGGTGTGGCGGCGGGATCTTCGCCGAGAGTGCCGCGAGAATGGGGAATTCGGGGAGCGTCACGGCGATTGATCCTTCGCCCGTAGTGTTGAATGTTGCAAAAGCTCATGCGCGCAAAGATCCGGGGCTGCAGGGGAAATTAACGTATTTGAATACGTCGATTGAGGGGTTGCCGAGGCCGACATCGAGAGAGGAACAATATGATGTGCTTTCGTTGTTTGAGGTTATTGAACATATTACGTATCCGTCTGAGTTTCTGGATAAGTGTACGCCGTTTGTGAAGCCCGGGGGGTGGATTATCATGAGTACGATGGCAAGGACGTGGACGAGTTGGTTGACGACAAAGGTGGTGGCGGAGGATGTTATGGGGATTGTACCGAGGGGGACGCATGATTGGAATCAGTATATTAATGAGGAGGAGTTAAGAGGACATTTTTTGAGGGAGAGGGGCTGGAATAGTCCGATTGTTAGGGGGGTGGTTTATGTGCCAGGGTTGGGGTGGAAGGTTGTGCCTGGGAGTGAGAAGGTGGGGAATTATTTCTTTGGGATTAGGAGGGATGAGGTTACGCAGGTGTGAGGTTGTGTCTGGGGAATGCACTGGGAGGGGAAAGATCCTTTGTATTCGTTAAGGTGTTGATATCCTGAGGGTTCCTACAGAAGTAATGTTAGTAATGATGAGTGGTTACTCGTCAAGAAACCGAAGCCACTTGTTGATATCCGGAATGGGTTGATAACAGATGGCGAAGGAATTTGGATGTATACTCTAGGGTGTTTAAGCTCTTGCACTGCAGGTACAGTATTATTCACATGATATTGTGAATATTGGCATCAAATGCGATCCACTACTTGCAATGATACCAAAAAAGCGTATTCTTTCAGAATGTCGCAAAAACATATAGCCGACTTGGCTTTGCAAGATATATCACTATTGATATACCTACGACAACTTATGAGCCATTCTTATGAGAAATGTAATAACAATGATAGTAAATCAAAGCGTTGCACCTTGTAAGTCTATACCATCTAGAAAATATGCATATCATAGGTAACCATAGTCTATCTCACTCCCATCCCATGCTCTACAGCAAGTATCCAGAACATAATACATACATCTATCTATCATCCCAAATCTCATATTCCCCATAGCATTTCTTCATCTTCAAGTGAATAACACTGAACAACCTTGGAGCGATAAGTAGGATGTAGTTTTTTTGAAAAGTTTTGTTGCATATCTGTAGATGTGTGTAGTGATGTGTATAGTTGCTAGCTTGTTGCCAGCGTATTCCATTCGAGAACTCTAATAGTAATAAGTAACCAAAGAGATGGAAACGGAAAGAAATATTTCAGATGTGCAACGGAAGGTGTGGAAAGATGCTGGTGAGTTGTTGTATGAAGCTACTTGGTGGGCTCGGTAATGTGAAATAGTGAATTGTGAGGGAAGATTGGTTTTGTTGCATATCTGTGGGTGCATATAGTAGCTAGCTTGTTGTAGTGTTGCTAGCGTGATATATTCAAAAATAATAATAATAAGTGGTTAAGGGGATTGGAAACAGAAAGATGTGTTTTACATATGCAACAAAATATGTGAGAAGACCTGGTGAGTTGTCATGTGAAGTATTGAATTGGGAGGTGAGTTAGTTTTGTTGCTTATCTGTAGATGTATATAGTGGCTAGCTTGTTATAATGTTGCTAGCGGTGCTCGGTTCAGGGCTCCAAGGGTGCTCTTTGTCTGTGAGATGTGCAACGAAACTTATGATGAGGTTAGTAGGTTGTCGTCTGAAAGTATTCGGTGTGTTCTATGGCGAATTGGTGAATGAATATATGGATTTTAATCAGTTTGTTGCAGGTCTACAGAGGCAGTGCTGCAACTTTATGGCTAGTTTGAGATCTATAGTTGCTGGTGAACGCTTCATTCGGGTTCCTGGCTTTACTAGCGAGGAGTGAGATATCTCGATTGTGCAACGGAACTTGTGTAAAATCAGGGAATTATCATCTGAAGTTGTTTGGGTAAGCTCCATCGCATAAAGTGGTGAATGGATGAAGTGAGATCATTTTGTTGCATATCTGGAATTTTTGGACAGCAGCTGGCGTGGTGTGTAATCGTTAGCATGATATTGATTCGGCCTTTGGGTGGTTCAGATGCCTATAAATGAAAGGCAACACTCCTTAATTGGTCGGCCACTTAGAAGAGCCGGCCATTAAGATATGACAAAAAAATTGATGAAAGCTTTTTCGTAGTGTTTTAGGGATCGATAGTTTCATAATTGATGTTCAATTGGCTCTAGGGTAGATGAAGCAGACTTCTAGACGAAGTACACAGGATTTTGCAAACATGCAACAAAACTTTGGATTCTCATCTGGAGCATTCGAGATGAAGTTGAAGTAAATTTGTAGAGAATGGTGAACAAAGGTAGATCCTGGAGATTTGGAATTGTACATGAGAGACTGCTAGTTGTGAGGTGGAAACCTTGCTTTAATACATTGTGGTTACTATTTCGACTCATGGCGTCTTAGGACAATAGATCTCTTGTGTTGTAGCGTGGAAAATTCTACACCTTTTGGAGAAATTGACGAGGTTCGCATGCTTCGTTACGGCCCATAGAAGCTAGAATGGACAACGGCATAGAAAGCTAATGGGAAGAGAGGAAAAGCTATGGTGTTCTAAATCGTCCGACATATGCTGATTGAATAATCATTCTGGCGAGAATCTACGCATATCTCCAGACCATCTAATGACTAGAGGATAGTTTGGAGATTGGAAGGGGCCAATTATTGACAGGTTGCCGAATTTCATCCAACATAGGCAATATAGCTTCCTAGGCCTCTCGTGCGTGCCAGAACAAAAACATGAACAACAAGGAGAAAGGCTGCATTGTAACTTGCTTTAACGATAAAGCCCTTGGAATGAATCGAGGCCACCTATCAACAATACCGGATCAAAAGTGATCATCATGGGTCTTGAACCCTCACTAGCTACAAGTCTAGGGGGGCAAGGTGATTTTAGGAGACAGTAAACTTGGGATACCAATCCTCAAAGCCTACTAGAATAACTTGGACCACAGATCTTCAGATCAAAGCTGGTGTCATCACTGTACATGAATAGCGACAAGATAGCCAGAATATCTGAAGTATCAGAGAAGAATTGAAAACGATGACTTCAAACATATCCGGATCCGGCGAGATAAATGGCAAAGAAGGATCATAACCTCGATAATGAAAATGGAAGCTTAACTTGTGATAACCTGAACACACTAGCATTCATGAAAGCCACCGTACCTTTGTCTCCGTTAAGGATGACAATATTGACCAAATGCACCTCGTATAATTATGAAAGCCTTAGGCACAAATACCTCAATCTCTCAATTCTGATCCGCAAGTGCACGGCCCAGCCTCGCGCAAAATAATTCCCCAGACGCGACTCCCCATCGCAATCAATCCATCAAGCTTTCCCCCTCCTTTCAGCTATAAAATTATAACCCATCAACAATGCCCTCACCAACCCCCTCACCTGTCCCCCGCGGTCGCTCCCGTGTACGTTCCCGTTCACGAACTCCAGATTCCAGCGCATCACGCTATACTCGGTCGCGCAGCCGTTCTCCACGCCGTTCAATTTCACCTCGTTCTCGATCTAGATCTGGGGGTAGAAGTAGGAGTCGTAGCTTGGTAAGCGCAATTGGTGCTGGCAGAAGTGGAGGCGCGAGATATAGGAGTGGAAGTCGAGGAAGAAGTTTAAGTCCTAGGGGTCGGAGTAGAAGTCGAAGTAGAAGTCGGGAGAGAAGTGAGAGTGCTGGATCTGTAGCTGCCCCGAGGAGTACTAAGGTCCGTTTGTTCGCTTTTATTTTCTTCTTCTCTTGAGAATGAAGATATTTCAATCATTGCTGTTGTTGGTAATCGGAGTTTGATATGCAAATGCTAACAATGAATTCTGTTTGCAGGTTGTGATTGAGAAACTTACCAAAAATGTTACCGAAGATCATCTTCGTGAAATATTTGGGAGTTTTGGCGAGATCAAAGATCTAGATGTGCCAATGAATAGAAGTTGTAAGTTGCACATTAAAATTCTCTGCATATCATCTCATCTTCATATTCTACCATCCTATTGTATAAATTACAACGAATATGTCAGCTAACAATTTTGGAAAGTCAATACCAACCGTGGTACAGCTTATATTCTTTACGTCTCTTCGTCATCCGCAGAATCTGCGATAGCTCATATGCATGAATCACAACTCGATGGCGCAGTTATAAATGTATCAATCGTCTTACCTCGCCGCAAATTTAGTCCACAACCACCCATGGCCCGTCGGGGAGTAAATATCGATCCTAGAATTCCAATTGGTAGTAGGAACTCTCGTGGCGGCTTTGAATCTAGGGGTGCTGGAGGTGGAATGGGAGGAGGCGGAAGAATGATGGATAGGGAAAGAGAAAGAGGTGGTGATACTTATAGACCTAGCGAGAGAAACCGCGAGAGATCAAGAAGCCCCGAAGACATAGGACGAGAAGTCGAAGTTTAAGTAGCCGATCACGGTCAAGATCCCCAAGGAGAGATAGAGGGAGGGATAGGAGAGACAGTTTTGGGGGCCGCGGAGGTAGAGGTGGCAGGGATAGAGATGGAAGCAGGGATGGGAGAAGAAAGAGAAGTCCTAGTTATAGTAGCTATAGTAGCTATGATGATCGAAGTCGGAGTCCAAGTCGAGTTCGAGGTGGAGGTGGAAGAGGAAGACGTTAAGAATGAGATTGAGATGAAGTTAGGTCTCCAAATTATTGCAGCAATCGGGAGGAATTTAAGCACCGACAGATGACCGAGATTTTGCCAAAGGTTGATGGAGAGCTGAGAGGAATTTGGAGCAAAAATGTACAAAATATTTCCTTTCTATCAGCTGGGTTACTATTGTAGTGTAGTTATGGAGCGAAGGAGTTTGGGATTTCGAGATGAAAATGGTCTAGCTAGCGAAACGAACAGAATTTATAATGAAAACACAAAGCTTATTCTGGAGCGTAACAAGTGTTACTACTCTTAGTTATATCTGTGACATCATTTCACGTTATGTTTGATAAGATTCCATTGTCTATTAGACTTCGGTCAAGAAGGTTCTAATGTATAATATCCCCACCCATGATATATATCTAAAAGAAAATTCATTTCTCTTTCGCGCGTCATAAGCTAAACAATGGCCAAGACGAGTCGAAATCATAAAAGCTAAAAGCTTAGTGTAAAGACTTTCAAACATATCTCCATACCAGCCAATCAATTGATCGGTTGTTCGAAATCGGCGCGGAGTACACCTCTCCCCAACTTGGCACTCAATTATTCTCACAAGTTACTTCATAGTAGCATAGTGCGGCCGAATCAAGTAATATCAATAACTATATGCTAGCGATCGTGCTCCTAAACCTTTGGGCTCCCTTGAATCCTTACCTTTGTCAACACAGATGTTCCAGATCCCGATTGGCACAGTGTGATATAAGGTAGTGACTTCGTTCCTTTGTATTCTCACGATCAATTTTTCGCGGCTACATCAACGTGTCATCCTTACACTCTCATCATGACGAACGAAGACCCCGAAGTCACAGAGCTGTCTGCTGCTCCCACTGCCCAACTTACGATACGATACTCTCCAGTTGACCTCGTCAAACCATCCACTGAGAAACTCAGGTCATCGAATGAGAAGATGTCTTTACCTGACGAAATCGTGCTATCCATTCTCGAAATGGCTGTTCAACTGGAGCCTCGGATGATTCGTCTCGGGTGCCATCACGACAAATTCCTCAAAACCATTATCTTGAGCGACAGCCCTGCCCAGTTTCACATTACCTGGAAATTGAGAGAATTGCTTTTCACCTCCAAAACCCTGATCTCAAAATCATTGTTACCCAGCGAAGAAGTTATCCTCACTTACAAACCATACTTTCGGCTCCCAGAATCATGCTTCAGTGCTGAGATTGACTCCTTGCATATCAGCACACAACTTTACACCATGCTCAGAACAGAGGTTCCCTGGAGGCATAATTTCAGACACATGTTTGAACATGTCAAACGCCTGGCTCTTGACCATACTTCCACCAATCAGAGCATATTCCTAAGTCGCTTACGCTTAGATTTCCCAAGACTGGAACAGTATTCCGTGCGGTTTGATACCTCCGACACAAGTCAAAACCTCACAGATCATGCGATAGATCGATGGGTCGAGACCTACAAGAAGCTTGGGCGCGAGCTGAATTACACGATGGAAGTTCAGCTCGATGTGATGATGAGCACTCAGGGTGTTACACTATACTATGAGCACAAGAAGTTCCCTTTTGGGCACGTCTCTGCTGGTCGCTTATCCTATCTGAGGAGTGGGAGTCGTATGTCGCGGGAGTGGATTCCTCCTGTCGTATTGAAGACCCGGCGCTTGTCTTGTCAAAGTGGTTTGGGTATCGGGGTGCGAAATTCCTGTTTTCATGTTAAAGGGTGGGGTAGGATGGATAGGATGGATGGACGGTAATTTTTAGTGAGGAATGAGGGACGATTCGACAGTAGATCATGGGAGCCGGTGTATCTTCTTCATAAGAACCACGTCTCCATGCATCAAATCCCACACATCCTCTGCCTTTAAAAAAATATATGAGATAGGGGGAAGAATAGTTTCAAGAATTAAAAGGGTTACTGTATTGTTTGATTTGTAGGAATGGGGGGAGATGGGAATACAAATGTTTTTGAGAGATTTAGGGAGGGGAAAGGAAGATGTATACGGAGGCGGAGATGAAGGGATGGGTATGGAGATGAGATTGAGGAAAGACAAATTTACGAATGTGTCTTGGAAATACGAAATCCTAGGTGTGAAAGGGGGAAATGGAGAGGAGAGAGTAGAGAGAGGATGTGTAATATGTACACTTCAGATATGAATCGGAGGAAACACGATGTATCTGCTATAATTGAGTTTTGTTTTGACCGTCTACAAGCGAGATCTTTGGACGAGGAAGATTGTGGGATGCTGAGGAGGAGCGGAGGAGGGCATATGTTATAGCTTGTTGACTTGGATTGTAGCAATTTCTTGTAAATACAATACACAATCTAGATTCTACATGATTATATTAGAGCTCCACAGATATGTAGATTTACATAAAAATACAAATAAATGCATATAATTAATGCGGGTTTATGTTTTTGCTTTCTGGCTTTCTGACTCCTTGGTGTGTTGCTTTATATAATGTCTATTACCCATCAATAACCCATTTTCAATTTCCATTCTAATTCTCATTTCTATCTCATTTCTTCACCATTACCTAAAATCATAACATTCATGATATCAGCAGACTATGTGCCAAGCTGTGCTGTGATGTATTGTACTGTATTACATGTCAGCTATTCTATATCATATCATATCATATCTTCCCAACCGAGAGATATTTTAGTTTGCTTCTGTTCTTGTGTCTATGTCTATCATAGATATTTGATCTTTGGGGGCGAACAATATGTATGTATGCATAAAGATGCTCGAATTCTCTGGCAGAGGGGGAATGCGTGGTTTGGCTGAGAAGGAAGCGTGTAAAGCAGACAGATAGAGGGGTTTCTAATGAACAATATCAACAATGTATCTCAACTCCGATATCTCCTTTTTCACTCTCACTCTCACCTCCCCTCACCCAGGGAATGGGTTATAGCAATCAGTGTATTTATTTATTTATTTATTATTCAGGGCAATAAACAAAATGATATTCGCTACCTAGAACCATATCCTAAACCCCAATCCCCGAAGCCAATCATCTTGATATCAAACTCCTCCCTCACTTATGAAATGACTTGACCTTCTCCATTTCATCCCAACTACCCATGAAGATACCGGATCTGTCGTGGATACTCTCGGGTACTACTTCCATCATTCTGTCCATCTTACTGTTTAATGCTTGACCGCCGGCTGGAGATATCATGTTAGTATTCCGTGCATAAATGCGGGGAGAGAAAAGGAAACTTACCATTTTCAAAAACCATAGCCATAGGTGCACATTCGTACAAAATTCTCAATTTACCCTTGGGGCTCTTTTTATCCGCCGGGTAGGCAAAAACGCCTCCATACAGCAATGTTCTATAAGCATCTGCCACCATACTTCCGATATATCTTGCGCTGTAAGGTTTTCCGCCCTCATTCTCAGGGTACTTTAACGAGTTAAAGTAGTTTTTGGTGCTATCTTCCCAGTAAAGAGAGTTTCCCTCATTGACTGAGTAGATGGATCTCGATTTAGGTAATTTCATATCGGGATGTGTGAGGATGAATTCTCCCAACGCATTGTCCATTGTGAAACCATTGACACCACCTCCCTTCATTGTAATAACTAATTGGGCCGAGGCACCGTACATGGTGAAACCTGCGGCGATGAGTTCGGTACCGGGCTTGAGGAGGTCCTCCTTGGTTCCTGTAGAGCCTTCTGCGAGTTTATGAATACCGAAGATTGTGCCGACGGAGACACCAGCGTCAAGATTGGAAGAACCGTCGATGGGGTCGCACGCTACGGCATAACGGGCACCTTTAGCTTCGGGGAAGAAGATGGCTTCTTCTTCTTCTTCTGAAACTAAAACGGCGCATTTTCCGGAGGATTTCATGGCAGCGATAAAGAGGTCATTGCCAATGACGTCGAGTTTCTTTTGATCATCTCCGGTGATGTTGCTTGATCCTGCGAGACCGGTTAAGTTGATGAGGGTTGCGCGACGGATATAGTATGCTATCGATTTGAAGGAGAATTGGAGGGCATGGCAAAGAAGTCTGGTTCTTGTTAGTTTTCTGCAGGTTTAGAGAGTCAAATAATGTAGATGGCATACGTGAAATCTCCAGTTGCTTCTTTGACTTTTGTTTGTTCTTCGGTGAGGAATCTAGTAAGGGTGATGATATCTGTGTTGATATGCTCTGTTGAGCCTTGGTCGCCGCCGTGAGACATGTTGAGATTGTTGAGGAGGAATCTTTTTGAATTGTTTGATTGTATAAACAAATAAATAGAAAAGAGTTATCGAAGGGAGTGTCAAAGTACGGCCTGTTGTTATATAAATATTGGACCTCGGGTCTACACGGGTATGAATTCCGGAAGCAGTATTCGATAATTAAGATAGAACGAGCACGCCGATGGATAGTTTGTAAACGTGGGGAAAAGAAGGAGGAAATAAAAGGAAGAAAGGAAGAATGAAAGGAAAGGGAAGGAAAAGGGGTAATAAGTACTTTTTTGGTATTTATTCTTCTGATATCATACCTTTTGATTACTATGGGAATTGGATCGTCGAGTTGCAATGCTCCATTGTATTTCCAAGCTGTGAAGGAAGAAATATTGGAGCTGGATGATCTACTCTCCAACATGACTCTCCCACGCCGAGCCACCATACTAGAATACCCCAATTCCACAATTCGGTATTGTTTATTACCTTTCCACCTACCTTACCACCTATCTTACCACCTACCTAGATACCCAGATGTGCTACGCTCTCATCTCTCATCTCTCATCCCTCATCCCTCACCCCTCATCCCTCACCTCTTTCATCACATCCATATCACACGTCCCACTGGAAAGTTAAGTGGCTTTTTAAGGTCCCCCCTTCCTCCCCCCACCCCACGAGCCCCGCACTCAGGTCCCGTGTTGTATTTGCTTGGTTGCTTTGTTCATTCAATGCCCCGCGCTAAAAGGATCGGAGGAATGGGGGCCGGAAGAGTATAATTAAACACGGGAAACGTGATACCGGTATGCGGATTTGTTGGGCCAGCTGAGTGTAAGTAGGTATGTACCTAGTAGTGGTGTCAAGTAAAGGAAAAGAAAGGAATGATTTTCCGGTGGGATGAGAAATAGATTTCATGTGGTTGGTAATATCCAAAAGTCTCGCCCTTGACCATGACAGCTAGTTATTACACTCGAAAGAGCTATACGGGCGAAACCGGGCTTCGGACGGATATGTCATTTGTCTTTCCGTTCGCAAGAATGTTTTTCCATTACCAATTTGAAGGCAGGAGAATACATATACCTGGGTGTCTATACCTAGTAGGTACCAGTACCTATCTACCTGGACCCAGCTAACCATACATCGACCAATCGTGAATTGGATCCTTTTCGTCGGTGACATGAGATGAGATGAGATGAGATGAGAACGTTTATTACCGAGCAACTACAGAGTACGCTTTTCGGCGTTAAATGCAAGAGCTCGGTGAGAACTGGCAAAAAAACACAATCACCGAACTGAATAATCATTCCACGTGACTTGGGAGGGCATCATCAATTCGGTGTGATTGAATTGTTAGAGCCTCAGGTTATGAGCGATGCAATGCTGAGCCTCAGGCTACACAAAACTTGCGCTAAACTTTCAAGCTAGTCTTTAGCGCGCGAATGAAATTTTTTAAGCTACAAAACTCTGCCTCTTCTTCACTCTGCCCAAAATATTTTCCACAACTCAACAACAACCTCTGCTTCATGCAGTATGGATTGGATCGGATTGACACAACTCAATTCAATCCAATCCAATTCATCATCAATGGTAAGCGCATCTATATCTTCTTCCCTCTCCCTTCACTATGTGATGACAAAACAACAACCGCAAACTAGAGTCTTTGATCCTACGGGAAATGAAACTTTTGTAACACGTCAGTCTGATATTGGATCACAATTTTCCTCATTTGAGCAATTTCATGACTGGAATCATTGCTAACAATTGAGATAGATATCAACCCCATCACTCTATGCTATTTGCAATTGCTATAACAATCTCTGGATTCTACTTCGGCTCATCATTTGAAATGTAAGCTTCCCTTTATCCTTTCAAATCTTTCTCCCACCCCACATACAATTTGTGATGATGATCAGTTTATGCTTTTGCATGCTGGAAATTACCGACTGAAGCTTTCGGGCTTTTGACGACAAAAAAGGCTGTAACTGAGCAAATTTTTCAATCCAATTCAATTCAACAATTTTCTTTGCTTGATTTGATGCTAATTATATTCTAAGACTAGATGAGCCTTTCAAGTCAAGAGGTACGGCACAACTCTCTTTACTTTCAATATCTCACGACTGCATAAAATGATGAATGGCACTGGGCTCCGACAGTTCCAAAATGGTTCTGGTCTTGATGGATATGCCATTTTGCGGCAGGCCTAGAAAACCTCGCCCACTGATTTCAGTCATATTATCAGCATTTGTTGTACACATGTTTGATATATGGTTTCTGATTTTGGAAACATAGATTTGATAGTCCCTTGGGTAACCCACCCGGTGCTCCAGGTCTTCATTGACTCTGGGCATTAAAACCTCCCTGAGGACTGTAGCATCAGGTAAATAGACATTTTCTCTTAAATTTCACACTTTTTATGATGAGCATTTTTAGATGACGAGTCTGATTGGAGTTTTCCATGTTGACAACATCAAAATTATACCATTCATGCCTTCTGAATTTTTGACGAAAAGAATTTATCTGCTATTCACCCTGTCAAGGCATGTGCTAACGTTAAACTGTTAGAATTCTGAATTGCTGCAATCCTCTTGATGGCCAACGTTATGGTGTCAACTTATCTTGGTAAGGATTTTTCTCTTATATTTTCCCGACAGCCCTCGAGCATTCTGATGACATCGATCGACAATGACAAGCATATGTCCAAGCCTCGGCTGTGACGAGCCTATCTTAACTGAATATGCTCATGCTATTATACACTGTTTAAATCCATTCATAGCCATTACTAACGACTATCGTTTAGATTCTCTGACGCCATGTCCTCTCAACCTAAGTTGATATCATTCCGCATCACTGCATGGTGTTACTTGACCTGGGCTTTACATTTTTGGTATGTTATTACTCACTTCCGTACATTCATTACCCTCACTCCATAACATGATGATTAATTTATCACGACGGTCGACATATCCACACGTTGGTAATTGATGAAACTGCCTATGACTAGGCTTTTGATCTGACATTTCACTTTCCCCTACACTTCTTCGCAACTGTTTTATGATAGAATTATCACTAACAACTTGAAGATATAGGAAACTGCTATGCTTGAATACAGCCCAATCATTCCCGTTCACACGGAAACTTATTTTCATTGCGATACGTGGCTTGCCATATACGTGAAGAAGATATCCACGTCATTTCTTCAAAATAAAAATCAAATTCATTGCTTTAATTATCATGCTATCACATCATTTTCTGCTCAGACATACATAGTAACCGGCCAAGCTTCAAGTTCTATCCAGTTGGCACAAAATGTTTATTCGAGCTACCAAGACTTGCATCTCCATATAGATCTATGGAGGAATATTCATTTCATATCTGTATTATAATCCATTCCCAACCCAAAGTATAACCTGACACCGTTACTCTTTTCGTTATTTGTAACCAATACCCGCTCAAAACATCAAGATATCCCACCCAGACCAACCTTTCACACCAGCCACCCATCCCAAAGCATGTAAATGTAAACCCAAAACCCAGAACAAACCTCCCAAAGCCCTTTAGACCTCCCAACACACCCCTTGGTATCATTTGCCTTGCCGTTGCCACAAAAGGAGTCACGCCACCCTCTCATCTCCCTGAATCATCTGCAATATCATCTTTAATAAATTAATGCAAAACCTGCCCATCACTCGGGAACGCATTGTCCAACGCCATGTAATCTAGCAAATCCATACCACCCACATTAACGCCATCCGCCGTCTGCGTGATATTCACCTGACTATTGAGATCTTGATAGAAGGCGGATCCGGGTGGTAAATACCACATTTCGTCGCTACTATTGTTGTTACCCCAATCGTTGCTAGAGCCTGACATGCCGAACATGGAATTGATGGAGTCACTGTTGAAGTTTGGACCGCCGTGAGCTGCAGGGTAATGGGTGCCGGCGTAGAAATCTCCTTGATTGAGATCATAGGGTGTGGCGGAGAGATTGAGGTCTGTGGGGATGAAGTGGTTAGAGTAAGGATTTGGGGAAGATGTTAGTGATTTAAACTTACCTGGACCATTTACATGGTAATTGGGCATGCCATCATTCCAATCTCGAACCGGATCAGCTGGGTCACGTCTCAGCTTATTCGGGTCTGCGTCATGAGGTGGTGCCGGAGTGCGACTTCTACTTGCGGGTTCTCCTGAAAGGGGAGGTGCTTCAGGGGCGCTAATGAAGCGACTACGCAGACGCTTGGTCAATGTTTCCAACAATTCCGCAAAGCGAATGCCGAGATGGACATCATCGACTACACAAGTACGAAGTGCATTGACCGCAGAATCCATGAGGCTGATGCTGATCTCAACATCATGTTTAGATGCTCCTAATGCGAATGTTTTCAACAAAAACATGGCACCACTTATGATCCGGAAATATGTTCGAACAGGAGCATGCTTCAGGTAATCGTTTGGTAGAAGTCCCTCTACAACGGTTCGTAACAGGTTGCGGCATCCCTCAACAACTTCTCTTACATATCCCTGATCAGTCGCTCCAAAACCACCGAGTCTTGCTAATGGTAGCTTTCCGAAGTAATTTTGTGTTTCTGGGGACATGGCACTTCCTAGTGGTAAACCTGAATCATTGGAGTTGTTTGCTCGATTGGTTGCATTGCTTGTGCATCTTTCAACAACGGCTTGCAAAGAGAGAGAATTTATGTATATTCTGACGTACTCGTACTCTATAGTCAGAATATGTCGAATGTAGAGAGGCAATCCAAATCTGTCAAATTCTCGTTTCCATGAACTTAACATTGGTTGAAAATCCTTCAAAAGATCTGTGTAGCTACCGTCTTGGATGATTTTGGTCGTGTATTGCCTAGATCTAAAGATCTTTTCATTGCCCATGCGCATGGCATTGCTAATCCCGGCCCAGCAATGAATAATCTGATCATCCAATTCTAAATCGGGAATGTAATTAAAATTTGTAACAGTGGTTGTATTGGTGTCGGGGGTTTTACCATCAATTGATAGCCTACGTTTTCGTGGAGCAAATGCAGGATCGGTTTTCCGCAGGTGTTCAGGAACCATATTGGTCCAACCTAAACGTCCAGCTAATTGCGTGACATAGATTAGCACCAGTCGCTTGATTCTCGCGGCTCTTATTCGATATGACTCTTCGTTATATTCTGGTCGTGTCATTTCTCCACCATCAGCCAACGACTCGTCGATATCATCAAAAACACCTAATTCGTAGCCGAGGCCCATGGCGGTACTCAACAACATCCAGCACATTCGATCACTTCTCCAAGCAGGCTCTAGCCAGCCTTCGATTCTTCGCCCTCCAACACCGCCAGGTAGATGGTGTTTGCCTTCTTCGTCAGTAGTGAAAGCATCTTCCTTATCAGGAACTGGTAACATAAGTTCATCAGTTGCTTCCGCAGGAGGGAAGTGAAGAGCACGAGGGTGCCACTCTGTCAAGATCATAAGACTTTCAATTGTACCGAGAGTACGAAGACTGCCTTTTCGAAGTCCTCTCCATGGTGCAGTGCTTGATGTGAGAGAGGCCTCCGCGCCGGAACCACAAAATCCACCACCGAATGCTTCTTGACCCCAAAGACATCTCTCGATCATGCCCCTCAAGTAAGTCCAAAGCTGTTCATGGATCGCGTACGATCTGGAATGTCCTCCAGCTCCAGACATTTCCATGTACCGACTTGAAATTGTCAATAATGTCACTGTGAGAATTGGTTCTTCGACTAGAAGCATAGGATGAGTGTAGGGCTCTTTAAACGTAGGGGGGGAGATAGGTGTTAATGGGGACAAGAATTCATAATAGCTAATTCAATCATTAGTCCGGTATCAAGTTAGTGAAAAGGGAAAACTTACTATGTAATGTATTGAATAGCTTCCGCTGCGGTGAACCATCCTGCGCGAACGAATCTGAACCTTGACCAAGCTTTTATTGCATCCTGGTATCCCAGATCATGATCTTTGTCTAATGGAATGGTATCGCCAGTTGACAATGTAGGATCGATGGAAGATTCCGTGCGTGTGGTTGTGTGTCGCATATGGCTTATAGGAAATGAAGTATGTTGAGTTGCAGGGCCTTGATAGCTCTGAGAGGCAGATTGTGCTCTGTGGCCAATTCTTGGAGAATCTTGGCTGTTACTATCTAGTCGTGCTCTTTTGTGACCTGGACTATAGAAGAAATTAGTACAATTTTTTGCGACTATGATGGCTTCTTGTAGATCCAGCCAATCACAAAACACCAGAAGCATTTTCTCTCATTGGAGCTGTACATAAAAAGTGCAGCAATGCGAAACAGGAATTGGGATACGAATTGCTCCAGATGAAAGGTCTCGACATACCTATCAGTCGCAGCCTTGTAAAGAAGATCCAAAGCATCATGAGGGCCATAAACCTCCTGTCTCATAACTTCTTGCGCTTCTGGATTCTCTACGTTCTGATCTCTTTCTTCTTGTTGCCGTGATTCCGATTGAGGTCTTCGTAGAGGCTGAGTTCTTCCAATAGAACCACCTGGCGTAAGAGGAGGTCCAGGATCCATGCGCGCACTATCAGCAAAGGCGTTGCTTGTCGATCGAGCAGAAGGGGGAGCTCCCATAGAGGTTTGTCTAAAAGTTGCGGGGGGAGAGCCAGAAACCATCTTTCGACCATTGCGCGTTACATAGTCATCGGCATATTCATCTTCAACACTATTTTCTCTGCTTCCATCCGCCTTCCTCTTTCTTCTCGTGGCTGAGAAGAAACATTCTTTACTTTCGCGTCGGCATCGTACACATGGTGGATCACTCGGATTATCGACACTTCCTAAATCACATCTCACTTTGCGACGACGACTGCAATTACAATTAGCCTTGAGATGAGATATGTAAATAAGGTCAGTTACCACGGGATGCAAGCTTGATAAATTCTTTTGTGATTTCCTCCTACTGAAATGTCAGTCTACATGTACAATGGCATTGTGCGACCATGGCTAATTCAGAAGAATGTCGCCAGGTTTCTCCACTAACCATTCTGCAACTTGGATTGCTGCTGACCAGTAGAAGGTGTGCCATTAGTACTAGGCTCACTCGGTTTCTCCTGCTGTGTAAAATTGGTCGCCGGCGCCGACATGATAATAGCAAAAAGAGTAAGCTTAGTTGTGTAAATGATCGAAGCTCTTTCGCTTTCCTACGGTTTAGGCTTTGCGATATGTTTCTTTCCCGAGAGATAAGAATGCCACAACCCGAAGTGATTGACCGACAGACCGACAGCAAGGGACTTTTTTCGGTTTTAATCAGCCTACTCTGTGCTTTGTACTTAGATAAGATAATAAAAAAGGAGGGGCTGTCCTCAATTGTTTATTTTGATCCCTTTGATATTCGAGTAGATTGAAGTATTAAATCATTGATTGGTAGAAATCAAAACTTTGGAAGTCTTGGGATGGATACTTAAAATGGAGAAAGAATTCGAGTTCGGATTCTGAGCAGGTATTATTAAGTTCTGATAATGTTTCATTATCTTCTTGACCTCCTTCCTTGTATTGGGTAGATTTACATACAAAAATGTGTTTCTATCTAGCTCTTTTGGGTGAAGTTGCATACCCGAGGCTACAGTATTATTTATTAATGTACAAGGACTGTCTACGCAGGCGGCTTGATAAACTACAAATTTCGTTGATATGGGCTGTACAGATGGACGGTACAGATGGACAATACAGATGCTATCTATCTATGTAGGCGCAGCAGTGGGGACCTAGGCATACTGTCCCTACCCAGGTAATAGATATGTACAGTATTCTATTCTATAGTCCAGGTTATCTATCATATTCCTCTGGCTAACTGTTATTCACTTTGCTCTTGATTAGAAATCCTTCTCTCGTCGATGTCAAGTGATTGAGTATATGCTCAAAGTAGTTAGTGAAGGAATTCTATTCACCTAGATACTCTTTTAGCTCAGTAAAATTGACGTTGAGCTACTTTGTATACCCTTGAGCTTTTAATTGTCTAATGAGGGGAAGAGAAGCTAATGTCTATAAGAAGCTAGCGTAGATCTGTGTATCGTTGATTGAGTTTCTAGAACTTCTATCTCCCATGTCTTAGGTTTTGCGCAGGAACGTGAGATGTTTATTTCTTTTAAATGGTATGTATCCTTGAGAATTAGGTCTTTTTGATTGAGGCACTAATGAAATTGATAGGTGTTATGACGACAGCACAAACAGCGACGCTAGAGAAATATCGAAGAAGACAAAGTATGAAATTAAGTGGTGTTATGCTATTTTCATCCGAAGTTTACTTCATTCTTCCTATAAACACTCAAGATTGATTCAAACAATCAATATATTTAAGTACTCAAGCGCATTTCTGACATTGACGTATTCATCTTTGACATCGGGGATGATTACTTTAGATGAAGGGGTTTAACCGAGTCTCTAAGAACTGGAGACATCTGTCTTTACTTTACACTCAACTAATTAATGGGTCAAAACCCCTAAAGATTGGAAGAGTTATATTGTGTCTCAATATATAGCCTTTGCTTCTCTCTGCCAAGCCTCTATTCTTGTTCATGGCCTTTGAAAGTTCACGGGCTGCTATTAATGGTCATTCGGCCAATTTTTCAGTTTTGCAAATTTAGTGTTGAAAGTATCAATTACGGCTTCGAAGTGTCTTGGATGTTCACAATAACGCCTTGGCTCTAGAGATAACCTTTATTCTAAGCAACTACGAAGTCTTCACTTCTGCCTATGTAATATTTCGCTCCCAGCCACTTTACTCAGTTCCTTAATTCACACATTACAATTTCCCTCAATCTCTCTAGACTCTAAACTTCAAATTTATCTTCCACTATCCCAACTACCCCCACCTTCCCAAAAGCCACCTCTCTCTCCTTCAAATTAAACACCCCAAACCAATTTCTCAAGAACCCACTTCCTAATACAATACGCTTCACGTCCCCTTCCATCTCCTCTTCTATCTCCATAAACAACGACACGCATCTATGACCACCTATATCAGTTCTATCTACTTCCAAAGTATATTCATATGCCGTTAAAGGAAATTCATGGTCCCCGAGGCGTAAAGCAATAACAGGTAATGAATCACGACTGGAACAGGGAATGGAAGGTGGGACATCGTAGCCGCGGAACTCCATTCCGAGATAGGTGTGGAGAGAAGTGACGAGAGATGAAGGGAGACCGATACCTGGATAGGATGTTTCAAGGATGGCGACGTATGGACGGAGGTTGTAGGAGGAGGATGTGCCAGAGATGGTAAGAGATTTGCAAGGGATTTGCCAGCGATCGGTGATGAGATCTGGAAGCATGGTAGAGCGAGTTTGCGGAGCAATTGTGTGATTTAGGAGAGGGAGAAGCTTGAGGGGGCCGGTATAGCGTGTATGGTCTATTGTACCGAAGGTGAGGAGACCGGGAGTGTCTGGAGTTTGTGGAAGAAGGAGAGTGAAGACCGGTGTTTGAATGAGTTTCTGGGAACGAAGATTGATGAATGGATTTGGAATTGAGTGCGGAGAGTGCGTAGATGAAGGAGCTAGTCCAAAGAGCCCATCCCATTCCAAGTTACCCCAGTCTGGATCTGTAAATCGCCCTACACTATCGACAGCGCCGAATTGTTGTGAAATTTTTAGGCCGGCAAAAGTGATAGTATCGGAGACTAGGTTTCCAAATGCAGAGCATCTGGCATAGTCCATAGCAAAAAGAGTGCCTATCCATGTTTTCGTGTTTGACAAAGAGGGGTCGTAAAGTTGATGGGAGTGACATGTATTCGTACAGTCAACTGACGGTAGAAACATGTCATTATCGGAGATGGAAAGGAGAGCTCGTGAGCTCTGCGGTGGGCTTCCAACCTCCAGATCTATGACATATACCAGTTCATTCCAATCCTGTATTTCGATCAGTATTGTCGTTCGAAAATTACGAGGGGGTGATAAACTTACCCATTCCGGCACTCCACTTCCGTACCTTGCTCTTACATCGTCCAGAAATTTGCCTTTCCCCAAAGCCGCAAGATATTCATCATCATTCTCCACACCACCAACTGGACCTTTTAGCCTCTTTTGTCCGTCTTCATTATGTCTGACTCGCCTTGACACCCTTGCTCTCTCTTTTTTCACTTCACTCTTCTTGTGACTATTGGTTCTACTCCTCGCAATTCGGTCCTCTCTTGCAGCTGCCCTTTTTGCTTGCGCGTACGTGGAGTTTCTTGCTACAGAGTAAATCGGCGTCGAAAAGATCTCTGCTTGGATCAACGTAGCTGTGCATGCTACACACACCAGTCCCAAGTCAGAAACCTTCATGTTATTTCTCTTTTTGCAATCTGATGCCCTGTTGTTCTTTCTTGTCTATTATGTTATGCCCTCACGATTCAAAATTGTATGAGAATTAAGGGACGAAACCAGTTTTGGTTTTGGTAATGATGTGTGAATCACTGAGAATCAAAGTGTTACCAGTACCAACAACGAGTGAATGAATGGATGTGAGGAAAGGAAAAGCCGCTAAAAATCAGATGGGACAGATTACAGGAAAGAAAAAGAATCCAAAGATGCCAGGCTCAAATCCTTTGAGGAATATACAAGGCTATATCAACAGATCTTTCCAACTCGAAGTGATGTTGGCGATTTCTGTTACGGCTGTGCCACCCCTGACGTTGGAACCTACATTTTCCTCTTAATACTCACAGTTCATTTATAGCTATGCAACCCGGTAGGTATCATTGCGGTAATGATGTATTTTTAATATCACTCGGTAGAGTATGTTTTATGTTACTAATGCGAGCGCAAATGTATTGGTTGCAAGCAGATTGAAATTGTTGGTTCTAATAGAATGATACGATCAGAAAGAAGTGTTTGGCGAAAGAATTCCGGAAGTTCGGATAAGCGCCAGGGTAATATCCAGGTTTAGATTGGCGCGGTGATACGGGTGATTGGCCTGCATTTAACCGCTCTGATATGCGATGCGACTGCCAGGGGATGCGAACACGTGCGAGGTATGCTCACGTGTTGATACTGTACTGAGCGGTTACCTATGCTGTAAGACAATGTAGATGCTTCTTCCAAGGATGATTGTGAGATACTGCAGTAAGTAGTTTGCAACTTCGTGAATACTTTCCAAATCTTGTCCTCGATACACTGGCTACAAATTTCACCAAACTGTCTTCACCGGAGCCCACTGAAGAAGCTCAATTTTCACACCTAGCAAGCCTGTTTCTTCCAGTCTAGCATGAGGTGTTACTGAATTCAGTCATATATGAAATATGTGGAACACATAAGCTATGATAAAAAAGATAGCTGCTCGTGCGATAAGCGCAGACCTCGACACCTCTCGTTATAAGGTTTGACCGTTGTATCTACACGTTGGTTTGTAGGAATAGCTCTATCTCTCTAGTATGTGTTTCTCGTCGTGATATTGAAGTATCACCTATCGAGCTTTGACCTGATACCTAGCAATTTTCCTAGAGATCCCTATGCTGAAAGAAATTGCAAGTGGTAATGATTGAAGTGTTTCCTCGGGACTGCGTTGGTGCAAGTTTTCAAAGATTCAAACCCTATCAACACTAAGCTCTGATACTCTGGTTCCTAAAGTATATCTGCGTCATAGGTTTTGGGGTAGCTTTAGTGGATTTGATGGCGTTTTTGAAATCCTGGAGGACAGCCATGTTTTCCTTGCTGTGATCGTATTAAGGGATACTCACTCGTTTTCTGTGTTACCATCTATCCTTATCTGGCAAAGGGGGGAAGCACAGCTAATTCTTCTTAAACAGAGCCTTACATAGAGAGAATGCACAGCAATCAGGTGCTTTGTTCTACATGTCAATGATCAGAATTTCTGGCAGCTCTCCATTCGGTATCAATCTGAAATTGTATGTGGAACGATTATATTGTCGAGAAAAAGTCGTCGCATTAAGAATAACGCTCAATATCAATACATTCCCAACAATATTGATTCCTTCCGAGAACGGAAGCGGCTTCGATGAAAAGTTACTGGAAGTAGTCTTGGAGACCCACATGCCATCACTTACTCCAAATATACAGTGAATAATGTCGAAATATTCCATACCCATAGAGCTTTCTCCCTCTGATCTACTCTGATGCCCGAACTTCGATGCTACAATTATCTTTGAAAGCTTTTCCACACTGCGAAATCCCTCAACCTGGATTAAACTATCCACTACGAATATCAAAAATGTCAAACCTTTTCTCTTGCGTCCATGTCTGGTTCCGACAAAGCCAGATCGGAGAACTCCCTCCTCTTTATCTCAGCAGTCGCCCTTCAGATTCAAAGTTGAAGCATTTGGAACACCACTGGGATCAAGTTATTCAACAGTATCGCGATATGCCCGACGAGAAAGCATTGGACATCATTATACTTCAAGAGGAGTTGCAGAGGGGGATGTCGAAGGAAAAGAGAATGGCAGTGCAGGGATATGTCTTCAATGTTGAAGATCCCGAGAGGAGAGCTATGTTGGAGATTTGGTTGGCGAGGTTTCCGGGATTCATGTTGAGGACCGATAGATTGGTGGATTTCGGGGTTGCGGATACGAGGAAGAAGGCTGAGACTCGAAGCAGTTGGCAATCATGGCTTGAGGAGTGGAAGCTCTGGTGATTTGAGCCTGAGATATGATTATGGAGAGAAAGTCAAATTTGATGTTGGCTGATGCGAGGTATATAAAGCAGTGTGCTCATTTGCGCTGGTATAATTGAACAGATGTGCTCAGCGATGTGGTTTCAATCTTGGAAAGGGCAAGAAGATAGTGAAAGCAGATTGTAATGCTGCAAATACAGACATTTTTGTCCATAAATTATCTTTAAATCGAGAAAATATAAGCACAGAGTACCTTCGAGTCTCCTCTGAGGCTTAGTGCAGCTGATACCAGTGATGTACAGGGTGCCCCCCACTTAATGACCACCTCGTTCAACCATTACTATCGATTGTTGCCTTGTAAACTGCATAATTCTCACATCTCTCCTCTTCACCCACAATCTCATTCGTACATTCCGCTACTTATCTCTTTACTTTCCCCGTGCTTCCATCTCATCGGATCTTCATTTGACTCACCACTGCGTTGATTGGTTTCACTACCTGAACCGCTCCGTTTGAGATTGTGTACCCCAATAAGCTATGATTTTTCCGGGAATATCTTTACTATTCTGCCTCTAAGGTCTTTGCACCATAGAACAAGGCTCTTAAAGGATTTGCAGTGGTATACTTCTGAGCTCAATTGCGAGTAACGGACTAATTGTGTTGCAGAAATCGAACAAGCTGTCACTGTTTCTTTGCGGAATAAGCATTGAAATTGCGGCATGAGCTCGACTCGCCAAGGGATTCCCAACTAGTAAGAAGGATCTATGTTGGCACTATAACTGTTGTTATCAGTCAACACTTTGTATGATATGAATCACATAATTCAAAGAGGTTTCAATAATACAAGGTAAAATTTCTGACTGAAGAATACTCATGAATGCGGTAATACCTGAATATGTATATATGATCTGAACGCTTTGATAATATCACGCTGAATCTGAGAATAGTCTCTCAGCTATATATATATGAATAGGGATTTCCATGCCACTTGTGTGATTGCCGAAAGAGGGGAAAGTAAACGAGTGAATCCGATGGCCTCGGGGATTCTATATAAGACTCTGCTAGTATCTTGGTCATTGTATCATTTACAGGTGTGTGCGATCTATCCTGCTCCGTAAACTCTGGTTTTCAATAATCATAACAACTCCCATAATTGACAAGTATCAAATAAAAGTGATACCAGCATCTACTATCAGAGTTTTACTCTTCATACACAATCCATAACAACACTTCATTACGAGACATCATTGTACCTTTACTTCCCCAATAGGGCTAGCTATCGAGGAGCAATTTTGAGATTGAGCGGGAGTTTAACCAGCGCAGGCAAGTCAACTAGACTGCTAGCCATGCTGTTCTGGAACCCAAATTGGTCATTTCATGTAACCACTTTGAAGCACCATACGGTCTCAAGTAAACTTTTGCATCTAAGCCCCTTCCATAATCGCCAACCTATCAAAACTGCAGATGTGTATCTATTTGTTTGGTTTATGTACAACCATAACAGTCATGCGCGGTGAATGTTCTACGCCAATTGAAGCCCGTTTTGAAGAAAGATGCCAGACCTCTCGTCAATAGTTATTGCCTCACCGAAGCTGGAAAAAAAATCAGGCAGAGTCAGAGGGAAACGCTATGAGGGCTATGCACACCAATATGTTGGCAAATTTGAATGTCCAAGAGACGGAGAGCGATTGGTTTGAGTTATATGATAATTGTAGGATTTCCGTTTCTTGGGTGTGAAGAGACCAGTCGGGTGTGGAATGAACTCGATTGGGGTCGTAAGGGAAGAAGAGAACTATTGAAGCAATTTGGTAAGAACGGCAAGGAGACGAGCAGTGGTGGTACCTGATCTGCCGGAAAGACATCTTCGTTATCAATTGAGTATGGACAAAAATGCGGGGATTACTTGCCTGAAGTCTTCGCCCGACTTTCAAGTAGCTAGGGGAAATAGCTTCAAATCCCCAATGCCACCGATGAATGGCAAGCAACCACAATTATAAGAATGATGAGAGTGAAAAGTCGGCTCAAGCACATGCTGAGCGTGTCGTCTACAACTACTTCTTATTGAACATGCCCTAGACTCCCTCCCATGAACGCCTATCCATACATCACATGGGTGTTGCCAATCTGAAACAAAACATAGTTCTTGCTTTGCTAACCACAAATAATACGAATTGCACAAGGGGTAATCAGAGCATATCCGTGTTCGGAACCCAAAACAGAACTTCCTGATCTGCTGTAGCAAAATGGTTATACTTGGGGTTAAAAGCAACAATGGCCGTTTCGCCTGGGTAATCCAATTCATGCAAAGGACTAAGGACCCGATTTGTTGTAGCCGCAAGTGTATCCCATACCAAGATATTCTTTCCACGAGATCCACTGATTACAAATCTTCCATCAGGAGTAAAACAGCAATCTCCGGCAGTGGTGTGGAGGTATTCACTTGATGAAGGATCCAAATTGTCTGGGTTGTGATCGCCTGCTCCTAGTCTTCTGGCGCCACCTCTATCCCTCCTCAAGAATGCCTTCAGATGCCCGTCAAATGCATCTAATAAGAAATGGCCATTGCCAGTCGTGCCGAGTAACAAGTGCTTCCCATCATTTGAAAACGCCAATTTGTTCCACCCTCTTCCAATTGCCTGAGGGGAAAATTCTTGACAATATGGCAATATGTCAAAAGTAGCAAACGGTTCCTTGTCAAAATTGCGGAAGTCATAAAGTAAAATGGTTTGAGCTAATGGGGAAGCAGCTGCAAAGACGTTCCCGGAAGGATCCCATGCAACGAGGTGAACACCCGTAAGATTCAGGATGCCGGAAGGATTGTTGGAAGCTGCGTCCCAGATTCTCAGAGTGTTGTCTTCAGAGCATGAGATGAAATTGTCCTGGCCGGGATGGAGGGATAGACATGTGACGTTTTGCTCATGGCCTTCAAAGTAACGGATGTAGGAATTATCATGAGCCGAGAGATAACGTATTTTGTCTATATCTTACTCAGCATTATAGCATCAATATAGGTTATAACTTACGGTCTTTTTTGGTACTAGAATGGATTATACAATGTTCAGCATGGCCAAACATTGCATGATTACAACCATACTTGGCACTAATATTCATTTTTGAATGTCTTCCCTCAAGAACATCATATATTTGCATAGTGTTATCAGTTTCTGACGTGATAAGCTGACTGCCATTATCATTGAAATTGATAGACTGAATAAAGTTGTAACTTGGGGGAGTTTGCCCTTTGTCTGCAGGTGTCGGAGGATGTTTGAAAAGCTTGATTCATTAGTAATTGCTCATCCTCTGTAGTAAGTAAGCTTACCTTGACTGGATTGTATAAGGAGATCATCTCCGTAAGTTTGCCTGTTTGTGGGACTGATGAGACTCCGTTTGCTTTCGACATGGAAGTACCATTCGCTCCTAATGGAGAGTCTATCGCCATAGGTGTTGATGACATGATTTTTTGTTGTTATGTTTTACGCTTTTTGAGATACTGTGTAAACTTCAAAGAAAGATTTGAAAATTCCAGGACCATAGAGTGACGAAGACAAACCCCTGGTCTTGATTCCTTGATCTTTATTTTGTCAAAATATCAAAATACCAACAAGCAGAAAGACTTAATCATAATTCAATTTGATATCGCCACGTGATCCGGATGATACCTCTTATCGGGTCCGCCCCGCCATCTCCGTGCTGCTCCGAGGAGCAACTTTAATTTGTAGTGGACAAGGATCTACAGCAAGCTACAGCTCCGACCCTCGGCCAGTCTGCTTCAACGCAATAAAAATTATTAGTTTATACAGAATTATTTTGTATAACAACACAGTCAGCTCCTATTACAAACAACCATATCAATTCTCCACTCCTTGAGCATTTTCCTTCCTCTTTTAAGTTCTGCAAATATCTTGAAATAGAGTTGTCTGGCTTCTTGACGTATTCGAATTGGCGAAGTGACAGCGAGCTCGTTCTGTGAAAAGAGTAGGAGCGGGGAACATAGAATATGTCTACGACATTAGGGTGAGTTTCCAAGACCATTCCCTGCTATATTATGTTCTGACGTAGAAAACATAGGGCCTTTGTCGCCGGCGGCATTGCAGCATGCGGAGCTGTAACTGCAACTCATCCTTTCGAAACAGTGAAGATCCGGTAAGAACACCATTGTCTGGGTAGAGCACATCCGATTACAAAGTTACTAATCGTGCGACCACAGCATGCAATTGCAAGGCGAGCTCCAAGAGAAAGGACTCCAACCAAGACTATATAAAGGGCCTATCCACGGTGTCACAACTATTGTACGGAATGAGGGTCCTGGGGGTATATATCGAGGAATTGGCGCTGCATACATTTACCAGATGATCCTAAATGGATGTAGGCTGGGATTTTACGAACCGATACGAGAGACTCTTACTGGTGCAATATTCGATGATTCAAAAACACAAAGTTTGGGAATAAATATCTTTTCGGGCGCAACGTCAGGAGTTTTGGGCGCTGCGGCAGGAAGTCCATTCTTCCTGGTTAAGACAAGATTACAAAGTTTCTCACCACAAGCACCAGTAGGCACACAGCATGGTTACAAAAATGCCATGGATGGAATGAGAAAGATTTATACAACAGAGGGAGTAAATGGACTTTACAGAGGAGTAGGAGCAGCCATGGTCCGGACAGGTTTTGGAAGTTCTGTTCAGCTACCAACATATTTCTTTGCAAAGCGGAGACTTGTGAAACACTTGGGAATGGAGGAGGGGCCAGCATTGCACCTTGCAAGTAGTACAGCTAGTGGTTTTGTGGTTTGTTGTGTTATGCACCCACCAGGTAAGCAGTTTTTGAATTTGTAAATTTTCTTTATGCTAATTCTTTCAGATACTATTATGTCGCGTATGTACAATCAAACCGGGAATTTATACTCGGGTATTTTTGATTGCCTAGCGAAGACCGTCAAGACTGAAGGCATCTTCGCTATCTACAAGGGTTTCTTGCCACATCTTGCGAGAATATTACCTCATACCATTTTAACCCTCAGTTTGGCGGAGCAAACCAATAAACTGATGCGGAAATTCGAAAACCGAATCCTTCCTGCGTCGATAAAAGAGCAGGTATAGACTAGTTGATTTACACCTCAGATTGGTTGGCAGGCCCGGCCGCGCCGAGTCGTATAACCTCGTTCAGCTTGTATAGTGCATGTCCCTCACGGGCAACCAGGAAGAATAATTGGTGTTTATATACGGGGCATTTGGGGTGTTATAAAAAGATGATAGAATATCGTTGAGCATTTTCATCCGTTGATAGATCTTGAGCATCCATAGCATAGAACAGTATTTGAACTGATGTCTTCCTTTACTGGCCTTGAATCAGGATTTTGATCCCCGCCCCAACCGTAAATACCATCAGTACCCTCTGCGACAGGTAGTCCGCAAATTCCACAGCCCTTCGATACGTGGTCAGTAGAAGGTTTCAATTTGCTCGACGTCCTAACAACATTGGCAACTATACTAGGGAAATTCTCCTCGACAGATTCGAAATATTGTGCCATTAAATCGTCAATCGTTGTCGATTTAGAGGAAGCAGATATATGGGAGGGTGGCTCCTGATACACGACTAGCTCCGGGAGAGGTGTCGTTGAAGAGGAAAATGTCATGATTTCTTTTTTAAGGATATCTCGTAAGGGATAATTAAAGCCCATTCCGTATGGTGATGGTCCATCGGAGACTTGCCATGGCAGAGAGAATCCACGCCCCTTGGCTGTTTCAGTGAGCGTCTTTTCTGCTAGTCGTGTAGTAGTATCACCGAACAAGATGCTCTCGCAATCATTTCTTTTGGCGACATCCACTAGGAGTCTATTCAAGAGCGTAGATACAATATCGGCCCTGGAAGTTGCAGATGACATTGTAGAGACAATATTCTGCAGATCCAAACTCGAGGCTTTGGTACCCTGAGTAGGAACGTCTGATATTCCCAAAGATGCCCAATCAATACCTTCCAGTTGTAATGCTTCCTGAAGTCCATAACTTGAATAAGAATGTCTAGGGTATTGGTCCTTGTATTTTTGCAATAAAGCAGCAGAGGCTTCTCTGTCCGCATCATCCAGGTAAAGATCGATATGTACAACGAATAGTTCATATGAAACCCGGTTCATCCGCTCTTGTTGGGTTTGAAGGTGGCCATCTAATATATGGAGCAGGCATGACGACGAAGGCCCAAAGGAAAGTGGTAATAATAATTTTTGTGGAACTTTCGAAGATCGTTTTCCTTTATACGTTTCCATGCGCTTTACTGCCTTTGTTTTAACATACTGTGAGAAGCATTTTCTGGTAGAGAACAATTTATCAGTAAAAACTATATAAGGATGCTGGGATGCATGACGAACTGGCAAACTGATTCTGATCGAATTTGAAGCGTAGCATTAGACTCCATACATCTCTTGCAGAGCACATTTGGTTGTTCCGCAGAAGGATGCACTGCCTCAGGATTTGCCATCGCCATCGCCATCGCCAATTTATTCAAATAAGTCAAATAATTGGATGTTTCAGGTACAACAAATGTTTCAATATTCTTAATTATTTTGTGCAGATTCAAGACTTTTAATGAGGCGAGGCTGGAGCAAAATGTCAATCGCTCGAGCATAAATCTAACCATATTCAGTTAGCTTGATCTGTGCCTTACGTTTCCCTAACCCGCAATGAAGCTCTGGCTCTGTCAGCTAAGAGGGATCCCTGCCTGGGGGTTTGGTGTTGCCAGAAATCAAACAAGTCTAACAAGTCAAAACTTCATCCAGCGACAAACTTTTCATATTATTTTGTGAATGTTTGAAAAGCTGGTCTGGATGTGCATTTGAATGTTAGGGAGAACGACAATATCATTTACATTCTCAAATCTCGAGATCTTGTTCCCTAGATACTAAAGTAACATAACTTTCAATTCGAGCCCGCGAGGCTACAGCAGACATGCGAGGTTGGCTTCATGGGTTCCTCGCATTGGGGATTTCGGCCCTGACAGTTGGTGCATTGGAGGTCAGAATGGTACGTCGACAGAGGTGGAGATGAGGTGCTTGTTTTGACGGTGATAGCAGGACGAATCTAATGACAATCGACAAGTATGCGCCGGAATGTATGACCGGAAGACTTGGGGAGGCCCGACTGAGCCGCATATATTAGTGAAATGGCTTCCAACTACACAAGACTCAGAGGATCCCGATCCAATTGCAAGTATGGTCATCTTTGAGTGGAGGGATTATGACCTGGTTGGTGTATTGCCAACCATTGACAGTATACAGGTACGATTCAACTGATTTAACTTTTACTTCCATCATCCGCTGATACCTAGGTCTAGAAAGAATTCATTTGCGATCCAGAGAATATCAGCAATGGTTTCTGTAATAGTAACCAAACTGGTCAATTCCTCCTTGCGCCAAACGCAACAGAAAATTCGATCAGTCAAATTTACACTGGAGCCGTTCATCTCAACAGCACCGGCCCACCAATCAATTATCCTATCAAGAAGACTGGCTATTACTGTGTTGGTACAACGGGCTATTCTCCCACAAATGTTAAATATACTGCGATTGTAGAATTCCGGAATGCCTATGGGGAGCTTCCAGCAGCACAAATACCAAAACTGCCATTTTACGGTATTATCACAATTGTGTACGCTGTTATAGGAATGTAGGTCAAACTGTTCCCCTATTTGTTTTTGCCGAAGCTAATTATTGATTGACAGTCTTTGGGCATTTCTCTATGTGCAACATCGGGAAGATATTCGTTAGTATTCTCGGTCGAGTTTTTTATATCTATACTAACATCTCAATAGTGCCTGTACAGAACTACATTACAGCAATCATTGTATTTTTGATAGTCGAAATGCTGATGACTTGGGGCTTCTATGGTAAGTCAATTTTGCAGTTCTTCCCGGACAACGCTAACCTATGTAGACTATCTCAACCGATCTGGCAGCAATATTGGCTCAAAAGCAATGATGATCATCGTTGCTGTGCTTAATGCAGGTCGTAACTCATTCTCGTTCTTCTTGCTACTTATTGTCTGCATGGGTTATGGTGTCGTCAAGCCCAGTTTAGGCAAGACTATGGTTTATGTTCGCTATCTCGCTGGAGCTCATTTCGTCTTTGGCTTGATTTATTCAATTGCGAGCTTGACAATTACTCCTGAGCACGCTGGTAAGACCTTTCCTTACTACCAAAATATTTACGTACTAAATTATGGTTAGGTCCACTAGTACTGTTTGTTATTCTCCCCCTGGCCGGAACTCTTACAGCATTCTACGTCTGGACTCTCAATTCCCTCAACTTGACCATGAAGGATTTGAATGACCGCAAACAAACAACAAAAGCAGGCATGTATCGCAAGCTATGGTGGTGTATTCTGCTTTCGATTATCGTCATATTCGGCTTCTTTTTCTTCAACTCGTTCACTTTCGCTTCGGCTTCGGATCCTGACTTTGTTCCTTTCCACTGGAAATCCAGATGGTTTATTCTTGACGGCTGGCTTAATATTGTCTACTTGATGGACGTCGCATTTGTTGCCTGGGTATGGAGGCCAAGTGCAAACAATAGAAGGTTCGCTATGAGTGATGAGTTGGCACAAGACGATGAGGGATTTGAGATCGCCGATTTTGGCGCTGAAGATGATGACGAAGATGATATCGAGAACTCTGCAGCTCGCAGAGGTGATCGAACACAACCCGGCCAAGAAGGAGCAAGATATGATCCTCCTCCAGGAGCTAACACCGCAAAGGAGATTCCAAGAGAAAGTCTTGATGGAGAAACAATTTTTGCAGTTGGAGAAGATGGTGACCGCTGGTCAGATGATGATGATGACGATTCGGAGGCAGGAAAAAAACTTGTGGGTGGAAAGGGGACAAAAGGTGCACACAATGATTCGGACTCAGATTAAGCGAGATTTTTACCATGTATCATAATGGGTCGGCGTTGGGTATTACTGAGAAAGAAGGAAATGGCATTTACAATTCTAAGCTCGGGGGATTTGTCATAGCATTTGTACTGGTGTATTATTCTAGCAAAGCGTTTATCTATAGAATTTATACTATGGACTATATTTACATGTACCAATCTCTAAATTGCTTGATAAATGGTTGATTGTCAATGATGATTGCCGCTCCTGAAAATCCATTTCTTCATTCTCACTACCCCAGTTTTATATAAATAGTCGCGGCGTATTTATCTCAAATGCCAATGCACTTAACTTCACCCCTTCAGGCCTCAATCTCATTGATTCCCCTTGTATAAGTATAAACTGGCAAAGGTCCCGCTCTCTTAATCATGCCCTTCGACATCTTATCCCCATCAATAATACTCCTGCCAAGCCCTACTGTACTATTTTTCACCCGATTCTCAAATTCTTTTCCATTACCCTTTACAGAGTTGTGCATGCGCGGACTTGTTTCAATGAAATGCGCAAGGGCTGCTCCTTGCGCAATACCCATATCGCTGGTTAGGCGGCGGAGTGCAGTACAAGCGAAGGTGCGGTCCTCGGGCGAAGTAACGCGGGATACGGCTGCGATATAGAGTGGCCAGACGAGAAAATAGGCGCCGGCTGCGGGAAAAGAGAAAGAGGGGGATGTGAGGCCAGTCTCAGCGAGAATAGAGGGAGTATCAGGGACGCAGGCATCTGGGTAGAGGGTGGAGAAAAGATTGCTGATTTCATTGGGAGTCGAAGGTGGGTGGTTATTGAGGGGTGTTGGGGTGCGGGATAGAGGTGTAGAGTGGCCAGGAGATGAAGTCCAGGTTGACGGTTTGCGCTTTACGTAGCCCAGACATTGGGGTACTGAGCGTAAAATTCCATCGCGCATTTGGATTAGTGTATCTGTGCTCAACTGATATTGAGCCATGTAGCTCATAGACGTAAAACGTGGGGGTATGGAATCAAACCCTTCAAGAATATGTTGTCTGATCACCTCGTTAAGCATGATTCGGGAATTTCGCATCGAGTTCCATATTTGCGCTATCCAATAGTCGTAGTATATGTCGTAAGAACCCTTAAAGACGATTTCTGGAGCCTCATTCTCCCCAGCTTGCACGGTCTCGACTTCCCAGCCGGGTGGTACATTAGCAAATATTTGTTGTAACTCTTCGTCGAGAGCAAGAGCAGCGGCAATGACTTGTTCGCTATCGCCTAATTTACCGGTTCGGAGATCGGATCTGAAGTACGTAAATTTGTCCAGGATAGCCAGCATTCTGAAAGCGGGATCCCGGAGGTCAAGCTGCTTATAAACTGCGGCTCGTAGGGCCATAATCTCTTGTGGCATCGGGATCTCTCGCTGTAGAGCGCTTATGAGGAGATGAGCTGTTATCTGCATGAACAGACCCACCCCCACTCGTGTTTTGAACTGTGAAGGGCCTCGAAGCTTAATAAGCGTCGAGGCTCCATTGATGTGTTCGGTCCATGCTTTTAAAGACAATCGATTGGTACATGTTACTGTTTCAAATACGGCTAATACCATGATAGATAGCAATGTACTATCTTTGACAGCATCTGTAGGAGATCTAAGTGCACCATTGACACGCCTCAGCGCAACCATATATTCATGACGAGCTTCACCTAGTAGTTGAGGTGATTTGGTTCTGTTAGCAAGACCAGCAAGACCGACAGCCGTCATGCTTGTAGATAAAGCTTCATCCAGACCACCATTGCGACAGAGGTCCTTCAGATAATTGAAGTGCCCGTGCGATGGTCCGGATACCCCAGCCACAAAATTGGTAATGAAGTATGAGGTACCCTGCTCAACGATTGATGGAGCTAATGCGGCTCTTGGCCGTGGAGCCGTTAAAATTTCGTTCAACTCAAATTCGTCGTCATCTTCATAGTTCGATGAGGATGCCGAAGTACTTTGACTTGAAAGCCTCCGGTCACTCGATGAGGAGGCTCTACTTGTTGCTTTTGTTCTAGTGGCAATAGATGGCCTGGGTGATCGCTGCTCTTTTTCGCTAGCTTTAAGTTTTCTAGCCTTCTCCTTGGCTTTGGCTTTCTCAATGACAGCGGAACTTTCATTTCGGAAAGCCAAATCAAGCATATTCCGATAACCTGGACATATTTTACTCGCTTTCGTACAATTCGTGCAGGTTGGTTGTTCCTGCCCACACTATACGAGACATATGATTAGTCATCTCGCGCTCCTTTCCTCGTTTGAGCGAGATTGCAACCCAAATAGGGTGTGCAGTCTCAGTGATGTTGAGCCTCTTTGCATTAGTAGCCTGGGCACTACCAAGTCTTGCAGGACGTATTAAAGGTCAAGGGTTTCCACGTACACGAATCTTTCTCTCTCTACAATTTGCACATCCTTTTGAAGGCTTTCCACAATATACCATGATGAGCGACGACTAAGAAAATGTTTCCACAAACACAATTGAATAGTGGCATACTTTCGTCAATGGGTGGGAGAATAGAAAGCTTTTTGTATAATTCTTACCACGGCCATTCATGCTGGATACTCCGACATTCTTGCTTGGAGTGAAATTGCAAGTACATCAGCCCCAAGGAAACGCTTCTAGCGCCTGAACAATTTTGAAGCTTCGGATGACAATAACGTAGATACAACTAATAGCGCCGCAGCTTGATTTACTCAAACCAGCTCAGGCATGCTACTTCAACGGGTTTGAATAGGCTTCTCTTCCTATTAAGCAATGTTGACGCCTGTCAACAGGTCCGCATCTGATGGCGGTCAGGGCAGAATTCTTGAGAAGGCAAGATCTGCGCTCCCGAAAAGGAATATTCTCGCTGCAAAAATTACGAACAGTGAGAGGCCTCGCATTGCATTCCCAATTTGGTTTGAGTGATACTTCTGCAGGGACCGCGTGGCACCTCCTAGGATTACGGACCTGGTCCACTCTTGAAGCTTAGACACCGGTACAGTAAGCTCGCTTCTATCGTCTATAGCTAGCGAGGCTAGGGGAACAGAAGCTTAAAGGTTTGTGTATTATTTGACGGTACCAAAAATATTGAATGTCGATGAGAATCGCGGTTGTAGGATCTTGATTATCTCCGAGTAATTGCATGTCTCGATGATTCATTGGTCTGGTTTACGACTGTTGCCTTTTCAACAGTAGGTTTGCTGTCTTGAAATTTCGGGCTTAAACAGCCCCGACCCACTAACACCATAATTAGCATACAGGTCAAAAATTAACATCTTTTTTTGACTATCCTTTCTACAACGATGTCACACGGAGCTCGCTGAGGTACATTTTGTATTGGATCCATATCATACGGTAAATGCAGCAATGGAATCAATGCAGTGGCCGCTGAGCGCAATGACCCGATAACTTTCGGGATATCATTGGCAAGAGTCCCGAATTCCGTGCATGTAGAGATGCACCTCGGGGTTCATTCAACTCACGACGATAATGTCTGCCTATTTATCACATGAAAGAGGGCCCAAAGGATTGCTTCATCTGATGTTGCTTGGTGAGGATGCTTACTTGGGATGACTTCAATATTCTTATATCCGTTAAGGCCGGATATCGAAGCGGGCAAAGATATCCTTCAAGGCAATATGATATCCTTCAAGGCAATATGATATCGAATGATCCATTCCAAAATGCAGCAGCTGAAAATTCGGTTTACGTCTTCACACGACGAATGTATGCAAGCCTCATCATCTATAGCTATATAGACTTCAAAAAGTGGCTTATATACTATTTCGATTTCGGCGGTGGGTGTCTCTAGACACCATGTACCATGTGCATTTTGCCTCCAAATTACCAGTCATCTCTCTCAAAGCCGCTACAGCTCTTCGAGTCGTTTCTTTTCTTTCTTTTATTCCTCAAAATTTCGACACATTTTTTGCACTCATCACCATCTGTCAAGAATGATCTCTTGAAAGAGCTCGTAGTTCCAGCAACCAACTATTTCCTTGCTGAGATAATTCAACAATCCCGCTATTGTATACTTTGGGCTCTTAGTCTCCGAATATTGGTTTTGACACCAGCAGGATTCAAATTTGGATACTATTCTCTTTACAAAGAACAATACCATATATTCTTAACTATCCGGTTGCAGTGCGATTACGGCTTCCTTTTTTGATCGATTTGCTTCGTCGAGATTGGCCTAGACAAGGGAATAGCCTCTTGATGACGAGGACCAGAGCTTGATCTCTTCACACAGCAACAACGCTGGGCGTATCTGCACATTTCAAGATCTTCTTTTAGGCTCACACGGCTCCTTTTGAATAGCACCAAGCTGAGCGAATTTTATCTCAGTCTCGAAATTATCCCTACTGTCGATGTACTTATTAGTTGACATAGAAAACTGGTATCCAAACCCCAAAAATCCATGCTCAAATTCTTCAGACAACAACTCGCAAATACAGGAAAGCTATCCCCTTGTCAATTTATCGATTCGAGTAGCTTATTGGTAAAGCTCGAGGTTAAATCTTTCTGCTTGACCATAAAGATTGTATATCAAAAATTAGATTCGACGATCCATTCAAGATCGATTTGTATGTTTACAAACCCACTCTACAGAGCAACTCTGAGGCACAAATAAATTTCGTCCTCTCAGTATTCTGCAAACGAACATAGAAAGAGGTCACTACGTCTCTTTTTTCGACTTCTGTGGCGATAAAAAGATTCATACCGATTTTGTGTTCGGTGACAACAGGATTAACGTTTCAGTCCGGTTCATGGTACATATTACAGAGAAAATAAGATCTACTAAACTAGAATCATATCAATAGAAAATCTTCCAATACTTGTTGATATACGGTAGGAATTTATGTATACATTCTAATCCGAAAGCACGTCATTGAATGGCATGCAAGGTAGTAAATTGTTATCGCTGGCAAGTATTGTCTAGGCTTCTTTCTGCCTAATTACAATATAAGGCTTATGAAAACTCTATCTAGACGACTCCTACCGAGAGAATGAGTATGAGAATTAATTGAATAAGTAGTTCCCATATATATATATTCGAAGACGTCAATTGACCAGTTCTACAGCTTTTCTCCTCTCTCACTTCTGTCTCACCCTTGTCATTTATTCTTCAATCAGCCAGAGTTCATTCTCCCGCTGGCACAGAGGATCAATTACGAAACTCGAAATTCTCCCTTTTTCTTCCACATGTACATAGCCACTGACAACAAACTCAGTGCATTCCCAATCTGAAATAGCACGAAGTTGATCTGCAAATCCATGTGTATGGTCGTTAGCCGAAAGCTTAATCATCGGGGGCTGAGCTTACTCTCATGTCAGCCACGTTTTCAACTACATGCATGCCTAATTAGGATTAGTTTCCAGCCTTACCATGGGTCTATAGGGTTTTCTCAATGAGGGAATTGTTAAGTTGGTGGTAGAAACTTTACTTTTCGGGTGTTTGATGAGTATCGAAGTCTGGGATGAACCAGATCAGGTAAGAAGAGATATCGAGGATGGGAGAGTATATATTGTTTGGGACTTCTTGTTAATATGTTGTTTGTTCATTCCTTCCACATCAATCAATCAGCTGTAGTTCAAGCTTTTCGAGTCTTCACTTTAAATCAAGAATTTACAACAGAGTAATCTCTTTTCTACTTTCCACTACACAAACTCTAGTCGAAAGTTATATACCCCTTTTCTTGACCTAGCATTTCGTCGACACAAAAGACAGACCATGACCATTACCTATCGCAACGGTGTTGGAATTGGTGAACTGATCGTCTATATCCCTTCCCTCTTCCTCTCCGTCTTCCTCGCTTTTCGTCATGGATTCGGCCGCAGTGCAGGCTGGTACTTCCTCATAATCTTCTGTCTCGCTCGAATCATCGGTCCCTGCATGTCTCTCGCCGCCATATCTTCTCCTTCGGTATCCCTCTACACCGGCGCACTCATCCTGCAAAACATCGGCTTATCGCCTTTGATACTCACTACATTGGGACTCTTAAGTCGCGTTTTAGACAGCATCAATCGAAATACCCACACACTCATCCAACCTCGCATGCTGAAACTCATCGAGATACTTACATTGGTCGGCTTGATACTTGGTATTGTGGGTGGACTTAATGCAAGTGATACCTACACTTCGACTGGGAAATGGGTGCCGGGAACCGAAAGCAAAGTTTCTAACGTCTTGTTTATTGTTTCATTCGTGGCAATTATAGCCACCACAATACTCATCAGTTTCTCAATCTCACATGCGGAAGGTGGGGAGAAGAGGATTTTGTTGGGAATTGCCATCGCGTTGCCATTCCTGTTTGTTCGACTCTTGTATTCCGTTCTTTCGACATTCGTGACACACTCTACGAAATTCAATGCTTTCAGTGGAAGCGTCTCGATTTTGTTATGTATGGACCTGCTTGAAGAATTGGTCATTGTGGTTGTCTATTTGGCAATTGGAGTCACATTGAAAGTTAAATCTAAAGACGTGGTTGCAGATACGGAGATCCAACGGGTTTCAGGGACTTCGGAAAGTGAGGAACCGCTTGGTCGACAAAACCAGCAGAAAAGAACACAACAACAGAATCAAAAAGCAGGAGCAGAAAATGTAGTGTTGAGGATTGCGAAGAAGACGATTATTGGGAGGTTGGTAATGGCATTCATACCAGAGAAGAAGGCAGATGTGGAGATGCAGCATTATGTTCAAAAATAAAGAGTGGTGAGTTAGGGGAGGGAGTCCGAGGGAGCTGTTTGAGTCTGTTCATGTCATTATGTTTTTAGCGTTGGTGTTGGAAAAGATGGTTTGGTTTGATGTTATCGGTCTGTGAAATAGTTGAAGATTTCTTCGTATATATCTCATTTCTCTATAGACTGTATATTTTATAGTATCCCTTAATTAGCATTTCAAATCCTCAATGTATGTGAGTGGCTGCTCGGGTTGCATACCAAGTTGAATGTGTGATATTGAGAAGTCCAACAAGACCAAAATAGCAATCAAAATGCAAGACTTGACCATTCCCACATACTCTTCTAGATCGTTCTCCTGAACCTAATTTCATACACCGAAACAAAGATTTGATACTGACATGGAGGAATGGTATTCCAAAACATACTGACCTGTATGTTTCACGTTTTACTCTCATCTATTTGTTCGTTAATTAATTCATTAATCATCACTACTGGGTATCTAACGTGACCAAGAAAAGTTCTCTCCACGGAGGAAAACCTAGGGCGCATACATGAGAGACATCTATCAAATATGATTCAACGAAACCCAAAAACCCAAACCCTTTCACAGAGGCAAGAACCCACCACCCAACAACCCCAATAACGCATCTCTCTCTTCCCTCCTCATCTCCTCAACCCTCTTATCCACACTCTCCACCTTCCTCACAATCTCATCCACCCTCTCTTCCTCCACCTTCTCCTTCGATCTCTTCGCAATCCTCTTCTTATGAAAATATCGCGAACTAGTCCGGATACGCGTCCCATCCATTTTATATCCCCGACTCGTCTCCTTACTATCCATACCATATCGATATTCCCCTGTATCGAGGTCGATTTCGGTGCGACGTTTGGCTTTCATGTTGAAGGAGATGCGGTCGCGTACGAAGGTGTATTGATGGTAGCCATCTATTTCGGGGCGAGGTGGTGGCCAGATTTGCTTGGAGGATGAAGCGGCTGTGGGTGGGAAGAGGAGATACTCTGGGGTGTGGAGACGAAGATGGGGTGGTGGCGGTGAAGGACGGGTTGGAATGGGATGAAAGAGATTGTATGGGGGTTGAGCGGGATGGGAGATGGAGACCCGGGAGACAGAGATCGGGTCTTCTGTATACGCATCGTCGTCTTTGTCATAATCTTTCATGGGGTCGAAATGGATGAGTTCGATGGAGCGGTGTGGGGAGGCGATCGAGTAGAAAGATTCTTGTTGTGGTGGTAAATCTGGAATGTAATGTGCTTGAACGTCGGTATCTAAATGTAAATATTTAGTGGGTAGTCTAAAATAATTAATTAGATCTTAATACTTGATGCAGAATCTGATGTTCCATCTAGTTGAGCAAAAACTGTAGCTGTAGGAATGAATTCTTTCTTCGTGCTATTCTTCTTGGCGTTGTGAACCGAGTGGGCATATTGGGTTCTAGTGCTGAAGATTGTACCGGGCAGTGGGTTTTCGGGAATCGAAATTCCAAATTGAGGACCGGCCACATCTGGAAAGGCGGTTCTGCCTTTTATGGTTTTGGGCGAAGGCACAATTGGCGTAGTGGTGGAACTAGAGATAGATCTGGTGATTCTTCAGAAACTCATCGGTAGTAGATTATCTGGAACGAAATTTATGTCTTCATCTGTAATTTCTTGTAAACTTAATGTCGAGGGTGGGTGTTTCCACTACAAACCAGATTCAGGTTGAAACGTACGTATAAACCCCATATCGTCACGAATGAAAAATGGGTTGTTACTCGATTGGCCTGGTGCTACAGCAGAAGTATCAGACGAAGGACTTTGCTGCGAAGAAGAATTTGGTGTGGCAAGTTGGGTTCTATGACCAGTAGTGGATATAATTGATAGTGCATTAGCAGCTACTACTGTAGAGCTCGATTCAGTTTGCTGATCTCCCTGATTATCACGCAGTGTTGATAGCGAGTGGTGGGTATTCGAAGTTATGCGAGCAAGCTCATTTTCCTCTTCTTCTTTGCGTAAGAGATAGAGTTGTTGTCCCCCAGCTGATATTGCAGGATGGAAGTGAGGACTCGTAGGGTCATATTTATTGCCAGTTGAGCTTGTAATATGTCTTTTTTGATAGCCTGCGTCATTAAATGGCTGTAGAGGATTTTGGTTTGTGGAAGGAAGAGGGGAGTATCCAGAATAATTTCCAGGAAGCGACATAATGGAAGCTCGATATCCTCAGGGGGAGTTTTGAGGTGTTGAGTCTGAGAACGTAGTTTGACCGAACGCATGTGTTTCCAAGGTTGCGGAGGGATATGATTGATGAAATACATGGGCATGGAGAGAATTTCCCATTGATGTGTTACTATCTGTCGATTCACTCTTCCAATTTGGAGTGTAATTGGAATTGAAACTTTGTTGCTGTACTGGGACTCTTGATTCACCATCAATATTTGAAGGGATATTGGCACGGGAAATCATGTCCCGTGCTGGTTCTCTTCTTTTCGGGACATACGGCATAGAAGTTGTAGAGGCTTGGGTAGAATATGGGCTTGCGTATTGATGTTCTTGACCTTTTTGATGCAATGGCCATGGCGTATAAACACCTCCACCGTTGGTGTTTGGCGGACATCCAGGAACCGCGGTGGTAAATGTAGATGTGTGATTCTGAGGTTGCTGACCAAACTGTGCAAATCGTAATGAGAATGGTTGTGCATCGGGAGATTGGGAGTGATAACTAGCAGACTCGTTTTTATTGTCATTCTCAACTGATGAAATACTAGCACGTCGAGGAGTTGGTGAAATCGAAATACCCCTTGTCATCCAAGGCTTCTGAGGAGATCCAGCAAAAGCATTTGACGTAGCATTGATGGAAATCACTTTCTCTGCAGACCTCCATTGTAAGGGTTCTTCTTTCGGTATTCTTGTAGGATGTTGACTGGACCTGTATTTAACTTCACTGATCCCACATGCCGCAATAATCCTGACGGCTGAAAATGGTTCCCTCCTAGGCTCCTGGCTGAAATCTGGTTCCGCAAATATCTGAGCCCATAGGAGTCTCCCAGCTTCTTCAAGTCCTTCAACATAGCCAGTCTTCTCAAATACTCTCAAAAATTCGTAAATTCTTTGACCATTTGGAGAGGTGTCGTTGAGGTTTTTTCGAAATTCAAGTGGAAGTGCATCGATAGCTCGTAGTTCATTGACTGATTTGACTTTGTTAGTTCTTGATTTTTAAATGATAATGAATGATGCAGAACTAAGAAATATAAAAAAGGAACATACCTGTTGGTGGCTGATGAAACTTATCTCTAACAGCTTTTATATGACGATCTCGAAGGAGACGCGGTACTTCATCTCCATCTCCAGGCATTTGGGCAACGTGAATACAAGCTATTTGTGTGCGGTATTTGTGGATATGGAGAGAAGAGAGATTTGGCGTGCAAAGAAATGACTCAAGTCATGCAAAGTAGATATACGACTAGAAGAGGGTTATTGCACGTGCTTCTAAAGGGCAATACGTGTAACCAAATGTTAGGAAGAGGCTACAAGATCTAGCAAAAAGTTCTTGAGGATGCCATACGGCGTGTCATCTTACCGCTTTCCAAAAGACGGATCAATACGGGCCCGAAAGTGAAGGAATAGATGCGACGAGAGTCCATCACCCAATCAAACCCAACCCCTCCATATTCACTTTCGCTTCTTTCCAATATAGCCCCAAACAATGTCATTAACCTCGAACCAAATCACCAAGTGGTGGTTTGGTTCAACGGTCAAGTGGCCGACTTTGCTATACAATCTTTGCTATACCCATAACTTGCTACAAAGCTGTTGCTATACCCCACTAACCCTAATTCGTGCTAATCATCAATGTAAGTGTGTTATTTCTTTTGCCCTTTTTATACTAGGTACAGTGCATGTAGTCTTTTCTTTTGCCAACATTCTGTGTTGGAGGTAGAGTAGAGTGTGAGGTTATTCTTTTGACGCGGTGATGATAGCCGCCACAGGATAAGCGACGACGTTGACACAGTGACTGGAAGGATTCTAAGAGCACTTGCGAGATTAGTGGGTCTGTTTACGGTTCATAGAAAAGTGAATCTGACAATGCATGTAATTTCAAGCCTTTTAGAAGCAGTCTCAACGTTCATGGTCTTCCGTGCCCCATAGTCAATCACCATGTCTTTGCATTGCATAGACTTATTAATTGGACGGTCTTAGAATAAATCAACTTTTGATTTTCCTTCAAATTCCAGAGATCTGATATTAGATTGCATGCAAAGAGATAGTGTTTACATGGCATCCAAGAAGTGAAGAAGAGGTAGCAAAGAACTGATTGTTAAGAAAACACGCGATTTATAGATATGTCTTCTGTATCCTTGACAGGTAGGGTATACACATGCATACTACATGATCAAAGAAACAAACATGCTTCAAAAAATACTGCAGCATAGTTTTCCGTTGAGTCTTGACCAAAAAGTTGACGAAAGTAAGCCATAGCGAGGGCATAGAACCAACCCACTTCATTCAGTGGCAAGTAATGCTTTAATTATACATTGCTGTTCTTCTATAATATATCCCTCAACTTTTTATCCCGAAAAACTCTAGCGATTTAAAAATTACAAATTGGTTAGATCGTACTCCAAGCATTGTCAATAGGAAGTGCAACACCGTTGATAGACTTCGCTCCGTCGCTTGCAAGGAACAAAATTGTTTCAGCGATTGCCGAAACGGCAACATTGGGCATTTCGCCAGGCTTTATGTGCAAAGCGAGAACTGGTCTATAATGTTGTCAATAAGAAAGACAGGAGAACGACTGGCCCAGAAAAATCTTACCCCCATACAGCGGCCGCTTCTTGATCAAGGGTTTCCATGTTCATCGAGCTGCCCATGTTGGTCATTACACCTGTGATATGCGTTAGTGAGTGTTACAAAAGTATTGTATCTTTGGAAGAAGTCGGTTCTGACCTCCAGGACAAACAGCATTGCATCTGATACCCTCATCCCTAAATCTGAATGCAGTATTCTTGGTCACACCCAACTATAGCATCATTAGCTCCCAGAACTCACGCTTCTTAACCGGAATACTACGAACCAATCCATGCTTAGAAGCTGTATAAGCAACTCCTGCCGCAGCACCACTCAATGAAGCTTTACTACATATATTTATAATGACACCATTCTTCTTAGCTCTCATGAAAGGTAGAACAGCCCTGATTAGTTTCGTAGGAGCCGTGAGATTGATTGCAATGACACGATCCCAATCACCATCCGTGACCTTGTCGGCTGAGGCCATTGAGTCCATCACACCAGCTACATTGGCCAGAACGTCAATGGTATCGCTAGAGGTTCTTTTAGTGTCTTTGAAAGCGGGTTGAATGTATGCATGTGGTTGATAGTTCAAGCCCACCGAAAAAGAAGAGCACCTACCCAAATCGAGCAACACAGATCTTCACAAGCTCATCGCACTCTCCATCTTTGCTCAGGTCTCCTCTATGGAATTGGAACTACTCAAATTCCCATGTCAGTATCTGATATTCTTTCTCCCATAAGTTCCACGCCCCCGAAAAATAGTATAGCGTTCAAAAGCTTCAATCAATATACACTCACCATCTCTTGGTTCTCCTTATTCAACAGAGTATGATCCATCTCGCTCACATCGACACCTAATACCTTGTACTGATGGCTCAAAAACAACCGCGTTGTCTCGAGCCCCATCCCACTTGCGCATCCCGTCACGATGGCTACCTTATTAGACCCTTGCCCGTCAACCATGTTGCTTAGTTGTAATGTTAATGATTTTGCTCAAATATCGCTGATTGTTTGATTCTAGTTTGATGAATTTTGACTTGTTGATTTTCAAATCTGGGAGGTATTTATGTAAAAGTATTGTCGATACTACTGTGGTCTGAACTTCACTTTGAAGATGTAGACGATTCACGGAGGTTAAGTAAGTACCGAGATTCAACAGCCGGAGGTTGTTAATAAGCCACCTGAGCTTTATTGGCTGACTACTTACACGAATATGCTCGAGCGGAGCTTCACCCAGATCTCAGGACATATCGATACTCATGAAACTACCGGTCAATGGGTCGATCGAATGGCTAGACCGTATGAACGTATAGAAATGAAAACAAACCCCCTATCTCGATAACCCCACGGAAGAAAGCAGGAAATGATATTCCAATTCACCTCACGATGTTGTGGAGCTCATTTCCGTCTTTGAAGACTTGGCGTACTGGACCATCACCGACTGCATTATAGAATCGCGGTTCAATTAGTTAGGGGGCAGTGTCACGGAGAATCCTGGATCTGACTTCATCTTGCTTGGAATTGATATTCGAGGTGTTCTTGTCAAAGGACCGCGCGAGACACAGATGTGGCCTGGCTGTGGCTGACAATTATGTGGATAGTTGTGGCTGATTCACGATCTTGCAGAAACTTGTGTCAACACCATTCATTGTTAAGCTAGTAAGCTTGCCATGAGTATGAACAACTAAGTTTCCTAATCCTTTTTATTAGTGTTCCCAGCTACATTTTGCCTAAGCTTTCGACGATTCCTCCATCTCCTTGATCTTCTCAAACAACCTCAAGAATACTGCAGAGTCCTGGGCACCCCCAATCTCATATTTTCCCTGGATAGTGAAATTCGGTACCCCGCTAATCGAATTTCTCCTCGCCTCTTCAACCTCCCTATCAACCTCTACTCCCCCCTTCTCACTCTCCAACCATTCGTTGACTTCCTTCTCGTCCAAACCAGCTCGTACTGCGGCATTACGTAACACTTCATGACTCGTAATATCGCCTTCTTCTTCAAAATACGATTTGAATAATGATTCCACTACTTTCGTTTGCATAGCTGGCGACTTTGTCTTTCCCAATTGAATAAGGCGATGACTGGTTCTCGTAGCTCCCGTCTTTCCTCCAAACTTAAAGTCGATACCGACATCTTTTCCAATTTCAGAAAGTCGGCCAAAAGCTGCCGTCATTCTCTCTTCCCCAAAGCGAGCAAGGTACCATGCTCGTTTATCCACACCTATCCATGACAATCAATCTCAGAACATCTAATTGGCAAAAAATGTGTATTAAAAAAAGAGCAGTTACTTACCCGTTGTAGGCGCTTCTGGAGCAAGGTAAAATGGATGCCATGAGATACTAAATGTATCATTGGAATCAGGATGTCGTTGTTTGTATGCCGTGATTCCTTGCTCGAGTTTTTGCTTTCCAACATAACACCACGGGCAGACGGTGTCGGAAACAATCGCAATATCAAATTTAGTCATTCTGGGCAACGTCGCTCTGAACATCAGATTGTGATAGAATATGAGATGAAAGAAGATGGAAATAGAAAGAACAAACAAAGTAACCACAAATACTGCGAAGAAAATCAACACATGATGCACCAAAAGAAGCAAGGGTCAGAATGAGGAAGCCGATGATTACTATTCACGATGATGAGTACGATTAGAAATCAAGAAATCGAACGGTGACCCAGCCAAATTGGTCGGTATCCCGTTCGTACATGCCGACCCGTAGAGTAGGCAATTACGAAGCATGATGATTCGATGGGATTATTAACGTGTTTTTTTTAATTTATGAGAGTTCCGCACCGAGGTCGTTGGGAGGATATTTGTAAGGATTGCGATGTTGCGTACTTAGGTAACAAGTAGGTCGGCTATGGAAGTATCTCAGAATTTCTGGAATCTGATGATTAATCATGAGTGTGGCTTGTGATGATGGCTTGTGATGGTGGCTTGACAGACAGAATTTCATCACTGAGAAGTCTTCCAGCAACTATTCTCATGAAGCTTTACTTCGCTTACTGATGGCCTCCAATGGTATTGCAAAGTCTCTGGTTGGTTTCTCGGTCAGCTCTTCACCATTTTCAGGGAACTTTGGTCACCAAAAATAAAATACCTTGCGAGAGAGACATAGCCAAAGGCGAATGAGCCAAGCTTTGCTTCTCCTATAATGCAGATTTCTCAAAATGGATAAGGCCATTGAGAACTAGGTTTTGTACTGCTCACCATAATCTTCACTGTACCTAATGTTCGTAACATTTTCATCCGTCTTAACTTACTTGCCTACAAGCCCGGCACAAATCCCTCCACTTTGACATCCCAATCCTCGGGAAAATGCGTTCCAGGCTCACCATCCCAGCCCCCTGCCATCATTGCCATTGCAAGCATTAATCCCCCCGCGTTCGGGAAGTACGGAGTCGGCACGCGGGATCCTCCTACGGGATATCCAGCGTCATCGAATTGAAAGATGGGATGTAACAGGTACTCTATTGCTTGGTCTGTGTCGCCTAGACGAAGAGAATTCATGGCCAGTAGAGCAAAGTCCCAACCATATGAATCTTCTAAATCCCAAAGGGAGTGGATTTTGGAGGCAGTGTTACTAACAATGGTCATATTGAGGGGAGAAGAGCTAGGGGGTGGGAGCCATCCATATATACCGGCCATTGCTGGATGCTGTCATTGGGTCAGGGTTAGCAATTTGTAGTTTTGGGTGTATAGATCATGTAATTATAAGACCACTTACATCAGATGTTGTTTCGTTGTCTGTCCACATATTGGGAATACCCTCGTACACGGGGTATGTGTCGTTGACGATGGGCAGGGGAGCAAGATTTTCCCGCACGTTCTTCCAATTCTCAGGGATAGACTTCCCCTGACGCTCTTTCCAGCTCATAGCTACATCAAGACCAAATCTCCAGTACGCCAGCTCAAAGGTTGGGTTGATTGTCGCATTTGGATTAGTATTCTCAGAGACGGGATACATTGGTGGACCCAAATCATAGACTCCCGTAGTGGCATTATACCACGCGAATGATGCCATGAAGTCTGCTGCAGCTGTCAATACCCCATCCCACCTTTCAAGTGTCGTTTCATTTGGGAACGATCGGTATTCGATCTCGGCAAAGTACATCGGATGCGGTTGCTGCCAGATCAAAAGAGAGTTGATTCCCCCAGGAGCGCTACGGCCGGTCGGGTCGGTCATTTTCCCCCAGCGGGCGCCTTCATATCCTTGAAGTCTGGCCCTGTCGAGTGAAGATTCGAGGAACTGCTCGTACATTCCTGGCATGCTTCGCCAAAGAAGGTCGAAATGATTCCATCGAGCAAAATGCATCAGATGCCAGAAGACCATCTCGAGCTACACGCATGATTCTTAGCCATCGTTCCGAGCCAAACTACGCTCATCATAGAAAAATAAAAACGAAATGAATTGGGAATACGAACGTGGAATTTTCCATACCACCCATTATTCACAAGACCAGATTCTAAGACAGTCAGTAAAACTTCGGAGAAAATTTCATCTCGATCCTAGTCTAGATCACATACCTTGGGGAGGAAAATCTGACGCCGAATTGACCGCCAACAGGTATTGAGATAGAATAGTTCGTCGTTGGAGCTCAGTTGCATTTGTGGAGTCAACAGAACTCAAGTCAATGAATGCCCCTGATTCCCAATAAGTCTTCCACCACGTCTTGGAGCTATCAGTAAGATCAGCTACAGATGGCACACTCGTAGTTCTAGCTTTTCCACAGCTTGCCTCATCCGAGAACGTCGCTGTCATTTTCAGATTGCTGGAGCCCGGAGTTGTGAGAAAGTATCTATGCGTGCCTTCCTTCGGACCCGACACCTGACCTTTGCCTTCCCATCTCGCGGTAAAACAGTAGCTAGTATCGTCTAAAGTATGTTGTATAGCGGCCTCGTTGTCCGCACTATCAAGAAATGTAGAGTGTTTACTGCTGGCATTCCACACGCCTACAAATGGCGCATCGAATTTATTCACATCTGAATATGGAAAGTCGAAAAACAAACCCAAAGAGCCGATACTAAGCAGTTCAGACTCCACATTGATTATGACAATATCAGCGTCTGACGCCGCCGATACCTCAATACGGACTTGGCTGCCATTGTACAGAAACGTTGAAGTGATTACGCCGTTCCATAAATCGAGAACCTGACTTTTCTTCTCCAGGTCACCTTCCGTAACATTCGCGTTCGCAAACCAAAAACCAATATTACCCAAATTCAACCGTTGAGGATTCTGGATTAGCCAGTTTGATATATCAGCCTCAGCTGGATTGGGCTGATCATAGTTCACAAGCCGTCCATGGGACCACCAGTCCAAACCGGTAAAGTCTTTAATTTGTTAACAACTAGTATCTCAACAAGATCAATCAGTAACTAGGCCCTACCTTCCACAGATGTTTGATTCGGAGTCGTCGGCAAACTGAAGTTATGCCAACCCCATGTCGACATGGTCGCAAAAGGACGGAAGGTCTGGAGCCCTGTCACATCGACACCGAAGGCAAAGTTACCATTGCCAACTTGCAGAGGTGTAGTTGCAGAACTAGCGTTACGGTAAACATTATAGGCTTGGACGATTTCTTGTCTTTGTATTAGAGCGCCAACCTTGACGATCCACAGAAAAGATACGCAGGAGGAAAAGATAATTGAAACACGCATATTGATTTGTGTAGCATGTCAATTGGTGAAATTGGGGAAAGATATAAATATAGATAGATTCTCCTCTTTCAGGGACAGAAGAAATTACCCCAGATTCTAACTACCGACGTCACACATGCATGTATACCCTTAACATTGTCCCGAGCCTTAGTTCTTCCACCACTCACATCACTCATATCATTTTACATATGCATGTCAATCCTTGCTAGCGGAAGCGAGTGAGGATGTTAAGGTCTAAATGCATAATTCCAAGATCAAATTCAAACCTCAAATAATGCTTGGACGATCAAAGTAAGTTACTCGCATCGTTGAATATAAGAGAGGATAATCGTGTTGAATTTGGAGGCCAGGATATTAAACATGCGTCAAACTTAAAATACTTCCCTTCTATCCTATTGTATGTTTCGCAACCTCAACCACAATTCCTCTTGAACTACTGGCAATACCAACAATTAACTCCTCTAGTCGGTATGCTCACAGTTCGCAAACATCTCATCGCTGTATCAATGATCAATCACTAGTTACAAGCTACACGCCCTATGGTACAGACGGTCCATCAATTCGAAGACCACCAGGGAGTACTCTACGCAATCCTTCATCTGGATCGGATGGAGCTACACGCATGATTCAATCGATACAACGATGTGGAAGCCGACATAATAACCGTTCTTGAATTTCTTGCATAGAGTTGAAGCACTACCACCCTCTCTGTGAAGATTTCCATATAATCGAACAACGTTTGTAATACAATAAAGCACGGTACACGATGAAACTGCCATTGCATTCGTGCCAGCTACAATAATAAGAGCAACTCCTGAAAGACAGAGTCTACTTCCAATGTTCTTTAATCAATCATCAGCCAGGGCGCAAAGCTCAGGAATTCATGTATGTAACTCATCATGACCACTTCATGATAACAAAAAGTCATTACTGGAAGTATCCGTATAGCAAACATTCCCGAAGTTCAGCCTACCCACCTCTATGTCAAAAAGAGCAAGTCAATTTTCAAAAAAGCTCTGTTTCTTCTCTTTCTGCTTCTACACACAATAAAGAACGAGAGAAATTCTGCCGTCCTTTATAAGCGATGCCAAAATAAGTTATAGGTCACAGCGATCAGATTCCTGGACATTAAATTACTGATGAAGAGCGATTGAGAGAGAAAACGAGAAGGTGACATCTTTTTCTAAGTAAGCCATCATACTACTTTTTACTTTCAACACCAAAGTCAAAAAGCATCTTTAGAACATCTTAATTATGCTGAGTTATCTGATTTTTGACAGCTGAAACAATTGCCATGAAATCCTGGAAAAATTCAGCGTTACTTGAAAGAAAGAAAGAAAGAAAGAAAGAAAGAAAGAAAGAAAAGCCAAGGCAAAGTGAGAATACGTCCAGCGAGCCTAAAATTTCAATTTCCACCCACCACAGCAAGAAAGGACTTCGAAATACCGTCGTCCTGTGCCCGTCTTGACATTTACCACTCAAACTCCGCATCATGGTTTGCCCAATAGTTTACCTTTTTCTTAGCACTCTTCTCTCCGGCTTCCCTATACTTCTGGGCCAACTCTCCAAATCCTTCCTCCTTGACGGTATACTTTACTGTTTCGTCTTCATGCTTACCTACAACATCGGCCACACTAGCAGTAATATCATTGACGACCCTACCGTAATTAACTGCTTCACGGATTTTACAACGAACCCCTTGAGACTCGCAATGTTGCGTCAGGGCTGTGTACGTTCCGAAACCTCTCTATCAAATGGTTAGTAACAGCGCACTAAAACACGTTTAAATAGTCTTCCGATCCGGTTCCAACTTTGGAAAATATGATCTGACAGAATATGAAGAAGATAAATATGAATAATGGACGCCACACTAAACAATGTTGTGACAACTTTGACGAATTGCGAATGAATCAGTGTGCGATGTAGTATAAAACATTCCATAATCAAAGTGATGCCAAGTTACAAAAAATACAGTTTGGGATTGGGAAACATTGAATAAATAAATCTGTTGTGCTTACATAGCAATTGGGACAGATGAGTCTATTATCTGAAGTGTGTGCGGCAGAAAGTAAATGTTGGGTGAAGGCTTTTTCAGTATCGTAACTTTTCCTTTAAACATGTTAGAGAATAGGTTGAATTGGGTAATTGGAACTACTTACTTGCACAATCGGTGAGGACACTGGTACTTTCGAGTGAACGCAACCCAGTATCTTTGTGCACGGAAAGAAGGGTCTTCAGGGTCATATAGTGCATACTCCTTCTCAGGTAAAGGCTTGACAAGAGCTCGCATACGAAGAGGCGGAAGTCCACCAGTTCGAGTAGCTATATCAGTCGCCGCAGGCGCCTCTGTAGATGGTGGGGGGATGGCTTTTCGGGCACTCGCAATGATGTGCTTAGTGTCCCAGATGGAAGTAAACTTTGCGTCCTCAAGTGGCGCATCCATGAAGTTTGGAGCTTTCATACCAGCGTCTCTGTATTGGCTTCCATTTGGCAAAGGTGGGAAATTATCTTCTTTCATGGAAGGTGCAATTGCAACTGGGAAGGAATTTTCGACATACTCGTACTGAACCTCTTCAGTGGGCTTTGGTTTCTCCTTGGTTGCCTTCTTTGAAAACCCTCCCCATGGTATACTCATGGCTTTGTCAACTTCCCCGAAACAAATCAAGTCCTCCTCTGGTTGTAATTCCATGACGGGAGCAGGGGTAGTATTTATAATCGCTTCGTTAAGAGTATTCGATGGTATATCTTCTTCCAGGACTAAATGATTGTAAGCTCACTTCAAGAAAAGAAAGGTTTGGGGAGTTACTAGTAGTTTCCCATCCGCCAAACTCAAAGTTGGTAACTATTTCACTCTCAAAATTTGGTGGTGGTGGCTTGAAAATTGGCGCCAGCGACTTGACTTCCATAGAATTTGTAGAAATATCCTGTGAATCTAGAAGGCTTTTACTAGTTCTTGGGCCAGAATTATCGTCAATTTCCTTTAGGTTAGCCTTAAATTTTGCGTGCAGTTGTTGACGTTGGCGTCTGCTAGCTGCCAGGTTATGTCTCTCTTCAGGGTTGATTGCGCGACAGCTATCAAGTTCAAGGTGATTGATTAAAGATCCTAGACGAATAAACTTTTTGCCACAAGCCATACACTTGAGATCTTGTTCCTTTGGGTGAGTCTGGAGTTTCACAAGATGTCAGTCAACCATGAATCGCCAGTAAGCCGATTTAAATTAACCTACTAAAGTTCGATGACGCTTCAGACCTTCCTCGGTGTGAAAGTCTGTGCTGCAGATGTCACAACAGATGTGATCACTGTGGGTCAATTTGTGGTTATGGAAGGCAGTCCAATCCTTAAAGGTGATGTTACAGAGCCTGCAGTCTACCTTGGTATCAGGCTCGCCCGTCTTTGCGTCTTTGGCAGCCATATCGAAGAGAGTTTAATTGTTGTTAAACGTAATTGAGGTTCTGGTTGTTGATGTTGTTCATGAGACCGATCGAGAGTAGTGTAGACAGTGATATTGTTGATTCGAGGCACATGAAATTTCGATCTAGAAAGGAAGGGCAAATGAAGAGAAAGGATGGTATTGAGACGAACTCCTACGTTCCTTAAGCCTTGGCCAACCTGAGAAGGAAATTAAATAAAGAGATACAATTCACCACGTATGGGAAATCGTGGGGCAAAGAATATGAGTTTGACGGAGAATTGTTTATTGTGTGAAGAAGTGAGCAGGGAGGGAGTGAGAGGTTTTGACTTTTGGTCGCGTAGTTACAGAAGAAGCAAATTGGGAAAGAACAAAAAGAAAAGGCTTAAGACTACCTACCTAGTAAGACTACGGCGACAACAGCAGCAGATATGACTTTTCAAAATAGAAGTAAACAACAAAAACCAACCAATGATCCGCCGACAGTTAATATCTTCGATGATAAGAGGGGAATTGGAGGGGAAAAGAGGAAAAACAACAAATATAATAGTGAATAGAATGGCTGATAGTTCGCGCCCATGCGTGTAGTAGCTATCATCTCATTCTTTTGATACACACCAGAATTCATCTGAAACTTTTAGCTACCTAGGTCAGCTGTATTTACCTGTACACGATGAGTGAAAGAAACCTTCTTCCTTCTCTTCCTTCATCAAAATCAAATACACATTCTTCTTCGTGGCCATGATAATATGCTTACTCTTCGAAGACATGACTACTCAAAGTGACAACATAGATATCAGTCATGTATTCGCTGTCTATAATCACCTTGGACATCGGCTCATATGTCCGAGCAGCCAGAAAGATCGGGAATGTAATAAAGGGGCACCAAATGCTAGCACTGCAAATAGCCATCGTGCTCTCTGCAGTCGACAAAGCGAGACCTGATCCCTTATTCAAGGTGATTCTCCCATTCAACCATTAAGCAGAACCACTGTATGGCTCACCTGCCGAGTCTTCAGAAACTATAGGCAAAATTAGAAACAATCCCTCCGCTTCCACCAAGCTACCCGAGAACCCCTATCCAAATCCAAGAGTCTTGCGGTGGCAGGATGGCAGGATGGCAGAGAGTTCATGTAATACATTAGATACTGCTTAGTACTAAATGATATTACTACAAATCAGATCTTGTAGATGTTGAATTTACAACTGCTGTTACTCGCCAACTACAGAGGCAATCTCATTTATATGTCTATGCAGGTATACATAGCGAAACTAGCGATGTTCATTCAATATTGGGATGCTGAGGTCAAATGGATTGAAATACTGATAGATCGTTAGATGAAGAACACCGTATCCTACCAAGTGGTTCCAATTGCTCATTGCATTGGACCAGATTGTCAAATTGATGATTTATTAGTGATCATGAGTGAAGTTTGCGTGGATTGTCTCACTGTCATCATCTTTGTTCTCGGAAGTCCGGGCTACGGAGGCCGATCTGCGCCTAACCTTACCTATAGTACCTATGTTTAATCAGCGAAGCTCAGCCTCTACTAAACGGAACACAAACACCAGCTGGTCTGTTATTCAAACAACTCCTTAAATAATGCGAACAATAAAGTCATGTTTCTCTGATGAATCCCATGGCTACTCTTTCGCCACCAAGTCCTCCTAGATCTCCCGGCCCTTCGAGAATGTCTCGAAAATGGGCTAGAAAGTGCGAACGTTATTGTTGCATTGGCGCAACTTACTTCCCCCTGGTATTTGTATACAGTATTACAACGTGGGCTGTCTGGGTAGAAACTACAATTGGATTTCTGGCAGATGGCAGCAGAACACACTGGATAGGTAGGCTTTCTTGTTGCAAACAAAATTTTGCAAAGCTAATATTTTACAGGAAAGGGGACGTCATTTCTAGGAATCATTACATATCTTCTCCTGAATTGGTCATACACGGCTGCGGTCTTCACGAGTCCAGGAACTACCACGGCTGCAAACCATGGATATAGCGCACTTCCGACACACAATCTTGTGGCGACAAACTTCACAGTAAAGTCGAATGGGGAATTGCGCTATTGCAAGAAATGTCAGGCAAGGAAGCCAGATCGATCTCACCATTGCTCAACGTGCGGAATTTGTGTATTAAAGATGGATCACCATTGTCCATGGTTAGCTACCTGCGTTGGACTGCGAAATTATAAGGCCTTCCTCTTGTTCCTTATATATACAACATTGTTCTGTTTTCTCTGTTTTGCAGTCTCCGGAACCTGGGTTTGGAGAGAGATATTGAGCGACGGAGAATATACCGATTCATTGTTACCCGTCAATTATGTGATGCTAGTGGTAATTTCCGGAATTATAGGATTGGTATTGGCAGGTTTTACAGGATGGCATATTTTACTATCATCCCGCGGTCAAACGACAATTGAGTGCCTCGAGAAGACGAGATATTTGTCCCCATTGAGAAAGACTATGCAACATCAACACATCCCTGATGATCAAACTCCTGGATCATACGAACAATTAGAGAGAGCTCGCGCAAGAGATCGATATGAGGAATATCTTGACGAACAAGATTCGGAAAAATTACCTAGCGCATTTGATCTTGGGTGGAGGAGAAACTTCAAGCATTTATTCGGACCCAAGGCATTATTATGGGCGGTTCCTATACCCACCACTACTGGAGATGGATGGAGTTGGGAGGCAAGTCCAAAATGGTTAGAGGCTCGAGAAAAACTTGCCCGAGAAAGAGAGGAACAAAGAAACAGAGAAAGGGCTGCCGGCTGGGGCGAGCCAGCATCTCCAATAATACCCCTTCCAAGATCAGAGGGAGCTGGCAGACATTATGTTTCCTATCCCACACAACCCAATCGAGCCAACCGTTCTCAATCCAAAGCAGACCGAATCTTGGGGCGCAGTCCAAATCAATATGTGGATGAAGCAGATTCAAACTCCGTCTCGATGCAAACATTGCAGCCAAGAGACAGCGATGAAGATCCTTACGAAATTAGCAGTGACGAAGATGAGGCGGAAAGAAAAATCCTCGACAGAAAAGCTGCCGCTGGGTGGCCCCAAAGAGTTGGGGTGGTTACGAATACATTACTAGGAAATACGATAGCACGACAAAAGGATGACACGAGAGGATGGGATGGACATGTACATGGACACAATGATGATGTAGATTAAATTTCAAGATTTACAATGTTTCTCTCCGGGTTTGAGATCATCGATTTCGTTCTTTGTATGATACAAGTTAAGCTTTGGATACTTATAATGTCGGTGGATGGATGGATATACGGAATCTCGGAATATGCTATGTTATAATATTATCATTCCTCATAATAATTACTTGATCTCTTTGATCGAATAAAGTCATCGCAGGCAATCCTTCATAGTTCGTCTCGTATATTCTCCCCATAAAAATCGCTTCAACACTTCTCTAACTTTCACCTCCTTTTCCTCACGCCTTGTTTTGTCCTTGGCAGTAGGTTTTCTCGGCTGCTACCCCTTGTCTTCTCGGATTAGCAGCAATATAATACACATTAATGCATATCACTATGGGTGAAAAGAAACCGATATTGATTCCCTGGTTATTGCAACACATCAAATTTCCAGGAGCAAGAACTACCCGAGTGTAGTATGACCTATAATGGAAGAGCTGGCTATATTGTAGGTACAATTGGACACTGTGTACAGCTGTTCGTTTTTACTTTCGCGGTGACGTGACGTGACGCCGTGCGTAAATGCGGTAAACACTAATGCTATGGAAAAACTTGGAACGAAGTGAGCTATGTAGGTAGTGCAGTATGTGGCTAAGGTTTGATTAAATGATTGACAGCGAGGCAATACCGCGACTTTCACAATAACTCTATTCGACTACTAGGTACACCACCAATTGTGATGTATCTAGTGGTGTTATACCACCATGTTCTTATATCCCACAATTCAAAAGTACACCTAGACAGTCAGATGAATGACTAGGCAGCGCAATTAAGATGCATGCTAGAATTAGATCTTGATCCATCTAACCCCTTTCTTAGATTTGAACTGGCGAGGAATGAAATGGGTGGCATGTGGAAAGTGTGACCCAGTGTTTGATTACGTAATCATTATCGAGGCCACGGTATCGCAACATGTTAATCGTTATCTACGGCATGTGCTCTGGTGCTCTTCGCGCTTGTAACTACGATCGACCTGTCCAGTTACACCATAGCGTTGAATGAGCAGCCACTAATTATTTAAGAGAAACCCATTACTCTTTTACACACAAACGACTCTTTGAATATCATATTGATCCTTCAGTGAACAGGTCAGGTAACCTCTCTTTCTAGCCCAGAAGTTCAATTACTATTTCCGATTAATCCGCAATCATGGCGCCTGGTTTCAATACCAAATCTCCCACGTTGAAGCGCATCAGTAAGTTATTCTGTACCCCACGATCGTTCCTCGCATGTGTTAATCAGTGGCGTAGTGAAAGAAGCCGCCGAACTCTCACAACATCCATCTCCAGACTACACAGCTTCTCCGGCTTCAGACACTGATCTGTTTGATTGGCACTTCACGTTGCGCGGCCCTCCATCCTCATCTTTCGCCGAGGGTATCTATCACGGACGCATCGTTTTGCCTCCCCAATATCCTCTTCGACCTCCTTCCTTTAGATTTCTCACGCCCAGTGGAAGATTCGAGGTGAATCGTGAGATCTGTTTAAGTATAAGTGGGCATCATGAGGAAACATGGCAGCCTGCGTGGGGAATACGAACCGCCTTAGTAGCTCTCAGATCCTTCATGGAAACCAGTCCGTCGGGGCAATTGGGAGGGGTTGATGCGAGCGATAGCATTAGAAAGAGAATAGCAGGTGAGAGTAGGGGGTGGAAGTGCGGCGTTTGTGGTGGAAGGAGCTGCGAGGAGATTTTAGGAGAAGCAGAACAACTTGCGAAGGAACTCGAGAGTGAAGGGACGGGTTCTAACAGAGAAGAGGAGACAGTACCGCCTGACATGCAAATAGGGCTCAAGAAGGAGACTAAAGCGGAAACGGGATCAAGCCAGGAAATGGGATCAAACCAGGAAATAGATGAAGGAAATAGTAAATCCACGGAGGAGGTAAAGCCGGCACAGGCTGAGAGTGAGTATCCACCTGCGAGGCCAGCGCAAACGGTATCTCAACCCACAGCTACGATACCGCTTCCTCAAAATCCTCAACCTCGAAGACAAATGGCACAAGCTCGTGTTCAGTCAGATGAAGGTGTACCCGTGTGGGTCGACCGGGCTATTGCTGGGATAGTTTTATGCTTAGTAGTCATGGTTTTGAAGATGCTATTGGGGAAATAAACAGGGCTCCAGGGTATTTTAGTTCAGGCTTTTTTCGGACAATTGTATCAGTCGGTCGGGAGGCATGATGACAAGGCGTTATTGGGCTGGGCGGGTATGGATCTACTCGGCGTTTCCTAAAACTTGATACCATTATACAGTGAATGCAGGATACTTTTCACGTAGCCTAGTTGGCACCTCATTGTATCAAAACAAGAATTCTCGCATGTAGTGAGTAAGTTACGGACAATACAACATGGCCGTAGCTCTACATATCGCAGATGTCAGATTCCTGGTTCTTGATACACGATATTCTCTTAGGATCAGAGTTTGAATTGCTGGACTCTCTGTGCTAAGCATATCAGACTCGAATCTCACATATTTATTGAATGGCTCGAAGTGTATTTATCCAATCTTTCCAAATAAAAATCTTCAATGGTCTGTTCGCTGTTCAGAAAAAAAACTGGTACGACTGACGGTAGGTAGTTGAACAGTCAGATAGGGGCATTTGTCATGCAACTTTACATTGCCATCTTCCAAATTTCTAGAAGATTGATTTTACTGGAATTTCACTGAAGCTTCGTTACACTCCACAATGACCACCATTGAAGTAGTAAATTGACCAATTCACACTTGCCACAAACTACCCGTCGATGTCATTTCTTTGCTTATAGCGGTATTGTATTGCACTACAATGACAGAGTGCTCCCAATATGGTAGACGCTACACTTTCGTACTTATCCATTAGCCAGAGTTCTCTCTCGGCTCCTCTTTATGTCTTTAGCAAATCACAACAATCAGGAAGCCCAAACATTTCCGGTCACTAGGGAAAGCTTTGTATCAAAGACGAATGGCACAATGCCAAGTTTATTCGCTCTTCATCAAAGAGAACAAGAGTTTTAGTTTTAGGAATGTATTGAAACGATTTCGAGGCCGCATTCTACCAACAAAGACTTCTTTGAGCACAGCTCCAAATGTTACTTTCTTCGAGTAATCTTTACAAGCTTCAAAATATTAGATAAAGTTGAACTGGCAATTGTATTATCTTTAACAACACGCCGCCCGAATCAATTCTCGATAATATGGAAGAGTCCGAGGGCTCTGAATGGCAACGCGAGCCGTTACCAGACTTTTTGAGAAGTCCGGGGCTACAAAATTTTATCAAGGTAGTTTACAAGGGCAAAAAGGGCAAGCCGTATCCACAAGATGTTGGCCTCCATAATTTTGAATTGGATCTCGGCGATGCAGCTTATGATTACGCTGTATTGGATGGACCTGTTAAGGAAACATGGGGAGATGTGAGTCAGTGGTTCAATGCAGAACATGGCTACGATGGTACCTCACCAAAAGTAGCACCCCCGAAAGAATCCGACGAGCTCGACATACGGCCGGAATACAATGATTTGTTTTGGGATAATCACAGCATTGACTCGATTGCAAAACTAATCGCAAGTCATGCGCGGGACGAAAACTCAAATCCCCCCATCGATTATTATCATCAACCAAAGCCTTTCTTGCGTGGCTTGATTGATTTCCAAAATATCTTTGGTCACAAAGCTACCGAAGCCCCTCTCGATGGGTATAGTAAGCAAAATCTGCGTGAGGATTTGATTGCTGCGTCCCTGTTTCATCATATTGCGACGACGATTTTGAAGAATCCTTTCTTCTTCTTGGATGATGTGAAAATTTTGAACGGGACAGTCAGCGGTCCGCATAATCCTGTCGACAAATTATATCATGATCTCCTCCAGCGTAAGTAATAATCAGCCGAAATGAACTAGCATGGCGTCTAATGTAGTATCGCATAGATGAATCTCCACAAAACCAGCTTGTCGCTAAATCTTTCCGGGCGCATACCCTTAGATTACTTAGACCTCAAGAAGAGTATAGCCATAGTAAAAGTATCGCAGCCAGAACAAATGGCAAAATTCGGAGAGTAGCACAAGCTCGAGCAAGACAATGGTTGAGAAGCGAAGCACAGGATCTTTGGCTGCCGACCACCGATAAAATCGACGAACATGAAGTTGAAATTCTTTACGAAAGAGCTGCGGAATTAACAGTTGATGTTGCTTCCATGACATGGACGGATATTCAAATAGAAACATTGAAAGATTATACGCCTTTGCCACACCCCACTATTCCTTGCCTCCCTTTATCATTTTGGAAACATTATAAAGCCGACCCAGCTTTGAATCATATCTCAGACATGTCGAAGTATCTTTTTGGAGATATTCCTGTGCCACCACAAGACCTAAAAGTTCTAAACGAGCTCGAAAAGCAGGTTAAACTGGTCAGATGTAGACTTGTCATATATGTGCACATTGAAAATCCTGCAAACCTCGAAACAGGTCACCCGTATCTTGAGGTCGAAGGGTACCCGTTCCCAGACGCGGCCCAGGTTAATGAATGTCCAGAACAGATATATCTGGAGTTACCAGAATTGGAAAAGCAAGAGCCTGGTCCCCGGAAGCTAGAAAGAGTCTACAGCGATGAAGACTTGGCCAGACGGCCTCCGATACTGCGCGGTATGTTCGGAGAAAAACTCACTTGGCGAAAAGTGTGGAAGTTTTACAAATGGCTCTTCGATTCCGCTCTCTATTACATTCCGTTTTATGCGGTGGCGTTGGGGATTCCTTTTATACTTGCATATGGCATTTACAAATCTTTTTCCCTTGGGGCTGATGAAGAGGTAGATTGGTGGTTTTTGCCTAATATTCGAAATATACTCTGCTCTTGGCGAGATGGATTGTCCTCATACTTCTTCGGAATCGCTGGCTGGCTGGGAATCTTAAAATTTTATGATCTAGCGATGACTGCTCTCCATATTGTTTTTGGTCCATGGTTTGAAACCTTTGCTCGCGGGTGGGAACTGGCCCGTCATTCCGTCACAACTTTGGGAGAATATATTTCTGGCTTGTATGATGCTACCGCGGAATTTGTCGTTCTCACAAGAATATGGAGTCTCGAACCTGAGGAATGGGGATTCATAATTGGCTTCCTCTATTGTTTCATACCGTTTGCCATCCTATATTATCTGTACGGCGGGGCTGCGGAAGCGCCACGTCCAGCTCCATGGTATTTACGTCCGCTAATGATTGTGTTTTTTATCTGCCAGTCGCTATGGTTCGATTCTGTACGACGCGTGCTTGCGGATATTACTGGTTACGTATCAGATATACCGAAAATTGTGATGGTTATGTTCGAGGGTTTATTGCATCTCCCAGAAACCTTCAACTGGATGTTAGAATGGATTTCAGGAATTGGTGGCGATACGAGCGTCTCTATTATACCAGAACTCGACCCTAGTCAGACTGGGATTTCGATAACCCCAGAGCCAGGAATATTTGATGATGTTCCAAAGCCTTTCAAATTAAGCCCAAATGTGGAAAAGACGCTTTCAGAATCAACACTTGGAGACACGTTAACAGGGTCAAAACTTGGGGAGGCGATACTAATATCGAATCTCTCGAAAGAACAAGGATTATCGGGTATCGCTGAAATGCTAGAGCGGTCGGAACTTGGCCAAACATTAGGAGAATTCGGATTTGGGCAATCGCTTGTAGGGAGAGGACCCATCGAGGAATCTTTGAAAGGTTCTTTGCTTGGATACATATTAACAGGGTCTGATACTGAAAAGAGGCTAGTAACTGCACAGCTAGGAGCAACATTAACAAAATCAGACCTTGCAGAAAAGTTTGTAGGATCGGAAATCGCGAAAACGTTAACACAATCAGAACTCGCAGAACGAATAACCGAAGCCTTAAACACAGAACTGGGCTTGGAAATACTAGATTCGGGACTGAAGGGGCACGCGAAGGAAATGCCGTCCGTATCAATGCTTGGAAAAGTACTATCCGGACTCAATCTGGCAGAAACGCTAGATGGGTCATTGCTTGGGAAGATCTTGACGGGATCAATTTCGGAACCTATTCTTCCAATAGAAGCTCTTACTGCGTGGGAAGGACTCTCACCACCAGAGCCATATATTCCTGGAACACTTGTCATAGGGGTGGAATCTTCTCCGCCGATCATCACGAAGATAATGACAATAGTCATGAAGCCAATAATGACGTTACTTAGCCCTTTTAAATTGATAGTAACGAGGATAGTGTCAGTAATAATGAAAGCACCAATGATAGAATCTCTTCTACCGATGGTAGAGACAGTAGCGAACACAGCTCTGAAACCATTGGCTCCGGTAATAGGGTTCTTGAGCGGTCTCTCCTCTACCACCGAGCAATCATCCGACCAGAAGCCGGGACATATTCCAGAAACTGGCGCACCAATAGCGGAATCTGTTCTCCCAATAATAGCGAAAGCGTTCACTATAATTTTGAAGCCAATTGCATCATTAGTGGCCATGTTCTCCGATTCATCCTTTACCAGTTCGCCTATCACATACCTAAAAATATCTTTCGATCCAGCTAAGGTGTCATTCGCCATCACTTGGATATTGGGTCCCGCGTTTGTATGTGGCTTTTACATAGCTTTACGGCGCTACCTAGATGTCTGGGGTCAGGCAAATCGCGAAGCACCCCAGAGGTGGAATCTTCCACGACCACTGAAAAGAATACTTGATCTATTGACCTATATCACTCGTAAACTTCGCTCAGCTTATCAGTTGTTCCTTCGGTTTCTCGGTGCACTGGGTCGTCTATTCAAATATGTCTTCCATCCATTTGCGTTTCTTCTTTACCCATTTACATGGCTTTACGCCTCAATTGCCCGTGTTCTTCACACATTTAAATGGTTGGGCTACCCATTCGTTTATGTTTATGTTAAGATTACCAGATTGGGTGGTTATATCTGGCGATCAATAGTTAATCGAATACCGCCAGGACGTTATCTTCTCCTCCAATTTCTGACTGTAATCGGATTTGCATTATATCACATTTTTCCTCTATTGGAATATGCTTATTGGCTGTTCGTGCTATTCGAAGATTACCGTCACCCGAGGCCTCAACTGCCCCAAATGCCATTCATCAACGGAATAATCGGTTTTGTTATGCGCGTATACGAAATGGTTCTCCAATTATTCGCAGACATAAGACAGAAATTATCAGATTTATACAATTTTTTACACTTGAATGCCTTTGCTCCTCTCCAAGGGATAATGGATGCAACAACGTTCTTATACAGACAAGTTCTTCACATCTGGAACATCTTTTCCCGCACCTTGAAATTGGTTTATTATTCAATCTTTTTTTTGACGTATGTAATGTTGGGATGGGAGACAGCAGCCTTTTTCGCCCCTGGACAAAATCCAGAAATTCTTTTGGCTCTCCGAGCTATCCGCTCTCATCTTTGGGAGAGTCCTTTCGCTGCAGTTAGAGTTCATGATCGTGGGGGCGATTTGGCCCGTCATCATTACCCTGAGTTTGCCCAGCATCGTCATCGCTCTCTCCCTCATCCACAATGTGAGTAACTTTCTCCGCCCTTTAGATGTCAACATTAGATCGCATAGACTAACACCACCCAGGGTTTCCCTATTTCCATTTGCTGATTGGGGTAACTATCGGCATTTTTGCATACCTTACCGCAGGTGATCATCCTAGTGGCCGTGATTTTTTCCCTCGTACCAGTGACTTGAACTCGACCTTGGATGAAATGTTGACAAATTGAGATCATGGAAAGTTTCTGGCAATTGTCTTTGCTGGAACCGGTACTACATAAGATTTATGGTTCTGTTTCAAGGGAGCTTGTTAGATAAGGGAAGACTGTCTATTCAATCTATTCATTTCGAGCATCTTGATTTGTAGTGCATAGTGAATCAAAATCAGATCATCAATCTCAAAACTGTACATCTGATCGTACCCTAGAGGCTTGAAACCAAAACATACCCTCACTCCTCATGTTAAAACCATCGACTGTGTAGTGTTCCCGCAAAGCTCACAGTGTGTTCCCATCTTAAAAATTAGTTATGCATTTACTTTCATGATAGCTCCGTAAAACATAGACTATTCTTTCATCTGGAAGGAACTGCCTAGTAGCATCACAAGCGTACACTACTCATTCACTCAGGCCACTTTCCAAATCTTGATTATACCACTCCAGAAACATCGGAAGTATGAGAACGATGCAGTTCTAACATATGAAACAATGAAAGTTCTTTCGTGATTGGAAGCATTTTATACTCGATGAATCATTAAAGGGTCGGAAAACTACAACATATTACGGAAGAAACTGGCATGTTCCTCATTAAGTTTTATCCAACTGCCACGAACAAATAATAGAAGATCTAAACCATTCACAATGATTAAAATCCGTCATCTTATCCATATAAAAACATCAATGTAAACACTTGCCACCTCTACATTGCTCCCTGTCTCTTGTAGTACGCCAACAATGAAGTCTGTGACCAAAGTACTCCAATATTTGGTCAAATTAGGAGCCCAAGAGCTCACCCCTCATATAGCGCGCAAACCTACCTCCAGGATTAGAAGTCTTTCACCAGATAGTCACAAGCGCAAGGATCTTATCAATCTTCTGCTATGCAACGTATGTTCGCCCACTTTCTCGCAGCATCCGATTATACCCACCTTTGCAGATCTTGGGCGACCAATTCATAATACTATGGGCAGATACACAATCTGTCTAACGACTGAAGAACATCGTATGAATACTTATGCGAAATTCTTTGACGACCTCTTTTTTGCAAATAAGGTAAGGGATTTCTGTAGCCTTCGGCGAAAAGACACGGGGGTAGAAAGTGGTACATTCGGCGAATTTTTGCAGTGGAAAGAGAAGCCACAGGTTATAATTTATACCGACCTTGGTAAGAAGACGAGTTTGACAAACGAGAGAGATAAGAAAATCTTTTTAGAAAGACTTCTGGTTGGGATGTGCTGGGCGTTTTTGTATATTTATGAGTGCAAGGAGCCATGTTGTGCGGAGTCACAAGAAGGGGGCGCCGAGCTAGAAAAACTGTTTGACGAACTGTCGAGGGCATTAGATAAGGATTTGGGTATTAAGTTGGAGTTAGAATGGAAGAAAGAGGGGTTTGTGAGGATAGGAACGTCCCCCTTTTCTCCCGCTCGCTATGGTGCGACAAGGTTCTATTAAACGAGTGTGATTGTCGGTGTATTTGGGCACTCTGTACGCATTTGCTTTATAGAATAGCAACACACAAAACGATGACATTGTTGATTATCTTAATCTTGTTCATTGCTGATGCTCAATATGGCATTGTATTCTATAAACTTGAATGAAATGCCCAAGAAAAACCATATCCATGCGTACAGATGCCAGCCCTCGTCTTGCCCAACAGACGCCCCGCTGTCTCTGAAAGTCACTGTCGCGAAAGTAGAATATCCAGACTCCCCTTTCTTTGCCCTCTGAATACACTATATATTCAGGATCGTTGAAGTCTCCGGATCGTCCCGGAAACTTATAATAGTCCTACAAGATTTCGTATAAAGAGTTCGATGTAAAGATTCACTAGAGCCTTAAAACATCCAGCCTCATATCCCTCATTTCCATTTCAATTGATTCTTAAATATAGAAACTTTAATCAAATTATTTTATTGTGTTGATGCATGTTCTGAGTGAAGTTTATCAGTCTTGAGTCTCGCCCTAATGCTTCCGAAAGCTAATCCGAATTAAGTTTAGCTTATCTATCAACATTTCGGAGCGCGGATTGTAAGCTTTGAACAAAAAGTCCCAACGTGCCACTCGAGTTGAAGGTTCGTGAGAATACCTAGTAGCTTGTCAATTTTTCTCCATTCCTTCACATTCTCACCTCCCTCTCTTGAACTTCTTCGCTGAGGGTCTTCTTTCTTATCACATAACCCCATCTTCAAGATGTCACGAATCCTACGACCAGCGAGTCGTTTCATTTCTTCAGCTCGCCCAACACGAAATGCCTTTCAATCTTTTTCCCGTCTACCGGCCATTGTGCAAAGCAGAGGATATGCAAAGGAGAGTGGTGTTAAGGAATATACAGTCAGAGAGGCTTTGAATGAAGCCTTGGCCGAAGAATTGGAGTCAAATCCAAAGGTCTTTGTTCTGGGTGAGGAAGTCGCTCAATACAATGGCGCATACAAGGTTACCAAGGGTTTACTGGATCGTTTCGGTGAAAAGAGAGTTATCGATTCTCCCATCACTGAATCAGGTTTCTGCGGTTTGACCGTCGGTGCTGCGTTGGCAGGTTTACATCCTGTGGTAAGGACTTTTTTTTCTCCATTTCCTTGCCTACCACTGGAAGTCTATCGAGATAAGAGAGAGTAATGGCTAAAACCTAGTTCTACAGTGCGAGTTCATGACTTTCAACTTCGCAATGCAAGCTATTGATCAAATTGTCAACTCCGCCGCCAAAACTCACTACATGTCCGGTGGTATTCAACCCTGTAACATCACATTCCGCGGACCCAACGGTTTCGCATCTGGTGTCGCAGCACAACATTCACAAGATTACTCTGCATGGTACGGAAGTATACCCGGTCTCAAGGTCGTCACTCCATGGAGTGCCGAAGATGCCAAAGGATTACTCAAAGCTGCCATTCGCGACCCTAACCCTGTCTGCGTTCTCGAGAACGAATTGTTGTACGGTCAATCTTTCCCAATGAGCGAGGCTGCTCAGAAGAATGACTTCGTTATTCCATTCGGTAAGGCCAAGATTGAGCGTGCTGGAAAGGATCTCACCATCGTCACTTTGTCCCGCTGTGTTGGACAATCTCTCGTCGCAGCTGAGAACCTTAAGAAGAAGTATGGCGTCGAAGTCGAAGTCATCAACCTCCGATCCATCAAGCCTTTGGATGTCGAAACCATCATGACCTCCCTTAAAAAGACCCACCGTCTCCTCGCTGTCGAGTCCGGTTTCCCAGCTTTCGGTGTCGGCGCTGAATTACTTGCCTTGACCATGGAGTTCGGTTTCGATTATCTCGATGCTCCAGCCCAAAGAATTACTGGTGCTGAAGTCCCAACCCCATATGCTCAAAAGTTGGAAGATATGAGTTTCCCTAACGAGCAGTTGATTGAGAACTACGTCGCCAAGATGTTACGATTGTAAGAAGATGAAAGTTTCTAGAAGTGATAACGAGGATGATGGGCTGGGTTTGGGAGGGGTGGAGGACGTGTATTAAATAGCATACTCCTGGCAAATATACCAATAAGACCTTTGTTTGAACCCGTACCATACTGATTTGGATACAAGTAAATGTGAATTTGTGAGTGTTTTACTATGGACTATTTTTCCAGACTAATCTGACATCTTGAAATCCAAAAAATTGTTGCCTTGATCTCCAGACAGTTGAGGGACTACCCCGTGTCAAATCGTTCATGGCGGGTCTTTTTGTTCAACAACGACTTGGTATCCCATGCTAAAGCCACCTTAGACAGACATCACCGTTGGAACATTCAGCTAAGATTTCAAAAACTTCCTGGCGTTTGAAATGATCCAACAGTCTAATCACGGCGATTTTAAGATTATCAGAGAACACCCCTTGTTACATGACGATTTAGCATCACTCAAACATAAGTATCACAAGCACAAGACGAGAACAGATGCCTGTTACTCAAATCCTGATTTCTCTACAATGATATGATATGTGGTGCTATTAGTGCAAAGGACTATCCGACACGCTCCAAACTCCTCGTAAGGATTGCTCCGCTTCGCTGCAGATCGAAGAATAATCAAAACTATGTTCCCCAAAGCCGTTTCCCATCATCCTGAGCTTACGCATAAAACAAAGACATCACCGCTTAGACACCCATAGTAAAGTCATGCTCAATACCTGGTGTCACACTTGCCATGAACTGGGATTTTGTTAGCATAATTCACCATAGTAGAGGTACAAAATAACTGACCTTCAAGAATACAACGAGATATTGGTCCACACGGATAGCAACTTCTTCCTCCTCATTGGCAAAATCTTGATCATGTTGCAACACCTCCCACTCATCGTTGCCATTCCCACCAGCTTTCAGACCCTCGAGAACAGCCTTCTTATCACCAATTTTGGTCTTCTCGAAATCGTCAACTAGGCCTTCCATTCCGGTGTCTTTAGAACCAAGTACTGTCTTGCCCTGTCTTTGTTTTTCTCGTCGAAGCTTTAAGGCCGCGTCTGCACGATCCAGAAGGGTCTTCATGACACTGGCATGTTTGCAAGGATGGATGGAGGCCATCTTGATGTTGTTGCTAAAGTATGGGAAGTCTTCTAATGTGACGGTCTTGTCCTTATAGTCCCCTACGATATCCTCCATCATAAGGTGTGGTGGGAGGGGTTGGGAGCTTGAGAGATATCCTGAGAGGTACAGTCGAGGAGTTCTGTAATAGGGTGTATATGCGATGTAGATAGTATATGTTCGACGAGATCTGATAAATGAACTGTTAATATCTAGCTGTCAACCTAATCTCTAGAGATACTTACGAACTCGCATTGTCAGCCTTAGGATCACGAATAATAGCTTCATCGTCATCATCGTCATCCTCCATATCTGGAATATCATCCTCATCATCTTCTCTCTCGCCCATTTCACCGCTCTCATCTACTGTCCGCACATCTCTCACACGGGCTTCTTGACTGGCGGCCAACCCTCCTGTCCTCAGCCAACCATCTTCATCATCGCCTGGAGAATGAGGGCCATCGCCTCTAAAGTCCTCCCCATCTCTAACAACAGTTTCATCATGACCTGCATCGCCTGCAAAATCATCATCGAGTCTGCGATGGCAAGGCACGCCACGGGTAACTAGAAACTGCTTGCCAGCTGGTAGATAGTTGGCGCGCTTGCTTGTTGGGGATGCATCAGCCCATGACCATGTTGGAAACTTGAATACTAAATAATCTCCAGCTGCTACGAATTCTTCTGGTGTAATCTGTCCGTTGGTGCGAAAGGTCGAGGTATTAGAGACGGGTGTAAATTCTCGAAGTCTATCGAGAGTACTGTGGATGAAGTTCATGATGGCGGGGTTGCTTCCTTTGATGTTGAGCGGGGTCTCAAGGGTATTGCGAGATGTTTACCTTGATGGCGTTTGCAAGATCTATCTATCGTTTATGTTTTTGTTCGGATGGGTTGAAAGGAATCCGGAAGGTTGAATGCGGGTTGGATTTTATATGTATGTGGGATACGGTTGAGTCAATGGTAGAACGGAGAGTAGCCTTATGATGATGTTCTTATCGATAAAGGCGATAACCTTCGAGACGGTGAATGATTTAGTCCATGTGACCCTTGACATTGTTTTTCGTATTAGATACATGTTCTCTATAAATATCCACACTTCTGTTACCATCGCTCCCCCATCTTAAAGACAGATCGCATTATGTTGGAATACACCATAGATTCATGTAGTTTTCTCAATCTTTTGACTCCGTATCGAGACAATAAAATTACCTACTAGGCACTTAGGTAAGGTTTTGGTATCGTGAATCCGCTACTCCACGCACGCAAAGACAATTTTCCAAATCCGGAAGACAACGAATACATTGTACACTTAATGAACCCTCTTCATCCACCAAAACCGTGCATTACATGGAAATCTTGGATCTATTCTGGAACAACAAATCTACTGTCAATATTAGTCACGTGCTTAGACACCTGCAGCATTCGAAAATGTTAAAGCTTTGCGTATCTCCCAAGTCACATTACTTATGTGCTCATTCTAATGAAGAAGTGCCATACTGTATGATAATTCGTCCAAGTCCATCGTAAGAAAGATGCATAACATGTATTATCCACCATCTAAAAATCCTGTATCCCAGTTTCTCCACCAACTGTTTCCCCAGTTTCTTCTTCCCCTAGCCATTCCGGTTCTTCATCCTCGAACCATCGCTCTTCAACGTCCCTATTTTCAATCTCATCCCATTCCCCACCAGCATCTACATCTCGATAATCGAAATCTCCATCTTCCCCCCTAAGAAACTTGAGTGTCATCTCAAACTTCCATCTCTCGAAGCCATCTTCCTTACTCCTCGGTACTTCATCCGGATCTTCAGGTAAAACTTCACCACTTTGACCTCTGGCATAGCTCAAGTATGGAACCCCGTGATCTTCTTGAATGCGCCCAACACTTTCATCTTCATCCTTAGGGCGCGAATCAGAGCTGCCCTTCAATGCAGCAAGCTTAGCTTCTGATCGATATAGATCTGCTTCCAATACACCTGGCAGAGATACTTATTACCATCAGAAGAACTAGAGACGATCGAAATCATTGAAGGTTTGCCTACCAGAATAACCTTTTGCTCGTCCATCTGCTTCTCTTTCCGCGGCAGTCTGGAATCTCCTGATGCACCGGTCATACAATAACGGATCTGAATATAATTAGTTATCAAGTTGTTTAAGTCAACATAGCAAAAATTGACCTGCGAGCTCTAGGTCCGGGGCAGTGAAATATGATGGATGGCGATCAAGATACAATTTCCTGCGATTTTTGATACGTATGCGAGCTACACGCTCCGCAGAGTCTTGTGTTTGTGGCTCCGGTGTATTGGGCTCTCTGTGAGGCATGACGATAGGCTCAATGTTGTGGGGATCAATATTTGGATGAATGGATTCTGAAGTCATGCGTAAGGAATTTAAGTGGCGAGATTGGTTGATTTTCGCAGTTTGTTGTCAGATTATGAGATAATGGATAGTTACTCTTCACAACAATACCTAATAAGCATCAGATACGGAGTTTTAATCTATGGTGATTTGATGAATGTTTGATGAATGATATTTACCGAAGAAATATTGTGAATATTTGAATGAAACGTTGGTTGATAATGGGGGCTCAGTCGTGGCAATGAAGTACACCGGGGTGCTGGTATTATGAGTCGCCTCGGCTAGCCTTGGCCGTTTAAATTCATATACTGTTGTCACGTCTATCTGACACCTAGAACATGCTTACTGACCAACATATAAATTGTTTCGTTGATCTACAATTCAGGAAATCATTCACGAAATCATTCTCTAATCTTGAACATGACTTCAACTCTTCACGAAAAGGCGCTTGAGCCTCCGTTCATAACCGTCGAAGGGATTCCCAACTTTCGGGATCTAGGTGGATATCCACTCGCATCGGGACCAACTTCGCATTCCGTAAGACAGGGCGTTGTCTATCGCTGTGGTGAGCCTCAAAGAGTCACGAAGAAGGGAATTGCTACTATGCAGCAGTTAGGAATTACTCATATCTATGATTTGAGGTCTCAAGATGAGCTTATTAAAGGTGCGGCCGCTGGTAGGGGTGGAGTGGTAGAGTGGGAGGGCTGTCAGCGAGTCTTCGCACCAGTATTCCCGGCGGAGGACTATAGCCCGGAAAAAATTGCCATCCGATTTAAGGATTATGCCTCAAAGGATACCGAGGTAGGTTTTCTTGATTAGAAGCTGTGGAGAAAAAATATAGCTAAATGGCATTCTGAAGGGTTTCACTCGGGCATATACCGATATCTTGAACAATGCTCCAAACTCATACAGAACTATTCTTCTCCACCTTGCAAATGAACCTTCCAAACCATTGATCGTTCATTGTACAGCCGGTAAAGATAGAACTGGTGTTCTTTGCGCATTGATCTTGTCTCTCTGCGGAGTTGACGACGAGGTTGTCGCACGCGAATATAGTTTGACAACATTTGGACTTCCGCAAGAGTGGAAAGCAGGAATCATCAAGCATTTAATGGCACACCCAGCCATAAAAGACGACCATGAAGGAGCAGAAAATTTGATTAGCTCCAAGTATGTAATACTTTCCCTCAAAAAAGATATGTTGCTAACAAAAGCTAGAGCTGAGAACATGCTCGCTACTCTTAAGATGCTCCGAGAGAACTTTGGTGGGGCTGAATCATACGTAATAGAGAAATGTGGTCTTACAATTGATGAGGTGGGAAGGATTCGTAAGAACTTGATTATAGAGTCACCGGCTGTTCACAAAATTGCTTAGTAGAAGAAGGATAGCAATCAGTTCCAAGAAATGCTTCGAGATCATGTAGACACGTGACTATTTCGCTTAGCGTTTTCTTGGAGCTTTGAACCCAAGTTTAACTTAGAAATTTCCTCACCGAGGGACCCCACGGTTTTTATCAACCACCCTCAATCCTCTTTCTTCACTACCTCAATTGAGTTGTTTTTATCATGAATCCTTCTTCAAGATGTCCAAACTTACTCGCGTCTGGGTCCGCCTATGCAAAGTCCTTTCTTAATCAAGTACCTTCACGATCCTTCTCATTGACCCCTCCACAAAATGCACGAAGAGCTACCAGAGCAAGGCGATCGCTTTTCAGATGGCTTGGCACACAAGGAGAGAACTTTAGAAATCCATTAGACAACTCAACAAATTACATGGGTGCCTACAATACCGATGGTAAATTAAAAAGAGTCGTGGAAGCAGCGGCGGATGCGCGAAAAGATGGTGGTCCAAAGCCCGACAGTCAAAATGAGCCTGATGCAAATGGCAACAAGGAATTGCCGCCACAGACCGCGAGAGATATGATACCATTCCCGGGCAATCGAAAGTTCATAAGTCAATCGGTGTTGAGCGAAGAACTACGGGAGCTCATTTGGACAAAAATTATGCAGGATGCTAAGTCGGTGAGAGAAGTGAGTGCCGAGCTTGGAGTCGAAATGAGCCGCGTGGGAGCAGTCGTACGTTTGAAGGAGATAGAGAAAGAATGGGAACGAGCGGTATGTCGAGATTTCTTTTTTAACAGCCTAACATACTTTATGATGATTTATAAAATTCGATTAGTCTTCAAGACAACTACATGGTTACAAAATTATGCATGCGAGCCTCTCTGAAAGTTATTTACACACGTGTTCTATTTTGGTATTGGTCTTCAACCACAAACAAGCTAATGTTCATTTTGCTAGGGAAAACCTCTTGCGAGACCATACGCCAACGCTGTCATGTCAATGGTCCCTGTGACGCAACTCAATACAGGGACTAGTAGAACCACACACGAATCGATTAACGACTTACCTATTCATGTAGCAACCGGACAACAAATCTTCCACCCCACTTCAGAATCAAGACATTTTACCCGAGAGGATGCTGCGAAGATTTTCGACGAGAGACTTCTCCCCGCAGATCAAAGAATACCACACCCCGAATTGATTGAGATGCACAAAGATTTCAAAGCTGGATTGTCTCGAGATGAACGAACTGCGCGACAAGATGCGCGAGATGAAGCCGAAGAACAAGTGAGGCAACGTAGAGCTGATCGCAAAGCGGCGGAAGAAGCCAAGATAATGAAAGTCAACACACCTAGGTGGGAGTTCAGAATCAAGGAAATCAATGTTGACGACATTGGTAAAGATGGTAGAGGAGCACATGGAACAGGTTGGAGGTATGGAAGACCTTTGATGGATAGAAAGAGGGGACAGGTAAAGATTCCCACGAGTGTCCAATAAGTGATGATCATAAGAGTTTTTATCATAAATGTATATTCATGGAGTTTTGAGGTTGGGAAGGGGTATCATGACATTAGCGACTATTGAGCGCGTTCTTGTACATTTATCTTGTACGATACCAAACCATCGGGAGACCAGAAGGATTGAAGGATTTGCATATCCTTCCAGGTGTATTAAATACTATTGCGTCTAAAGTACCAGTTGAAGTACTTGCCTTGACGCGACTCCTCCGAAGATGCCACTTTCTATTGATGTGATGGCCATTATTGGTAGATACGAATACGGAGTGAACAAGGTACAGTACTGATATGTATTGTATTCACTTGCATTCACAATTCGTTAAATGATAAGTATCAGCGTGGCAGAATTAAAGAAATCAGATATCCATAAGGGATATATATTCATACAGTACCTAGATATTGCTTGCTTTGTTAGAGCGAAGTCTACATATTTTTTTCTTGGATCTTTCGAAATTTTTCGCTTAGTAACCCTAATGACGCTTAGTGCGATTTTGAGTTGCCATTTTGCGTCGCGGGTGCATACAAAAGGGCATGATAAATCCAGAGGTTCCCGCAGACAAAACGCGACTCTGGAACTTTTTGACTTCACTTTCTGCTTACAAATACAGTATCACGTGTATATCGGAAGAAGACCATTGCTCTTCAGTGACACCAACCAAAAAATAATTCGAAACCGGCTGGTTCTTCTTTATCATTCATAACTTTTATTACACCTTCTGTTGTTCACTTCATTTCAAAATGTCTGACAGGGAATTTTCAAGTAAGTCGAGTGAATCTTTGTATCACGTGACTCGTTACTGTACGGGGTGATTCGAAGGAAAGAGCCCTTATGAAACCAGTGGCTCGAATGGTTATTTTTAAAGAAGTATCTATGGAGAGTCTTTAGTAGTTGAAGACATACTTGCGACTTGAGCTTCTACCAAATCCCTCCAAGCACTCATACTCAAATCAAAATCAAGATGCCGAACGCGACCAATCCAAGTACCTTCCTTTTCCTTTATATTGCTGCATTCCGCTACATGAACTCAAACGGACTTAACTGACGCACTTTCTTCGCAGGTAACGATGATCTATCACTTCCTAAAGGTAACATTTCTTTCTTTTTCTTCAATCCTCATCATCATTATTATCCGTATCCATGGACAACGAATACGATTGCTCTTCCCGCACGAGGGGAGTGAGTAAGGCACCAATTCCCATTGGCGACTTCGATATATCCTTAAATCCTACATTATCAGCACCATCATGCAGAAAGTGCGCCCACTGCCATAAAACAGAGGTTAGCCCTTCGCCTACGCAGTCGAATTCATCAACTACTTCGAAAGCTTCTTACTTTCGGTGCAATGGATCAAATCATCACCATAGTGACTTAGGCTTAACTTGTGTTCCATTCCCATCTTCATATCATAGGCCACATCATTTGCATAAGAAATACCCGTTGTGGGCGGAGGCTATAGCCATTCCTCGACGAATATCAAGTCTAGCCTTCGAGTCATCATTGAAGAACATGGAGAAAGTGTGTTTGACTTCGGGTTATCTTTCAGCTTCACCCGAGGCTTGGGATCCATCAAGATCCTCGTCTAGACTTGATCTCAGTGGCAAGCGTCTCGAGTATGTGCAGAAAGTACTGGAAGATATCCGAACTTGGCATAAAGAGGTTTCCATGTCAATTTCGAGATCACGTTCTGCAACTCACCAAAGTTGCCACCAGAACAATTTTGACATAGTCCCGCGACAATTTCATAAACAACAGACCCATCATATTATTAGCGCATTTATGGATCCTCTACAGCAAAACACCTCGTGGACTCATGTCTCCAACGGGGACTATACAACTTCTCGAAGGTATACTTCTAGGTCACTTTGTCCTGAGTCTAATCGTTCTACTCTCTGGAAAATCGATCCTATTCCCTCCAGTATCTACAAATCAAAGCGGATGCAAACTACTGGGATCAAAAGAATTCCCAGGCCAGTCCCTAGTCCGAGAACATCGAGCCTTGGTGCTACCATGTTCCCAAGACGGAGGAATGCCATCCGGGGTCGAATTCTTCCAAAGCCAGTTTCTATTGTCCATCCAACCATGAAACAGCATTCATGTCAATCACAAGCGACAGAGGATGGCCTCTTCAGCCCAGACCTTGATCGTTGCTTTGGTTCCTATTGGGATGGTGAAAGTTCTTTGACCGATACTCAAGTTAATGGAATAATCGATGACACCGATTCTTCTCCGACAGTCTTTGCACAGGCAGAACTTATCTTCCACGCACGAGACCAGTCAAATAAAGCTATAGGCGGCCAAGATCACAAGGACGGAATTCCTCATAGCAGTACTGTCGTTAGGCTTTCCGCAAGACGCTCAAGTCTGCAAGCTAGCGAGTCCATCTTTAAAACGCCTTCTTTACAAGAAAACGAAGAAGAGAAGGCTAGACGGCACATTGCATTTGTACATTCGGCGTTGCGAAATTTAGTACCGTTTGAGATCTCGGATTACCTCTACAGAGTTTCGCAATCGTCGGAAACTTGTAATGATTCTAGAGAGTCTTTTTTAAACAGCTTTTCGGACATGGCACCGCCATATATTAGGTCTAATCCAGCTTTCCAGTCTTCTAAGGCGCTTGAACAAGATGGGGACTCTACACCTGGGTTTGGTTTCTCGTTCAAAAGAACCTCAAATGAACAATCTCCTCTGCAACCTCCGGATACAATCGATAACCCGGGTGTATCGGCTCCAGGCACAGCTTTCTGATGACAAATTTTCGTCGCACCCAAGAGTTAGCCATAACTCCGCCGTCATCTTCATTCAACAATGTTACGTTTCCTCTTTTAAATGCTTACTAACCCTTATTCTCCTTAGCAACTGTTCAAAAGATAGTAACCGAAATTCTTCCTGCCAGTTCAGGTCTAGCCTTTGGCAAAGACGCCCGCGACCTTCTAATTGAATGCTGTGTCGAATTCATCACGCTCATCTCGTCCGAAGCAAATGAAATTTCCGAAAAGGAAAGCAAGAAAACTATCGCGTGTGAACATATTACCAAAGCCTTGGAACAACTAGGCTTTAGCGAGTATGTCAAGGATATTGTGGATGTAGCAAGTGAGCACAAGGAACAATTGAAGGTATGCCAACCTACGCTTGCAGGGTGTGCAGAATACATACCAACTAAGCAAAATTATAGGGAAGAGAAAAGAAAGCAAATAAACTCGAACAATCGGGTCTTACAGCAGAACAATTATTGGCAATGCAGGAAGAAGCATTTAGAGATGCGGCGCAACGTCATGGTTGATGTTGTGTTGTTTCTTTTTCTAGTCTCTTCACTAAGATCAGGTTCAATTTTGAACTTCTAGGGATGGATTGGGGAGTTTTTTGGTCTGCATGCATGGCTGGTTTGTGGGCGTTTTAGGGGGATGGGCAAATGGGGATGGGAGGGAATTTGTCTTTCTTACTTTCATGTTTGTGAAGTGGGTGGAGGTGGAGAAGGGGCAGGTTGGAAGTGATTTGCTATTGGTAATAAGAAAGGTTGTAGTGAAGATGGATTAGACAGATTGAGGCTGTTGCAGGTGGTGGCTTACTTGTTTTTATACAACATTGCGCGAAAACAATAACGTTGATTAAACATGAGTTTTGTGTTTGAACCTTGAGTGTTTGCGAAGCATTGCTCGTGAGAATTTGTGATTCATAATTTGCTTGGTCTGACGAAAAGGGTTACACTTATCTGAAGCTTAATATGGGTTTCTCTGTAAAGTACCAGCTAAGTTCACACCGGTTACTCATTTGCAGCGGTTATACAATCAGTCGCGGGTTATGAGATAGGATTGCATCCAATTAATATCATTCTTTGCTATTCTCCTAAGTTTTGTCCATATCCAACAAAATTTCCAAGAAATCTGAAGTGCAGTATCACCATTCCCTCGTCACATACTTGTTATCCAACAGAACCTTATTTTGACAAATCTACAATGAATATCCCAAGTTGTCAGATCAATGCTTGAGATTGTGAGCGTAAGAATGAAAATTGGCTTTTGCATAGTAAGTTTTCATCGTTAGATGCATACCTAAGAAATGTTGACCGAGTGAAGGAATGCTTCGTATAGCTAGCTAACATATCATTTTCGCTAGTGGGGTCTGGGATAAGAATGGGTCATCCATTCATAGTATGTACTTTAGTCTCCTTTTATTTGCAAGAGAGCTAGGTTGTATACGGTAAGTTCTTGGGAAGAGAGGGAGAGGATCGGTTGAGATATGATGGAGTCTTGGACTTTGACCATCAGGCTGATCGTATCCGTTCGCTTTCGATGCGATTCGCCTATTGATTTGGCTGGGGTTATCAGCAGTGGTTGGTATTCGGAAAACATCAGATTAGACTCCTTATGCCTCGACATGTACAGATACCTGCCCACTGACAGTTGAATGTACCATCGGAGTAAGCATCTGATGATATCATACCGACTTCAAAGCACCGTGATTGAATCACCACAGCTGTCGTCGACTTACTCATCGACGCCTCTCTCCTGGAAGCTTCAATAAACGTTTTTCTATCGGAGAAATCGAATCGATGAACAAATGGATCATGCCAGTTGACAACCCGGTTCCCATTATCAGATTCAAGAGTCAAGACACGATATTAAGGCTAAGACTCGAACATTCCGCTGCAAGAGGTCAATGAAGGAGACAATAGACAATCTATAGTTTTCGCCGCTATACAAAAAGGAGCAATCCGCAAGAGAATTTCATTCTGATTGACAGGAATCCGCTAGTTGTCTCAAGATTGAGGGATCATAAGCAAACATACATTTTGCGGATTTTCAGTAATACTCGCTTGGGTTCCTGAAGACTGAGATCCGAATCGACTTTTGGCATGTGGTTGAAAGTTTGAACTCAGATAAGTTGATGAATACTTGTATCATTCCCTTTTCGAGAAAGAGAGAAAGAGAGAGAGAGAGAGAGAGAGAGAGCTGACACTGGTTTAAGAGGGAGAGAGAGAGAGAGAGAGAGAGAGAGAGCTGACACTGGTGTAAGAGGGAGAGAAGGAGCCGTCTCCAGTAGAATGAGCGTTTCAATAATCACCGTCAAAAACAAGAAATCGCCACTCAATAATATTCTATTTCATTCTTCCCCACCACAATCTACGTATCTCCATAGATGAAAACTCCCTTTCCACTCCTGAACCCCTCCAAGGTTCCTCTCACTGCCGACTTCAACACATCCTCCTTTGTCTCCCAATCCCACTTGAGTTCTTGAACCGGAATATCCTTAAACATGCCTAATCTCGTCATCTCCAAAATTTCATCGACTGTCTTCTTCTTTTCGTCTGGATGGCTATCGCTCCACCTACTGACCCAATAACCACTAAACTTGATATCCTTGAAGATCAAAGCTGCAGTAGGAAGCATCAATGGTTTCTTAGACATCCCTCCATATGTAACAAGATGACCTCCATTACTCAGACATTTCACCAACGCACCAGCCGGTTGTCCACCCACACAGTTCAACCCCACACGGATCTTTTCCCTGCCTCCATTCGTCCACTCCTTAACCTGATCCCTAAAACTTTGATCCATCAATTCCGACTCGGTCACCACCTTCGTGGCACCCAATTCCAATAGTTCTTTTTTCATCGCCTCAGTCTCATCAGCATTCTCGCGATCCCGTATAACATTGATACTCTTATATCCCCACCTCTTCCCCAACTGTATGGCTGCTCTCCCCACCCCACTATTCGCACCATTTTGGATGAACCAATCGCCCTCCACCATACTCTCGAAATCCCTCAACATTCTATAAGCCGTGCACGGATTAACGCTCACAGTACCGACCTGAATGGGCTTCAGTCCCTCTTTGTTACCAATCTTGAGAACCTGCGATTCCTCCGCTATAGCATGTGTGCGCCATGTTCCAAATCCAGTCGATTTCATAATCACCCAGTCGCCTTTCGAAAGAGTTGATATGCCGGGACCGAGAGACATGACTTCGAAACATCCTTCGTTGCCGCCCACGGCCGAGGGAGATTCGGTTCCGAGGAGACTGGTGAAGGGGGGCTTGGAGGGGTAGACACCTTGGATTTGGTTTATGTCGGCGGGGTTAATGGGGGTCGCGAGAGTACGGAGGAGAATGGATTTCGAAGGAAGAGAGGGGGAGATGGAGTGATTGTGAAGACTAGGAGTTTATTACTATCAGCTACGGTCATGAACACTAGAGGTGTATGCATATGCAAACATAGACAACGGATGACAGGAGATGGCGTCAAGAAAACTCACGATAAGACATCCGCCGGCTCCCCATACTTAGAATACACAAGCGCTTTAGCTTGTGTATATCCATATGGACCAGATTTATATCTACGAGCCACCAAGCTCCCCAAGCGATTCTGTTTACATTGTTTGCTCAACACACCAGAGATCAAAGCTCCTCTCGAGCTTACTGCTGTGGTGGAGCTAGCTAAAGCTCGATATTGAATAGGACTCGCCATGTTCAATTATTCGTCCCCGAAGGATCTTGTTTGATAATTCGGAGTGCACGAAAAAGAAAAGAATGAATTGGTTGATGGGAAAATTAATGAATCTAGATTGGAGTTATTTCTTGTAATGTTTCCACTCATTTATTTCATATCATGTTATATCATATCAAATCAAATCTTATCCATCCACACATCCGCGGCTTTGATCAAAGTTTATGACGTTTATTGCCGAAGTTTCCCATTCATTGGTGCATCACAAGCAACCAGCCTTGTTAGACAGAACCACAGAACCACAGAACCACAGGGCCACAAAGCTTGTAATTACAGGGGTTTCCCTCCCACTATACCCCCGAACTCTAAGCCTCTTCAGCCTCACATAGCCTCACATAATATCATGTAATGTCACATTTGTAGGGTCACTACAGTGTCTCACAGTTACAGATAGCACGTGGCGCGGGATCTAGCTTGATACTAAGTAGCTTCAGGCACGAAATGAAATGATGATAAGATGATACCCTGAATCAGATTTAGATTTGAAATTAAAAAAACCCTTGATATTTTTGGCTATTTTCCTCAAACACCATCATGCAAAATGGGGGAAAGAAGGTTCAAGGTAGGGATCTGGAGTTTCTGATAATAAATGCATATTGATATGAAACATCAATGGATGAAGGAATGTACAATTAATCATACATCCCATACAATCGATAAATATCTATAGATACGAACAGGCGTTATTGAGGTAGATGAGATCAATGATCAATAAGAAAGGGGGAGACCAGGAGAAGCAAAGAGATACACACACACACACACATATAGAGAGAGAGAGAGAGAAGCCTTCACTACATAGTAATATTACAGAAAACCAATATTTTATTCGAGTAAAAAAGGGCCCTCCGACCATGCAAATCCCCTACTGTATTTTGTTCAGAAAAGGCTAATAAATATGAGTATTTGGGTACCCCAAAGAATAAACTATCATGGCACATGAAGCCAACATTAAAATGTTGTTTTGTTTGATACTGTAGTCAGCGTAAAACAAGACCCCGATAAAGACCACCGCCCAGAGATATCATCGATAAAAAGAAGGGCGCCCTGCCAAACAAATGAAAAGATAAAATAGCATTTTGGTCCCCCTCTCAAGCTTGATTCATAGTACATGGGATTCCTGCTTCCCTTTCGTGCCCTCCCCTCCGCATCTCTCGGTCCAAATCGTTGGAGATATGATTATGGATCTCATCCGAGCATTCTGCCAGTGCTGTAGCAAGATTTGGGTCGTAACAGATAACAATACCCAAAAGCACCATTTGGATTCTCACAACCGTCTCGCATGAATACCTCACTACGAGATATTCCTGAACATGTCATCACCCCCAAAACTACCACGATCATCATCCGCAAGCTTAGCCTTCAGTTGATCGAGTTCCGGCAATTTTGGCGGCGGCGGGCCAGGCTTCGTGTACGCTGGCTTGACATTCTCTCTTTGAATCTCTGGACTCTGCTGTAAAGTAGGAGTATACACTACAGGCTTCTTCTCGTATACCATGCTGTTCCTCTTGCTGCTGCTCCCAAAACTCCTAAACCAGCTTCCACTCTTCCGCTTCACAAAGCTAGGTCTGCTGCTTGCAAGACTATTTGGACTCTCCGGTCTCCCCATCTTTGACAAATCCTCATGCGATTTCGCGTTCCCATTTGTGTAATTGGTGTTGAGTGATTTTCGAGACAAGAATTTGCGGATACTACTTTCTTTTTCGGGTCGACTAGGACTATTCGGGACAGCAGCGTCTGAAGGGGCTCTCACGCGAACCGGAGGAACATGATTGCGAGGAGATGAGGAGGTAGGTGGGAAATAACCATTGGATTTCGTCGTGGTGAGGTGAGCAAAGTCTGATTGATTATTTGCCGATGCTGACGCTGGAGGTGTACTAGTAGATGTGCTTCGAACAGGATCGGCGGTTTGAGGAGTGGCTGCAGGTGTCGATGCCGCAGGTGCAGGTGCAGGTGCAAGTGCAGGTGTGGGTGCAACAGTCGGTTTGGGTGCCTCTTCTTCTATTGGAGAATCTGGAAGGGGCGGCGGGATATCGGTCCCGTCTGTCAAATTGAAGTCAAAGGATTTGAGAGCAGGAAGTTCAAATCGCCCATTGGGCTTGCCATTGATCGGCATATCCGCGATGTATATCTTGAATGTTCGATTTTGGGAGAGATCTCGCAATTCGCAGAATGGCAGATTGAATGAGAATTAGGCAAAATATTAGAGCTCGCAACAGATTTTCCAAAGGTTGAATGGTCGAGATTTATCCGTCGTACTTGGGTAGAGATTGTATTCAATAAAGCGAGAGATGTGGATGAAGGGTAACTGCAAAAGAAGTAAAGAGAGACTGTAAATCCAATTGGCTCGAGCTTTGCCTGCGATTTCCTATCTAGGAACTCTTCTGTAATCCCAGAAAAATGAGTTGATGTGATATCAAGGTGGCGGGTGAAATGAAGTGAATATGGAGATGCGATGAACCGGCAATTTGTGAGACTGCAGAAAGATCCAGTTTTCAGTTGATTAAGAATAGATAGCTAGTTCAACGGTGTACTCCGCATAAAACGGTGTATGAAACTCAAATGATCATATTATGACATGAAAGTAATTGGGTGATTGAAATCCGAGTTGGAATTGGAATTGGCATTAACATTGAAATTATGTGTGAGTGTATGTAGATGTAGAGAGGATAGGAATCAGTTGAATGTATATGTACAAGAGACCATAGATACACAGCTCATGGGTATCTGAAGAGATGAAAAGATTTGCAAGTATGTGATGTGTATGTGATCTGTATCTGTATCTGTATCTGTGTATTATCTCGAATTAACGATCAAGAGGTATCAAGAGCAACGAGTACTGAGACTTAAGTCATCTAATATAACTAATTGTAGAAACGACAAGAAGAAGCAAAAACAGGTGTGTAAAATCAATTGGAGTAAAGAATGAAGATCAGTATCATATCACATCGTGTCGTCTCGTATTATATTGCTCGTTTGTTTGTTTATATGTATGCACTAGGCACTGTACCGTACCTCCGTACCAACTTCGTACACTTCGTTTGTTGCTTGTATTGGTCGTCCAAAATGTTGACCCATTTTAAAGCGTGGGAGGAGAACCAATGAAGCTGTAAAAAAATCAGTCATCCGATCTTGATTTGGCTTTTTATATTAAATTAAAATACACACATACATGAACACAGAAGTTGTGTGATTTGTGGATTTAATGCATTTATTTATCTATTTGGAATGAAGTGTGCTTGCATCGAAGGCTTCACTACATTTCTGAATAACTCCTTCACTGCCCAGTCAAAATTCGTCAAATTCGGTAGTTTCCGAGAACTAATGTAGCCGCAAAGAACAGAGTCATCACCCTTTCCCGATTCTCACTTCTCCGTTTGCAAAACTACAACCCTTGGTCCTCGAGATAATGAGAATCTGAAGGCACCACGATGTATTGGGGGTTCAAATGATATTTTATCACGTGTCAATACTTTGGCTGCTTCCTAGCATAGCACAATGTCCTCCGGATGACTCATGTTTAGCCACCTTAGCCACCACCCCCCTATTATATCATCTGCTCGATAGCCGATGTACGTCACTGTATTCCTATTTGTAAAGTCGCACGATTCGTTCTTCAGTTCTTCAGCAATTATCAAATCTGTTAAAGATGCCTACACCAAACCCATCCACTACCCACCAGGAATCGGTTTCCACATACCTCCTTTATAATCGTTGGGCTGCAACTTACGACACGGACCATAACCCTTTACAAATTCTTGACTCTGCCCTCATTCCTTCTCTATTGAAGACGCTGTTTTTTATCCCATCAGAAGCTCGGGGTAACATCACCATCACCGAATTAGGATGTGGCACTGGCCGGAATACTATCCGGTTCCTCGCACCACCCTTGTCCAAAAAGATCTCTAAAATCCACGCTCTTGATCTCTCGCCCGCAATGCTTGAGATTGCTCGGTCCCGCTGCAGCCTCTGCGTCTCAGAAAACGATAGCCATGTCCCCAGCATCCAATTCGACGAGTTCAATGCCCTTAATGTTCAATCCGATCCCGAAATTTCGAGTTTGATCCAAGGACAAGCGAATATGGTGATTAGTACTCTCGTCCTTGAACATCTTCCCCTTGATACTTTTTTCTCGGCTGTAGCCTTCCTACTGAAACCAGATTCGGATGTGAACAACGGAAGAGTATTAATCACTAATATGCACGCTGAGATGGGTAGATTGTCTCAGGCTGGATTTAGCGACGAAATTGAAGGAAAGAAGACAAAAGTTAGAGGCGAAAGTTATGTGTATGAGATTGAAGAAGTGGTAGAGGAGGGGAAGAAATGGGGATTCCATGTCGTGGGGGAGGTGTTGGAAAGGACAGTAGAGATAACCGATATTGAGGAGGACGGAAGTGGATTAAAACTAGGAAGTAGGGGGGAGAAATGGATAGGAAAGAAGATGTGGTTCGGAATGGTGATGCAGAGGAAACACCAAAACAATTCAGCACCGGAAAACAAAGTGTTACTCACATAGCAAATGGTCTAGACTGTCAACAAATCTAATTTTGGTCTCATTGAATGGTGTATTTATTCTGCTTCGTAGATCGCCAAGCTATGTGCGTTGTCTATGAGCGAATCTTATTGAGGAACACAACTGTCACCCTCGGGGTCTTCAAGATGTTTCTGTGGCGAGGCACAGGAAGCTGTTGTACAAACGCCTTACGTCTGAATTGAAAGTACATTTGTGTACTGTCAATCGCCATCTATTTTATACGGTTAAGATTATTGCGTCAACAAGCAAATGACAATCGAGAGGTTGAATGTTATCGAGATTCATGCGATCAAACATGATCTCAAACTATTACCACAAACTTGTGTGGTCTTTTCCCATAGACATCTCCGATTGTTGTTGAGTAAATGTCAGGCATAAAGTAATCACCTCACCGTACTTGCTATCGAGGTCGACTTTTCGTCCCCAAACC